ACCAAAAATAAACTTGACACATTTGTAGTTAACATTTTTCATTTCTGAGGAATTAGTCTGTCAAAATCCATTGAAATCTTGAGAATATTCTGGTAAAAGAGCGTATTCTTCAGATTTATAAAGGTTTCCTTGAATACATTTTTCACTAGACATTTTAGAACAATCACTCTTGAATACTTTCTTGCAATTAAAACTTTGATAATTTTTTAGTAAATGAGTGACTCTGAGTAGACAAATTCTGACTCAGTGTGTTTGAGTAGACAATTTGTAGCTCAGTGAGTCGGAGTAGACAAATAGTAGCTGGATAAGTTGAGTAGATAAGTGTTATTCAGAATGTCTGAATAGATGAGTTTTTGCAAAATGAGGCGAGTCCCAATAAATCAAACTTAAAACAATGCATTGTTTTCTGTGCATTTCATATATACATTTATTTTTATTAAAACCAGAAATTCTTTTCTGAATATTACATAAAATAGAGGTACAGTATATTTTACTATACAGAATATACATATACAATCAATTAATAATATCGTTATTTACATTTATTTATAGCTTGTATATTATTTATAATTTAATACTCTGTACATTATATATCACACAAAAGGCCAGCTTTGCGGAGAAAAAGAAAATCATAAAATGACAAATATTCATATATGCATATGATTATTAAACAGTAACACATTGCACTTCAAGTTGAAGTTGAGTTTTAGTTTCTTAAAGAAACTTATCAAACAAAATACATTTTATTACAGTGTCACAGTCAAAAATAGTGTAAAACATTGCTATAGACTCAAAAAATCTTTGTCTGCATGAACATGAATGTCATAACAAGACGTTTTAGACTATGGTGATTTTTTCAATTCTGTTAAATCCTTGAATGGTCTCATTTTTCATTAAGATGGAGTCACTTAAGGGTATTTATTGTATGAGATGCCATACATAGCTCCTATAATCCTCAAAGTCAAATGAAAACACTTATTACCCGATAAAGTGGCTTAAAACAAACAATATATCGGATTAACCGTTGTGAATTTGAATATATTGCAGACATACATCTAATTGCAGGACTTCCTAAGATTCAGAACAACTCTCTTTCAACTAAAGATAATCAATATGCCATAGAATTAATGGATCATAAACTCATATGCCAGACTAGCAAAATATTGAAGAGTTTTATTCTTTTCACATATTGCCTACATTTCTGCCGGTGCCCGACCGATGAGTATTTTGTTCAAACTCATCGGCTGGGAACCAGTACTGAAAATCAGAGCAAATGTTACCATGGCATTAACTATAATAATAACTCTGTTCTTGATTACAATTAACAAATAAAATCAATGCAAGTTTTAACTAATAATTAGCCTAATATCGCAATTTATAATACCCTTATTCCTCAAGTACATATTACCAAGGACTGGTAACTAAAACAAACCCTTCTATTATTGATATCTGTATTCTACACCATACATCAAAAGTTGGTATTTTGTATTGCAATCTATTACAGTATCCCTCTACAGACTAATGGACAAAATATGTTACAATCAATAGAAAATGAATAATCATGACCTGCAGGTTGCCAGTCTGTTTTAGATTACAACAAAACAAGACTAATATTACCTTGATGAAAGTAAGACCAGTGATCTCCCCAGTATTAAAGCAAATAGGCGCAACACCCACCTGAGGTTTTGAAAATAGGCTTGCACCCACATGAAAATCCATTTGCACCCACTTGAAAATGAGAAAAATCATGAAAAATTGGCATATGTTGACCAATTTTGGTCTACATCGTGGAAATGAGAATTTTGCACCCACCTGAGAAAAAATCCTGGGGAGATCACTGAAGACCATGAAGAGAATTGGACCATGAATAAAAAAAGTACTATCAACAGGCAAAAATGATTCATGTGATTCAATTAACACATTTTTATACACAGCATATTATCTAAAAAAAGAAATAAGTAAAATAAACTAAATTAATCAGTATTTGTTCTAATGAAGTGATATGAATGATATCCAACAAAGTCATCCCCATTTCAGAAGCAACCTGCCTGCAGAGCTTTCTGGATTATCCTCTTAGAATCGCCAATCACTTAAAAATTGAAAAATGCATCATCTAATACTTTATCAACTTAAGTACATGGGGCATGTAGTCTTTGGTATTAGGACAGATTGATTGCTCTCCAAAATAAAGTGTATGTCAGTGCAAAACATTGGCAATGAGAGAAACCTAGAAGGCTATAGACCACACTACAACACACCTGAGAGCAATGCAATAATTAGAGAAAATCAATCAACGTGACTAGAGAGTGCACTGTGTAATATAAGAGATAAAAGCCAATGTACGTCGATTCAGGTCCGATTCATGATATGCGAAATTACCCGAAGGCATACAAGGTGCGGACAGAAATATATATACATTTCTCTGTTTCTTTGAACACCATAATTATGTTGCTTTGATCTGGTAGACTTCACTACTGAAAAAACTACTAAAACATTTCATGAAAGGTACATAATCACCTAGAGAATCAATAACTCACCCAACTCCTACAAAAGCAGGACTCTTCCTCTATAACCTTGATTATTACCTTAATTTTGTATTCAACCAACCATGATTTGCACTCGGAGAAAAATAAGGTTACAAAATATGGCTCATGAAGTTGAGATTCATAGAAAAGATAAATTACAGTAAAACCTGTCTGATGAAACACCTTTTTATGAAAGGAATACCTGTTCACAAGGAATGGTTTTCAAAAGAACCAAATATTTTTCCATTGTCTTAAATGTTAACAGAACTAGGTCTACTGGGAACAAGGAACAATGTTTTAAGGGTAAAATTCTAAACTAACAAAGAACATGGAAAATTGGTTACACTGTTCGTACATCCTTTTGTTTTCCAGAGGTGTAAATGGCTTAGGTCAACATCTCATTCTAAAGATCTTAGATAATATGAGGTTGATTAGGATAAGCCACTTGTTAACAGGATGGGATACCACACCCATTGTTAATTACTCTAATACGTTTTAATATATGTTTTTTTCAGTTTGTTTTTTGGCATGACACAAATGCAATTAAGTTAAGTTCTCGGAACATATCACATCATTAATTCATCATCAACAATGATTAAATGTTTATTTGGCAATTTGGGATTGGCCAAAGCATGAAACCTCTCTGTAGGGAACACTTGATGTCACCAATAACAGTTTTGTCCATTCTGGAGAGGGTTCCTTGTTTGCAAGTTTTACTGAATATGAAACATTTGGCAAGGGTTACATTCATTTGATACATTCAGGGTTATATGTGTATTGACTGATTGCAAAAAATGTTGAGCAAACAAAAATTGATTAGTACATCCACAGAACTATACACCTGGGCTGTTAAAAGAATACTAATACAAGTACTCTCATTTTCATGTTCATCATGGAATCAAACTGAAATGTCAGTAATTGAAGGTGATGTACATTTTAATACTGGCTCAATATTATGAGTTTATGCTTGATATTGTACTTTTAAAGCATCTAATTCAATACAGTAGAACATGTGTTTGTGGAACACTTTTGGTTCAACAAAAATTGTTCCACTTATTATGAGATGTTCCACTTGCAGGTGTTCAACTTAACAGGTTTTACTTTATATAAGTTACCTAGAGGGTACCTATATTTTTCTAGTGTCACTTTAAACATACAAATTGCCAGTAACCTCCAAGTATTTCAATCCAGTTATTTTATAAAAATGCGAATGAGAGCATTTGTATTAAAATGCAATGGGATACCATGGTTTATCATGATGACAGGCTACTGTCGTATATACAGCCCAAAGACTTTGAAGAGAGCAGTTATCTTTATATTACAGAAGGAGAATGTAAATCCCCAATGATAAAATAATACAAAATGTTTGTACAGCACAGTAAAACCTGTCATACGGAATACCTTTCTGTAAGGAATACCCTACAAGGAACATTTTTTTTCAAAAGAACCAATTATTTTCCCAGTAACTTCCATGTTAATGGATGCTCTCTGTCGGGAACACTTGTTATCTGGGAATAGTTTCCGCAAGAACCGAGAGAATTCTTGGTTCAAAGGTTTTACTGTATTTCTAATATATCTCATATTTCTGCAATACTTGAAGTTTCCAGTTTCGGATGTTGCATTTAAAATAGCAAACCATGAAGCGAGGTTGCTATGACTGCACTTTCAACAACAGGTAATACTGAAGTGTAAAACACTAAGAAGATTATAATTAAAAGTACTATAGACAGGGTATTATAGGGTAGGCCTATAATAAATTTACATTTTTAGAGATTTTAAAAAATTCATTTAACATCATCAGAAAGAACATCTTAAGCGATTCACATGGTTCTTCTGATGAAATGATGTGAAATTTGTCAAATATATATACACTAAAACCCCTTTAATAGAAAATATTAAAAAATATAGTGCATATAACCTGTTTTACAATAACATAGTACCAAGATGAGGCAATAAATTCAGAATAAGCCATTTTAAGAGAATAAAGATAGTTTGAAAATCCACTATAAACAAGAGATCACATCATTCCAAATAATAAATAAAAGATATGATTATAACTACATGTTGAAATTATTTCTAAAACATGTAGAAAGACAGCGAGCTAACTACAATATCACTACTGTCTTATAATTGAAATATCAATCTGAGAACTGAATATCAGACTTTTTTATAGCAAATAAGGGACTGGGACCAAATATCAATTTCTGTTAAAGCTTGAACTCCTTCTCTTTTAAACAAAACCTTGAATGTCGATCAAAGCATGTGACCTGACCTTGATCCCAATTCCCAAAACAAAATTAATTATTTTTTAACAGATATTAGCTGAGCAGGTTACTTTGGAACAAAGCACATAATTATAATCATTATTGCAATAAACATTTCACCTTTTGTATAAACAATACAGCACATGTAATGTTATATTGAGTAAATTATATGAACTGAATATACCATTGCAATACAATTTGAAAAAAGATATATAGGGTGTCCATAGAGTCTCTCTACACTTTAAAGACTTTGTATTGTAAAAAAACTTTATGGACAGCTTGTATGTTGATGGTGGTTTCAAAATGAGAATAAAATCAGAATTTTACCAAATTAGCTTTGAAGCAGAAAAAAGAATTGAATATGAATATTGTGAAAGGAATATTCATACGCACATATTATATTCAACTGCATTTACAAATAACATTATAGCGTATTATATTTATTGAAGCTATCATTTTAAGACAAATTCTCATGGTGATGGACTAAGGCTCATGAGCACAAAATAAATATTTATCACCGGTATTGTGATGTCAATAAGATATATGTGATGGCAATAAAATAGTTGATGACACTTCATATTTTAGAACCCCAACCACCCCCCCCCCTCATCATGATTTTGAGCCTTAATGCAAAACAGTGAAACTAATTGGTCCCTGATTATTCTAAATTGTGAAATGAGAAGAGTGTATTGCTAGGTATCATTATCTGCTCTGGATATGGAATGTTCTATTTCAAAAATAAATTCGTTTTCCTCACTTTTCATGAAAAAATATAATTAATACTATAATACAGGAATAAGATGAATTTGTAGCTTTAAACAATAATTCAATATCTTGAATACTAATTCAAATATCTTATATCTATCTTTCCAGCAAATATGTGTAAACATACAAAGTTCTTTTTATTCTAAGTAGCAAAAAGCTAATTGTAATTTCTCGTAAAATAGAAGCATAACAAAGATCACAGGTAAGGATCAAATATCACTCTGCCGTGTGCAAGGATGTCACGGAGGTGTGATTTGGCCAATTAGTACAACAATTTGTGAACAACTAGACTATTTTTGTCGATATTTAATAGGAATGTGCAGTGAAATTATACTAATACCTGTACACACATTAGAGTGATGTTTAATATCTACCTGTCTTTCACAATACCCTGTTAAGTATAGTTACCGCCCCAAGACCTCAAGTTATGTTACAGATGGTCTGCAAATTGCAATAGGGATACAGGCACTTTAAACATGTGTTTTGAGGCACTACAGAAATGCAAATCATGATGTACATGTAGAACACCTCTTGCACTGCACTAATTGGGATCAGTAGGAAAGTGAAGAGCTTAAGGGATAAGTGTAGATATACAGGGATATATCTCACGAATGAACATGATGAACACGTTCCCCTCAAGACTCATTATAATTTTTCCTATTGATCTGCTCATTAAACCTTTGTTGCACTTATACCCTTGCCCAAATACATCACGTTTTACACTTATTGCAGTGCCATACAGCACTTTTATCTGCTTTATATTATATCATATTTGGGCTTGTACGCTGTATTTGCAAAATGGCATTCTCTTTATTGGACAAGCAAAGGTTTTTTTCTTTGTGGCATGATTGATTTTTTTCAAAGGGAAAGTGAACCAAGGATGATAAGAGAGCACCGCCCTATTCAACATTGCCACAGACCCTTCCTTAAAACACAGAGGTTTTCTGTAACGAATATCCACATTTGTTGCCGAGTACATGTAGGTGATACTCAAAAGTAAATTTCTCCAATAAAAATCTACATAAAACTCTGTGTTATAAAATAGTACATAATTTTGATTTGCCATTTTTACTGTTTGTGCTTTTTGTACCAGAATTCCCATTTTGAGATGAATGATTTTGCTCTTGTTCCAAAATATCATAATAACCTAACTTTTTCTTCTGCAGACGATGTAAGATGATGCGATACGTCCCAGTGATACAACTTCGAGATTCCTTCCCATGAGCTTGTTTGATATGGTCCTGGTTTATTCCTAATTCACGTAACATATTCCGAGCTTGTACTTCTTCATCTTTCAGGTTTCCATTGTCATCTAAAGCAGGGTTGAGGTTATACTCCTCTAAGGCCTCTGGAAATTCCTGATTTTCCAACCACTTATGTTCTATAATCTTTCCCACTGTCAATCGATCAATTGGGGTCTGTTGCAAAACACTCTTTATCAAATCTTGGCAGGGTTCTGATAAATACATAGGTATAGAGTAATAGCCATCGAGGATAACTTTCTTCAACTTGCCAACTGTCTCTGCTCTAAAAGGCATGATACCAGTCACCATAAAATAAAGCATGATCCCAAGGGCCCAGATATCAACATATGTCCCGTAGTAACTTTCATCTTTGAATAATTCAGGAGCAGCATATGGTGGGGACCCACAAAATGTGTTCAATGTCTGATCAGGCCTACTGACAGTGCTGAAGCCAAAATCGCCAACTTTGATGAGTTTTGTGCCCGCGTAGAACACATTTTCTGCCTTGAGATCACGATGGATGATTTGGTGTTCATGCTGAAATGAAATGAAATAAAGACATTAAAAAATGGCATTTACAACAAGACATGGGGTGAATAATATTGCCCTTGAATAAACAATTTTCAGGATACAAAATCCAAAGGGGCTGCCTTAAAACCCAGAATGCCAAAAAAAACTAATCAGTTCTACACTTTTGTATCAAGTAATATTCCTCGACATTTCAGTTCAATCCATCCATTGGTTTGACTTATAATGTGAAGACAAGATTCTTAAATTTTGAAATCAATCTGACAAATGGTTTGTCTGGAAACATACTTATATATATATATGACTTTACACACAAGATTTTAGGACAGAAAATCTAATCTAAAATGATGGCTGCCTTTACATTTACCTCAGGAATGCCCAAAAACTAATCAAAGAAACACCCCTGTAAATTTCAGATGAATCCACCAAACTGTCCATCAACCAACCTGTCAAACTGAACAAAATATAGCACCAAAAATCCAACCAAAAATGCAAAAAGACTAGTGTACAAAGACTATGAAGGAATAAATTACTGTTCTGCCACAACTCAACTGTAGATTGAATCACATAAATCACAAGTATACCTATTCAAAGTGCAGAGACAAAAAGCTTTTAATGATTATCATGTTACAGGAAGTGGCAATGATAAAAATCATTGTTGTAATATGCAATCTATCAGGAAATTAGGCAACCATCATGACATATACAAGGGACATATTAACCCACCTTACTTCCTGCGAAAGCTATTTGGATTTTGATATAATAGCTTTCCCAAGGAGCATTTGGACAGCTGAATGATTGTGACCTTTGAATTTGAATTAAGTCGATCCGCGACTTACTTTTGGTCTCTAACTGTGTCTTACATCAGTATCATCAATCCGTGTAAGTATTAGAGCGCTGAAATACTTCTTTTTCGAACAAGACTTGTAAATTGTTCATCGAGTGAATGTTTTTTAGACCTATTTCCAATATGGCGGTTTGCTAGGAGCGAGATACGCAACGAAAGAAATGAATTTTGAGAATTAGTTAGGTTCGGACAACCTCCGGAGATTTACGAAAATGTCCAAGCAGAAAACGCCATATTGGAATTTGGCAGTAAAAACATTCACTTGACTAACTTGAAAAGGAAGTACTTCATCCCTCCAATACTTACACAGATTGATGATACTGATGTAAGACACAATTAGAGACCAAAAGTAAGCTGTGGATCGACTTAATTTGATTTCAAAGGTCACTATTAATCAGCTGTTCACTTCCCCGTTTGAGAGCCATAAGTTTCAAAATCTAACATGGCTCTCGAAGTGAGTAAAACCCACCCACTTAAACCCAATTAAAGAGAGGTTCCCAAAGTTAGAGATCATGCCTGATATTACAAAGGGGAGAAACCTGTAGCATTTGTTTCTACAACCCACGTGTGTACATTAAATAAATTTGACACAGACACCAACTCCCAATATTCTATCAAAATGAAGAATAAACATATGAAAAATACAAGCTAAAATGAATACTCATTGACCTTGCATACTGCATTTGCATACTCAATATCAGACAATATGACTTCATTGTCTGAAAAAGTCAGTTTATGTAATTGCAATTTTCTGATTAATAATAGATTGAATTTACTGTTTATATACTAATCTAGTATCCTGATTTATTATATAAATGCACACATATTATCACTGCTCCACAGGACAATGAAACTCACTGGAAATTTTACTTGGTTTAGCTGAAATGCCTGAAATCGAAGGCTTATCAAACAATTTTGACAAGAGACTTATAAAACTTTATTATTATATGTCTTTGGACTAACTTCACTTAGTTTCTTTCTAATTTGCACCACTTATTCAAAATCTTTAAACTATCTCTTCATGAGATTATAACTTTCAACTGCATATTACTTATTCATACAAGGCATTAACATGCAAAATGTCACCACCTGCCATTTACAGACACCAACCAACCACCAATTGCTGAATACCAACCATCAAACAAAAAAGTTGGAGACTATAACAATATGTCACCACTTGACACTTGTGGTGGTGATATAAAAAGCTTTATGGGGACTATATTTTTTCTAAAGTTAAGTAATAGCTACTTTCGTAGGCACATGTTTAATTTGAATTACTCTTGATCATTAAGTGGTGAATATCCTCTCACTACCTTGAATTTAGTAATTTCTTACATTTGTGTAACACTGAGTCATTTAAATATTTAAGTGAAAGAATATCATAGGAATACCTAGTTGAATAAAGGTTATTTCTGAAATGCCTCTAAATAATCTGGCTTCCTACAATCATTTTCATCCAGAACTAAAAAAGGATGCAAATCCAATTAACATCCAGAAAAATGGAACACGAGGAAATGTAATGTATCAATTAATCTGCATCCTTTCAACATAAAAACGATATTAGTTATGGAGTAGGAACAGTCCAACAATGCCATACCACTGCCTACATCTATGATTAGTGCTGTCATAGAATACCTCATAAAACAGGAATATGACATGGTATCCATACATCACCAAAATAAATTGCTAACAAACGAGGATCTTATTACAATCAGATACTTGAAGTGACATATGAGCTATAATAAGAGCTACTCTATTACCAAGGACAAATTAAAGGAGCCACATTCCTTATATTACAAAAATCTATGAACGATATCGGCAATTTATTGGAAAAACCTGAAGTACTTATTTCAGAATGAACAAATATAAGACCCATAAACACAGGGTGGTTGAATAAATTTGGCACTTTTTGTTTTTGCTTGTCTTTGTTGTTTTCCTCTCTGTTCAATTCATTTGTAATAAGCCTAAAGCATATGATACACCATTGGAAGGCAAACAGGATTGGCAATTGAATTATATTTCATTTTTAGGAAACAGTTTAAAAGTAAAGGTTTGAAATGTTTTGTACCATTGGGGCACTCTAAGACTGCTCAAAAATTACCTTAGATATCCTCAAACCTAATGGCCAATCCTGTCTTTTATGCAGCCATTTGGGATTCAGCACGAATCAGAAGGACAATACAATATTCAGCTATGAAATCTACTCTAAATACTCCCACCCCCAAATTTTGATTTAGGGATCTTATAATTAACACAAATTCTTACTTTTATATAGCCAATACTGAATTTTCTGATGTGGGAATTAAAATATTGTTTCAATATTTTAGACTCAAATTATTCCTTGTCATATGAATTTTCAAAAAATCTACAAACTTGAACTTTTTCCAGGAAATCAAAAGACTTAAACACTTATGGATTCAATTCCATGTAAATCTGAATATCCACATTTATTATCTAACATGTCTGATAGAATTTATACATTTTCCACTTAGAATCTGAAATGACCTTGCCATGTGAGGTAAATTGATGTGCCAACTTTGGAACTTTGCATTTGACATCAGTGATGCCTAAGGATGTTTACAAAGATGTTTTAAAACAGAGACCACTTATTTGCATGACCTAACTTAAGGTTTCAAAAGTAGACTAGACTATAATCACAAAGCCTTGTAACTAGGACAAACAAGGAAACGATCAATTCAAACACAACACCAGTTGAAGGTGGAAAAACTACAAAGTGCTTGCTTTTTTCAATAAAAAACTATTGATTGACGAATACCCTTCAGACAGCGAGACTGATTATATTTACCCAGGTAACAACTTGTAATTTATTTAAGTCCAAGAATAAATACATCGAGGGAGATTGGATAAGCATGTACTGCGTGTCCTGTGGTTCTTTTATAAATAACCCGCTTAGTTATTGATCATTGCCTAAGTAGACAAGCAGATTTTAAGATTTCTTCTTAGGAAATGTATTCAGCAATTATCACTCCTCAAAATGTTTTTCCATTGCAAGTCAATCAACCAGAGAATTTAAACCTTGTCTAATCCTGAGGATAGCTATTAAAAACAAAATCTTTAAAATGTCTGTTCGTATGAGTCATAGATTGTTATATTAGCTCAAAATATTAAACAATTATCATGTTGCCATTCAGGTTACATTAAAACATACAGTAAAACCTGTGAACGTTTTTTGCCGAGAAAAATGGTAGGTGTTCACTACAGAGAGGGTAATTTATGCATGTCTACTAAAGATCACTTGAGAGAGGTAAGGTGTTCACTAAAATAGGTTTTAATGTATATTTTTGTCTATTAATAAGCATTTTCTTAAATCCCTCTGAGCATATAATCTTTGATGTGAAACTGGAACATCTCCAAAGTACAATATTTATTGAGCTAAAACCAAGTGCTTGGCTTACACATATTTTACTGTACCTACCATATGTTGCACTGCAGCCATAACTTGAGCAAATACACTTTTTGCCTCACTCTCAGGCAATTTACCCTCATTGGATATTTTATTAAACAGTTCGCCTCCATTTGCATACTCCATCACCATATGTAACTTTGCAAGAGTTTCTACCACCTCATATAAACGTATCACATTAGGGTGGTGTAGCTTCTCCATACTTGAGATCTCACGTGATAACAGTCTTTGGGTTTTTTGGTCTAGTTTAGTTTTGTCTAGTATCTTTATTGCCACTTTTTCTGAAAATAAATAAGAAAACATTCAGTGTCATGGAGCAAATTAATGTTCAATACACATTTGCAAGTTTATCCAAGAGAACCATACACTACAGTTGGGGACAAAAATAAATGACAGGTCGATTTTCGATCACCATTTCCTAATTATGGTGGTCTAAAAGCCCATAATTTCCAATATTGTCTAGATATATATCCCTTAAAATTTGTATATTTTACATTTTGTATAATCTCATCCACTGATGTATGGCCTCTTGTAAATTCTCTTATTTTTAACATGGGAAATCCTCACTTCAGCAAATCCACCTGTCATTTATTTATGTCCCCAACTGTACCACTTGTTGATTTGGTCCCCCAATATGAGCTATAAATGGCATATAATTTATCGAATTGGACATACAACCTTAATCCCAATATTACATTGAAAATCTTATGTACATGTATGTATGCAAGTATTTCATACTTAATACAACAGCTCACTCATGTGAGCTAAACCATCTGACATGAATCAACAAAATTGCCACGCAAAATTAGTTTTGATAATTGGAATGTTTTTTAAGTTTTGAAATATCAATATTTTCATACAACCCGATGAAAGAGAGAGTAATAGGAGTAATCCAACAAGCGATCTGCCTTGTATATATGAGTCTCCAACTGCATTACTAATATGATGTCACAACAATACATAAAAAGTCATTTTAGGAAATTGAACTGTGAATCTGAAAGTAATCAATTTAACACACAACAGCTTAATGAACAAATATCAGTATGCATCTTTGAGAGATCATTTAATTTATCAACCATGTAATCCTTTTCTAAACCAATTATCCAAGACATGTTGATTAATTTTACTGGAATTAATATGAAGGTTGACTCCCTTAATTCCAAGTAAATTGATATGTAGGCAAAGACCTTTGGACAATTTGATGGCAACTCCACAGAGTAGCAAATTCCAATGTACAAACAATGATTCCCTGAATCTAGACCATCTAAAAAAACTATAAGTTTGATTCGATTTATAGGTGTAAAAAATAGCAGGAATATAAAAATATCATATTTGAACTATTGAATACATTTCATAGTATCGCATCGAGACGATTTCTTGCATTTTGGACAGTTATTCTGAATTTCATGGGGTCTGAATATGAGTCTTTGGAAACAATTTAGAGATTTCAAAATTAGTAAAAATTCCCACATTTTTTCCCAATTGACGTCTTCTGGTTTGCTGTTTCGACCACATGCCATTCCCTTCTATACTACTAAATTTCTTCTTCTCAATGTTGGACAGATGGATGGAGGGCATCACTAAATCCCTTGAGAACTCAATGGGATCATTTCAAAAATGTCAGTAAATTCTATGCTAGACATCAATGTACAAACTTTTTGTACCAGGAAATGTTTTCATGAAGATAATGGTTTCAAAAGAATAATTTTGGCCTTTTAATACAACCTGAACTAAACAAAAAAAATGATACATGATCTGATCTGATTCAGCAATTCCTTTGAAACACCATTTTGCAACATAATAGGTTTCAGCTTTTAAATAAAGGATTTAAGCCCAAGACTCAATGCATTGTTTCCTGATTCATATCATGAAGGTGTTGTTTCCAAACCTTAGCATGACCGCGCAGCAGGAATGCAAAGTTTAGGAAACAATGCCTGAGTGGAATGAAGCAGCTACAATGAGTCTTGGGCTCAAATTCTTTTCACACATTGCATTTTTTCTATAAAATCACTAAATGAACACATTTTCAATGAAATTGTTTGCAAGGGTCAAGTTGGCAAGCCATCAAATCCAATGTGAATGAAAAATCCATTCATCACCATGACAACTGTTTAACTAGAGACCTTGCATGTGTTATTGATATTTCACACACTGTTCATTATGTGAATACTCTGTTCGGATGAATCAGATACACCTTGCCTAGCTATGCGTGAATACAATATAACCGTACCTAGTCCAACTAACCATAATGCATAGTAATGAACAGATCTATTACACATCAAATGAATCTGAAAGTAAGGCAATAAGCAACTATCCGTATATAAATTTTATCTATTCTGCAAGCTATATCCATGATGTATTATTTTATATTGACTCAGCTAAAAGCTTGAACATGTTTCATTCATTCATGTTTCCATTAGCATTCCACTTCCAGCAAACCAGAAATCATCAGTTATCAAAATACCAGCTTCAAAGAAAAATGTTGCCTACCTCTGGTCAACGCATGGATCCCCATTTTAACTTGGGAAAAGTTGCCTGTGCCCAGTTGACCTCGTATTCGATAAAAAGCAATTCGCTTTCCAAGAGTTATTTCCTTCAGACATTTTTGGTCATTTGACAAATCTCGAGAAAGTTTTTCAAAAGCTGTCAATCGTTTTTCAGGTGGTTTATTTTCATCATTCTCCGAGTATGTGGAGTTAAAATCCGACATTGCCGACACTCTGCTCTGACGTGCCGACATGTTTCGCTTTGAGTTATCACAACCTTACTGCTATTGCTGTATTGCACCAAGCTTCCAACATCATACAAGACATTGATTCTTGTGTTGCTACATCATTTCATTTTCTTCTGCCTTGCAAAGCCAGCTCTCCAGTTCAACATCTTACCTATAATTAAAAAGTATACTGACTTAAAATAATAAGCTGATGTTCTGATATACATAATCAATTCAGACATCAATAGACCTATCAATTACAAGATGGATGTGTCATTTGATATGATATGAATGAACATCATAACTCTGATAACCTCCCATAATTGATCTCATACATTATTATAGCAACTTGAGAAAAACAACATTTGCAAGTGTAAGTGAAATGTTTTAAGCTTTAAGACCCTTGGTCATCTCTCTGGAGAAAATACACAGACAACTCATTCACTGAATGAAACAAACTACCATACCAGGGGTTTCATTAGCAGCAGGCAACAGGCAATTTTCACTGCTTGTTTTCAAAAAATTGCCTGTTGTTTTTAGGGACTTTTCGACTTTCCATGTTAAATTCATGATTTCCATTAATTTTGCCTTTGGTTTTCATTTATTTAGCCTGTTGTGAGAAATTCTCGTGAAACCTCTGCATACCCAGGCTGGTACTCAGGATGAGAAATGATTATTGTCATCATTTTACATTTGTAAAATTTTGTAATTAACTTAAAAGTGTGTTTATAGCCTCTAACGACATGGTGGCTCGTATGGTTGATGTAAAATCAAATTGTAATAAAGTAATAAAGTAACATTGTCATGATTATTAACTTATTAGTGTATTATGCTTATGGCGCTGTCACATTTCGTGTCGGCTTTCCTCTCACCATCTAGTGTGACAGCTACTTTACAAAATGGGAATGATACAAATAAATTCAAACCAATAATGAGAAATAGACTTGACCTTCCATGTATTCTATAGCAATATATTCATAAATACAGCTGTAGATTGATTTTATATTTAAAGTAAATTAGGTAATAAATAGAAACAGTGCCTTATCAGTCTGGAAAATAAGGATTTTTTCACTCTAGCCTATGTCCATTGTCCACAGATATTGAAAACACTCTGGCCAAAATATTGTCTGTCAGGCCATATTTACAACCAGTCACAATGAATTTTAATTCAATTTCTATTTATTAAAAAATGAAAATTTTGATGTCCACTTTTTCTGCATGAAATCCTTAAGATACATGTTTATGAGTAGTAGTTGTGTACTACTAAAAATGATTCTTGTTTACTCATGCAATGATTATTAATGATCTTATAATTATATCAGAAGTGCAGAAATGGATAGACGAACAAACAGTGGCTTCTCTATATCCCTACAAACTTCATTCGGTAGGATAATTATTGGCCACAATGAAAAACTTGAAGAACATCTTAAACCTATATTTCAAGAAATTTAACTGAGTATTTGGAAATTGCTTTTCAAGTGCCATTATGTTGACTGAAATTCGAATTTAAAATACTAGTACTGTAATTAAGAAAATACGGACAAGTGACATAAATTCATCTGCACATGGTCTAATATAGGCATGATTCGTCCCTTGCAAACACTTTATACTTATGATCTGTAAAGCAAACCAAAGAAATTGTAATTATATAATTGATTATTTGCTATCGTTATATCTCTATGGTGAGATGTAAATATGAACTAATCACTTCTCTCTACTTCTCTATAGAATATCTCTAAATGTTTGAATTAATTATTTACATATAAGTATGATACCTTGAAACTTTGTAATCAGAAAAATAAATATACAAGTATATGACTCTAATCAATAAATGATGCTGGCCTTTCATAAATTTTAGGCATTAGTTGGATGTTTCGTAGTAATATTATCTGTACAAAATTAATAACTCGTCCAGAAAATAAAGAGGTCTATGCTCTACTTGCACCTTACGAGGCAAGCAATCTTTCAAAATTCATTTTCAGAAAAGAAGGCTTGTTTCAAAGTGTATTGATCGAGCAAATTTTATGTCATTTTGAGAAAATAATTTTAACATCAGAGTTAGGCACTGAGCCCTTTTATTACATGCATGTATTAGACATCAATTTAGTCTAGATAATTAGCAAAATCCCATAAGGGTTAAATATATTTTATTTATTTACATTTCATAGTGAGTTTGAAGGCTAGACATTATTAAACAAAACCTATTCTGATACTCATTACATTTTTTTGTTTCACTATTAATATGCTCTGAATGAAGACCGCATTTAAAAACTAATACTGTACAAAGCGTACCTAAATAGCGGGGCTGCCCCGCCCCTAGCGACTTTGACTATTGGAGTTTTAATAGTATCACTTAGGGCGGGCGGGGTTTGTCCCATATTAGAATTCATGAACTTGAGAAAAAATTTAAATTTTGAAACCAGCGCTATTTTGGAGTTGAATTATTTTGATCCCCAGTTGTTAATTATATGCAATATGCTTTGTCCCAATATGAACCTGTACATGGAAAAGAACCGGGGTAGTTCCTCACACTGTCATGGTTCGTTCAGTGAATAACTTGAAAAGTTTGAAGATCGCTTGTAGAAATCAATACAATAATTTGATGGAAATGTTATTATTACCCCAGCAAATGAACCATTTTGACGCCAAGGAGCGTCGCAATGTAGAGGTGTAAGAATTTCTTAGATTAAGGTAAGAAGCTGCGAGAAAAAGCAAAAACGTTATATGTCTTTACAATGGAACAGATCCACAAGAACTCATGTATTTGAACGCATGGAAACTTTAAAAAGTGGGCAATGTCATAAGTATTGTGATAACAACGTCCCATATACCTATTTATTACAGGTCGTGCTATTTATAGCAAAAACATTGACTTTTGCACGTTGGTGATGATGCGCCTTTTTTAATAGATCTTATATCTTAGAAGGGTATCAGTTCAAAAAAAATACTAGAAGACCTAACATGTTTTGCCATGCACTGCACCTATTCATTTGGCAATTCAGTTGTAAATTTTCTCTTGAAAAAATAAATCTTCCAAAGGTCCATGTGCAGTATAGCAAGTGATTTTAGACAGTCATATCTTTCACCATGAGTATTTTCTGGGTATAAATACAGTGTTTTTATTAAAACAATATGTTTTCTTTAAAGCAATGTCCCCATGATAGTAGAATATCAATCCCACTCTCTGAAAAATTATGGATTAGGACCCCACCTTGTCACTTTTTTAAAAATGCAAGGCTTATTTTCTAAAAAGAGGATCTTCATTTTCTCAGTTCAAATGTCTCAAAAGTTTCTTTTACACTATATTAATGGCATGATAACTTTTGAAAAGGGGATGGGTATTGAAATGCGATAAAGTTAAAAAACACATTTCCCATGTTATTTTCCCATAGGGAAAACTCATGCTATCCATTGTTTTCAGCATGATTTTGGTCATCGAAAATTGATATCTTCAAAACTAGACTTTCAATACCATTCTACTTTTGAAGATGTTTTAGACCCCTTGGTGAATAATGTTTTCATATTTTTCGAATTGTTCGATTGATATTTAAATGATCATGGAAACTTCACTTGAAAGAAAACATATTGTTTTCATAAAAACCACTGTATTTATGCCCCGTAAGAACTCATGGTGAGAGATATGACCGTCTAAAATCACTTGCCATACTGCACATGGACCTTTGTTAAGTTTTCTTGCAGAAATCGCCTACTTCCCCCTTCCATCCATTTTGTACGATCACCGGGCGTGTTTATAGGAACCAAGGCTTACACAACATATTGACAAATTAACAAGAATCTTGCTGGCATCTAGGCTATGCTTCCCGTTCTTACTTCAAAGGCCCAAACGATGGAAATAAATAGGCCTAGGCCTACAGTACAAGGTCCTTACTTAGTTTGCACAAAGCTAACTGAGAGATCTAAATTAATCTAGTCAATCTAAATGATGGCTATGTGCAAATATAGTAAACAAGGCCCTAAACTTACTGCTTACTTTGGAAAAATTGAAAATATTCGATGGATTTGTTTTTTGTTTGATTCGACAGGGCACGGTTAGCACAATTGAGGAAATCAGAATGATTCAATCAATAAAAATAATATTTATGCCCATTTCTGTGGAAACCATATGTCGCTGAAAGATACAGAAAAAACTAAGAAGCGAAAAATAAATAGGAACATTTTTACTTACCGACCAAACATTCAATATGGCGATGACCTATATTGGGATCCGTCCTCAAAAGAGAGAATTATTGAAGTTTACGTTTAAACAGATAAAAGGTCCATTAAATCAGAATTATATGCAAATTACAACGTTTTGATAAACTTTAAACTTTGCAATACAGGTATATTATTTGAAAAGTTCACACAAAACCATATTTATGATAATTTATCAGGATGCAGTGAAAAGAATATTCTCCCGCTAAGCATGATCAATTTGACGTCAGTCTAGGCAACGTAAAGGGTCGTATGTAGGAAAAATCTGGCAAAAATGTTCAAACATATCCAAGAGTTATACCTTTATACCTTTAATTATACCAATAGTTCTGGAAGAAGGATGTCATTTTTTAGATCTTTAAGCTCACAGATATTGGCCAGATCGTTTTGTAGTAGGATCTCATAGGCTCAAAGAATATCTATTGCGCTACTGATTCCACTTCAAAATAATCTGGCCTGGATCTATGTTTAGGCTTGGCTAATTTTACTAAAGAGTTACTAAAATATATCAAAAATCATTTTCTCTTCATTCTATGACCTCTATGAAATTCTAGTAAACTTCCAACTTGGATTCAGGTCAAAGCACTCATGTGAAACCCAACTTGTAAATACAATAGAGAATATAGCTCGAGCCCTCGACAACAATAAACAAACAGACATGTTGGTATCAGACTTTTCCAAAGCGTTTGACGCGGTGACTCATGAACGCCTTGATCAAACTTGACTATTATGGAATTCGCAATGATAACTTTAACTGGTTCAGATCCTGGCTTGTGGGAAGCATGGACTTCTCAGTGATTAGAAGTCCATGTGGGAAGATCACAACAGGTAGTGTGTAATATGGGATATTTTTATGTGTTTTTAGGTATAGAGTATAGTAGATTATTCTTCCCAGTGGCCTTATACTAACGCTTGTGGTGGTGGTTTGTTTTACAGAATATAACAGCAACACCTTGAGATACACAACAAATTGCACGATTTATAGCATGTGATCAGTGTTGCTTGTAGATGTAGTTTTGTAACATTAACTGATTTGCCTAGTGTAACAATCAAAGTGTGTATTAACAGTGTCCAGTATTCACAAGTGAACTCAAGACCCGAATGAGTATTGGCAATTTATAGAAAGATATCGTCACGATTTATAGCATGTGATCAGCGTTGCTTGTAGGTGCAGTTTTGTAACATTAACTGAGTTGACTAGTGCAACAATAAAAGTGTGTACATTTATTAAAACCCTTCAAATCTGATTTTCAAAGAATGTATTTGGAGAAACAATAACAGGTAAGTGGAACAAATTAGAAGATGGTTTCAAGTTATTACAGAAGTTAATTTGAAACTCACACACTTCACACACCACCACTGACACTGGTCGTGAACGCGTCTTCAAAGAAATAGTTCCATAGAAAGTGAATTATAACACGTATGTCCCTTTAAGTAGGAAGTAGAATTTGCGCATGCGCATTACCCTCCGGAAGTAGTTTTTGTTATTTTTAAAAATATTTCCAAAGTTACACGGAATCGTCTACTTTTTACCAGTTTGTCAGTACATATCACAAATAAATACGTAACAGGTAAACATTACAACGCATTTATGGATTGATGGGCAAACTGACATTCCATATATAGTCTACCTGAAACATATTTCAGAGATTGTTTCACTAAATTTCAATTTCAACATCAGGCTTTCAACTTCAAGACAAGAGAAAGCCCATGATTTCATGAAATAAATGCAAGTTTGGTTCATGTTCATAATAACACAATTGTGATCCCTGCCTCTGACATAAGGAGCTTTTCATTTAGGTCACAGACATCAAGTAAGTTTCTGGCGTGGTATATTGATCCCGTGCCAGGACTATAGTCCTCCTGTGAACGTCTTATTTTTTTGTCTGTACGATTACAACATGGGAGAATTTTCTACGCTTACACTTACACTTACACTTAAGATACCTACTTCAAAAGATTCCTTGGTGTTTAAGCATTCTTTTCGTGTAGTTGAAAATTCTCCCATGTTGTAATCGTACAGGCAAAAGAATAAGACGTTCACAGGACTTTAGTCCTGACACGGGATAATGGTATATCACTTTTATCAATTAGCAATAACATTTTGATAATAGCGATATTATTACTAATAGCAATATTCTCTGATATTAGATATATCTGCTAAATTGTGCTTTGTTGGTTTTACATAACTCCAGACCAATAATTTTGATAGTTGATAATATCAATATTATTGCTGTTAATACATTACCTGATCTTATCCACTAACAATTTCAGGTATGACCTGTTGCCTGAAACAACTTTCAGGTATGACCTGTTGCCTGAAACAACCAAAATGAATTATCATTAACAGATAGCCAGATAAAATCAATATTATATTGTTGTTTATGGTAATATATTTGATAATATCAATATGAATATTAATGCTAATGCTAATTTCATGTATGCCCTCTTTAGGGTGTCCAAAAACAGACATTTTGTATGTTTACTTATCAAATTAGGCCATAAGAATTAGATTCTTTGTTTTGCGTCCTGGCAAAATCCAAATCATGCAAGGGTACAAGGAAAACAAACACAAACTCAAGAAAAAACACAAACTTGTTTGCTGAGAAATGTATACATTTTATTGGCATAAAAAGGGATGACATATCAATATGTAGTGATTACAAACACATATCTATACATGTTTACAATATAAAAACATAGGTATTATTCAAGGGTAAAAAATAAGAAAATGCTCAATGTATACCAACGTAATCAATGACACTGTCAATTTTGATGCACATCAAATTAGTCTATCCGCCATTTCATCTGATTCTGATTGAACGGAATGTGATGGTACTTTCAGACCCTTGTGATTGCTATTTGGATGTGTTTGTTTTTTCTGATTTACTCAAAATCGTGCAAGCAAGGGGACGCAAAACAAAGAATCTACTTCTTATGGCCTTATTGAATCTTTAGAGGCTTAAAATTCACCTGTCCTAAATAGAAAAATGTAAATATCTCCATGTGTTGAGAATGTTAACATTACATATATACAGTAGAGCATGCATAGAGTGTTGTCATGACATGCCACAATTGGATATGATAGTCAAACTCATCTCTCATGGGCTTGAACTTTTTTTCTTATAGACTATGCTATTCTCTTTTTTATGTTGTAGGTTGCTGGTGAGTAGAGGGTCAATACCTTCAACCAGCTAGTTTAGACTGATCAGAATGTATGAGTGAAGAATGTAACAGAGGTACTAGTGTATGCTGCTAAGTTCTAATAACTACAGGAACAGCCGACATATTGACTCACTGAACCTGGCACCAGATCATCTACAATCATGTAACAAGGTTTTACAACATATGAATATGTGAATAAGAATGCGTCCCATGTCTATTCTGATTGATTGCAAATGGCTACTTACATATACAAATAAAATATCATATTACCCCAGAGACATGCAAATAAAGTTGATTTTTATGTCGCCACAAGAAGTGGTGATCAAGAACTCATGATCATTTTTTGAGGGAGATATAAGGCATGGGTGATTTTTTTCAAATTTGGTGCACTTTTTAAACAAGTATTGAGAAATAACTGACATAAATTTCAGGCACATATCTTTCATATTTCCGAATTTATTATCATTTGAATTCTACATTGCCACAAACCGCGGAGTTGTCATAGAATTTTATTTCACATTTTGTAAATTTTTACACAAATTCTCAACTATAAAAATAATGTTTTTCTCGAAATATTACAGTATTTTGGAACATAAGTTAATGGTAGAGCACCTGACATGTAATTGTCGTAATAAGACCAATATGCAAAATCATATTGCCAAGCAAATGGGGACATTTCTTTCAGTCCCTCAGGAACATGTAATATGATTCTTCAGAAAACGTAATATACAATCCATTGATCTATGGGGTCTCTATCAAAATTTACATATCATTTTGATCAGAGTGCTTTATAAATATGGGGAAAATGCTCAACTAATCTAATACAAACACACTTCTTTTATAGTTGAGAATTTGAGTAAATTGACAAAATGTGACATAAACTGTTGTATTTCTCTGACAACTCCGGGGTTTGTGACGATGTGGACTGTTTTTGGCATTTGATGGTTGGTATGGTTTGGCAGTTGGTGTTCGCCATTTGTAACAAATGGTAGGTTGTGACATTTTGCATTTTAATGCCTTGTATGCTTTTAGTGTCGACTTAAACTTCATTGAATGATTAGATTTCAGAGCTAAAATAGGATAAACACTGCTTAAAAGTTAAAAGCATTTATTGACAAACTGCATAATGTCTTTATACACATTTTTATTTCAGTAATTGAAAATGTATTCCCGTGCCCATCTTTTGATAAAACGAGACTTTGAGAGGTTCACCCAGGATCCACCATGGGTAAGATCATAGATGTAATACTAGTTTACCCAACCCAATATTTAGCCATTATGTCCCTATCATTGAATATATGCCTGAGGTCTGACATCAATATAGTCCATAGTCCGAGCTTGCGAGGGTTATATTGACGACAGACCGTAGGCATACAGTATATTCAATGATACTGACATAATTGTTGTATTACATACCTAAAGTAGATTTACATAACATTTCATAAAGATAATGTGTAGAATTGCATGAAAAAAGACCAAAATTTTACACATTTCCAGTCGAAATCCCTTTGTTTACATGTTATGAGGTCATAAAGTTGTCATGGTAAAAAAGTTTGGTGGCTATACAGGAATATATGCTACAGCTCAAGTTGAGGAATGTTAGAATATTGATGAAATGAGCAAGGTACACAGTAATGAAAAATATAACGATTAATCATGTTTAAGAACACATCATTTCAATGTTTTAGGGTATAGAAGCTCAGCCACTCGCAGATGATAACATATTTGAATGGTCAGCAAAGATACAGGGCATGAGAGAAACAATCTGGGAAGGTATTATATACAAGTTAAAGACAAATTCTGATTTCATATAACAGTGTAATTGGACTACATGTAATTATTAATTGTTTGTAGTGGATTGAATAATATGATGTTACATGTTCCATCCTGAGACTTCTTGGGATATTACATGAATATATTAAATTTGCAGTGCATAAATCCTAGATATAGTATAATTACAGTTTCAAAATAGTTTATGATCAAAAAGATATGAAGGGAATACCACCTTAAAGATATATGTTCAGATATCCTTCATGACATGTGACCCAGTTTTGACCAATCATACAATTGCAAGCTTGACAGTGGTATAATAATATTCTTTATTTCTTAGGTGGTTTGTTTCAAGTTTACATCAAGTTTAATGAACACTACAACTCTACACCCCCCGAAGTGTGTTTCCACACCATACCATTCCATCCTAACAGTAAGGTTATACATATATTTGTACCTGTACAGGTGCATGCTGTACTTAAGTGTGGATGTACTACTTGGAAAAAGTAAAAAAGTCACTTATTTTTTACATAATGTACAGTGTAATCAAAACATATTGTGCAGTACTAGTCTTGGTTTATGACCCTAGACCCCGAATCCATGATGTATTCAATGCAATCATAATATGCAGAGCAGTTAATACATATTTTCTTGTTTTAGTTGATAGTATCACTGGAAGACCATGTATAAACTTCTTAGATGACCCAACATTGTGGAAGGAAACCTACAGTTTTGGATTTGTCCTTCTTTCAATCCAGGTAGGAATACATGTAGAAAGAAGTTGGGTGGTTACTGCTTAAAAATCTTGCAAGAGCAACTTGAAACCAAATCTTCTTTCATGTAAAAGCACATTTTAAAATGACATTGGGTTAAGTTTACTTATTTATAATGTAATTATATTATAATTTCAGCAACATTTACAATGTTCAACATTAAAGAATGAAGTCTACAGTATTATCATATTGAATTCCTTAGTTAAATTGTTATTACAGGTTTGCAATTATGTTTGACAAACTACATTCATTGAATCAGCTTAAAACTCCTGGATGGGACTTTGTTTTTTCTGGACAAATTGTTTCCTTTTTTGAAATACCTCCAATGTAAAGGTTTTTATTGGATTTTAGAAAAATCATGTCATACTTTACACGGTACTTGAGATAGTTAACTGCCCTTCAAATTAAGAAAAAAAATGTACTATGAATAATGAATATCCAAATATTTCCTTTGCTTGTTACCTCCAAGACAAGAAGTGGTGACATGTTATTATATCCACTATTCTTTGACCAGTTTTCAGCGTGTTTAACAAATGGTTGCACATGTAGTTTAAAACAAGTTGAAGATATATTATCATGTTAATGGATTGTTTACATTTATGCAGAATCTGCTGTCAAATCCAGTCTTGGATGATGCCATTAATCCCGATGCTGCTGCCATGTTGGTCAATTCATACCACAGTTACAAGCAAATGGCACAAGACTGTGTCCTAGCAAGTAGACGCTTTGAAGGTACATAGAATTATGTCACATCTTAATTTTGCTTACAGTGTACTGTGTCAATAATAGCTTGATATTTTGTGTGTAAACTTTATTTTCAATGAATCCTTTGAAACACTTTTCCATCCCAGTATCTTTCATTATTGTTATTAAGGTATTTTAATATTACTTTCCATGTAAATTCAATTGGCAAATAGGATTTTACTTCGGAGTTCAAATTGGTCATAATCAAAATATTTTTATTTATGATTTAATGTTCTAAAGTTACGCCTTTGATAAATTAAAAATATAAATAAATTAAAAATGTTCAAAGTAAATGAATGAATACACAACATACCAAGCACTCATAAACTACAATTTATCTGTAAAAAGCAAGTGTTGATGTTATTTTTTACAATAGCTGGACTAAGCCTCGAGTCCACTGTTCTGGATGACAAGATTCGCTTTGGGGTACCAGAGAAGCCCCCTACCCCTGAGGCACCCCCTAAGGTTACACCAAAAAAGATCAAGAAGATGTCTTTCGAAGATTACCACAAAGGTTGGAGTGGTATAGCTACTTCCAAAACACACCCTGATACAGTGAATCCATGTAAGACTCGATGTTTGAAGATTTCTTTGAAAAAGTGAATTGAAATGGTATTGAGCCCTTTGTAAATCACAGTAAATACTGTATATATCCAAACACCTCTTTAGTCTGAACTCATTTACTCTGTATTCTCCCATTGATTACCATGTTAAAAACTTGAAATGTGACCACCTGCTATTATCCTCTTTTGGCCAGTCCCAGTAGCATTTGAAGATTTTACTGTACTTCCATATTTTATACCATAATAGTATGTGCGTTATCTATTGTAGTACTAGAGATGCTGCAGGATGATCCTGTGATGGAGGAAGTTCATTTGGGAATCAGTAGGCCAGAGATAGAACAACAAGTGAAGAAACAACTACAGGAGTGAGTAGACCAGAATGATGAATGGTTCTGTCAATATACATTTCTTGGCCATTTAATCCTATCCTAACTGAAATCTTTGGAATGGTTCAAATTGAAATACATGTAAGATACTTTGGGCAATGTCTGGTAAGAAGGCACCTTTGGTACCAACTTTCCAGGCAAAGTCACTTTAAATCCTTGGCCCAAGAACTGTTTGTCAGCTGTCTTTTAATGTAGCAGTTACTAAATGTAAACGTGTGTACTTGATTACATTTAGTTTCTATACATTATTTCGGTTTCCTGTTTGTGAAATGAATATAAATGTATAATTTTTACAAACTCTGATGCCAAATGCCAGTTTCGTGGTTAGAACAAAATGTCATCACTTCTTGATGGTAACCTTGTAACTTTGAATGTTATTTACCATGACAACTTCCAGATTAATCAATAATTCTCCAAATCTTATTTATGAAGTATTCTTTTGTTTTGTTTTGTTTTTAGACACAGCAAGTTAATCTATGGAAAATTTAAAAATGCTCCCACATCTGAAGAAGAACTGGATGCCAAAATTGCTAAGCTTCAGCATATGAGGAAGATCTACCTACCCAGTAAAACTCCTAGTAAGAGCCCAAGATATGTTTTTCATACAATAGATGTCCCTTCTTAACAAAAATTTCATTAAATTTGATATCAGAATCATCTATTATTTAAAATAAAGATCAATACTTTGTCTTGTAAAGGATATTCTTTTAATATGTTGATTAAGGATAAAAATGGAAAATGAATAAGACGGGTATTCATTTGGTCAAAACATTGGTCTTCGTTTGACTAAAAACACCAAATAAGGAACACCAATTGCAAATAACGGACTGTATTATGATAAAAATTAAAATATCATTTTTACAATATAGTTAATTCTTTTTCAGCCACTGCCCCACCTTCCAGGATAGGAGCTATATCTCAACAGGACACTATACTAAATGCCCCAACAGTAGCTCAACCAGCAGTAAAAAACATTGAAGATCCTTGGGATCAGGATGTTGATGAGCTTGTAGCATGGACAACTAACCTTGATGAAGATAACTTATAATATTAATTAATTTAGAGTATTCCTTCTTAAAATGAATATGAGATTATTTATTCTAAAAAAGAATTATGTGATATTTCATACTTTTATTGTCTACAAATGTAAATTCACTATGTTAGTGATTGATACAGTCTACAACAAACCATGGCTGATAAATAATGTGAAGTGCTAAATTGAAAAAAGACACACTTTTCTTAAAGGGATATTCCTTGTGAGTCCATTTTTCTCTTGATATTTTAGCTCCAGTCATTTTTATACTATCCATATTTAGCTAAACATGGGAAAATTTTTTGATATGGTCAAAATTGATCATTTAAAAATGCTGTGTTCATTAATTTTCAAGTGGGCTGAAATCATTTAAGTTTCCATACGGAAAGTGATGTCATCAACTATCAAGTTTGCATATAGCATAAGGTAATGAGGATAAAGAAGCACAAAACAATTTGAACACATTTTAGTTATGTCTATGATTTGATTTTACAGAAAATTTCTTCTTTTTATTTTAAGTTGACAAGCCCTTAAAATATTTTTGCACAAAAGTAAGAACCAAATGTCTAGTAGAGGCGATTTTGTGCTACTTTGCTATGCAGTTATGGGCAAGTTTAGAATAAGTTAATAGTCAATAATGACATCACTTCCTGCGTGAAATCTTAGAAGATGAGCACAGCATTTTTAAATGATCAATTTTCACCGTATCAAACATTTATTGGTTATAGCTACCTTATCAAGAAACAGGCTTGCAGAGAATATCCCTTTTAAATTAATGCTTATGATCTATACTTGACATGAATATTTAAATTGATCTCATGCTTTGTGCCAGTCTTGCATCAAGTCTCAAGTCCCTTCCTCTTGCTCTTGTACTCTTTGAGAGAGAACAGGAATGGCCACATAAGGGCTTGATGCAAGACTAGTCATATATGGGCACATATTTGTATGTCTAAGAGTGAAATGCATTCAGGAATTTTTACTGTGATGATCCGTCCAACTGTACAGTCTTATTTTACTTTATGGAAACAATTTATTTTACTGTGATATTAATTTTGTCTTTTGTTATTTTTTAACAACATTAAAACCTAACCCGGAAGTGCATTTAATGTAAATGTACTTCTGTATGATTTAAAATTAGAATGGGTATTAAAATATGAATTGGATTGGGTGGATTGGTTTCATGTAAAAGGGTTGCGGACATAAATAGTATGGGACCAATGTTAAAGTGATTCTATACATTCCATACTTTGTAAATTCTTGATCCAATCAAATGCTTGATCCAATACTTACCTTAGAATTGAGAATAGGTTCCTCATTAAAGTTGCTGTGAATTTTCTTTTTTTGTACTTTTATAAAATAGGTCACTTAATTTTATTCATTTTAAATAATTATTACCCCTGTACTCATAATCCAGGAATATTAATCCAGTGTTTGCACAAACCTGTAAACCATGTTGGCAATGAGTTAGAAGTAGAATGAGTTAGAATTAATATGTGTCCCCACTGAGGAAGCCATTTTAATATTTCACTGTACAAGACTAACAGATTATGTTTAAGAAATGCTTTTTCTTCAGATTTATTTACATATTTTATCATAATAATTCACTCCTACAATTCACATGCATTACATCACAATTCACATACATGATATTGAAAAGAAGGGTAGCAGTAACAGACTGTCAATTTTTATTTGCATTGTGAGTATTCAGGCTAAAGTCCGTCAAACAGGGCATCCATAAGTAAAAGACATGATAGATAAGTCTGGTAAATCACAAATCAAGTTCACATATTTCTTGATCGAAGTTATACTCTTGATGGATAGGCCCCTATGACAGGTGAAATGTCTATTAGACATTTACTCCAATAATCATAATCCAAAGATTCATGTCGGAAAGAGGATGTGTTAAAACAGAGACATGTATAATATCTCTGGTTAAAACAAACTGAAACAAAATCTTTAATATAAAAAGTTCAGAAAAAATGTTAGCCCGTGGATGTTTTCAGGACAGACACTGCTAAATTAAATAATTATTTGAAAGTGGGTTTCTATAGATATTAAAATGATTCAATCTCAAGAGGTAGACTAAGGTTGGTATGATGTGAAATATATATACTGTACAGGTACATGAACTGTATTGTGCGTTTTGTGTAAGTCAGTTCATATATGAACATTATATCAAACAAGGAATTCTGACCTTGACTAGTGCCACCGAACAATGAACATCAGCTTGCCTTTAATCTACTGTTAGCAACTCTCTGTAGGACTTGGGATATATGCCTGACAGAGTGAATCCTTAGATTCATCCCACAGATATGTCTTTGATTGTTCAAATGTCAATTGCAACTACATCTTCCAGATGTAATATACAGATATACAGTAAAACCTGTCTTATCCGAATGCCAACAATGGGGCCAGCCAAAATTGTTTGGAACAGCAATTGTTCACATTTGTTCAAGTTTCTTCAACAAGGGAGTCAATGGGAGATTACAGAATTGGGACTGAGAGTATTAATTTCATATAGAGAGGTGTTCAGATTACAGGGATGTTCAGATATAGGCTACAGGTTTTAGTGTTACTAGTATATTGTGATTATTATGTGATATCCATATATAGGCTCATACAGGCCACCACATTCATGATATGTGTTACGAGTATATGAAGTTTTGTGCCTAGAAGTATTGAACTCTGCATCACATCTATCTCACATAGTATAATAATGGAAACAGGCTATATGACTATGGTCATCTGTGAACCCAGACCTACTCCCTGGATACATTCAAGGAGCATGAGTTGTCTGAGTAAAAATTTGAGTTGATGCAGTAGAGATCCTATTATTACGTGCTAGTGGGGTTGCGGAACATGGCCATCAACATAAAAGTTTCTAGTAGCTTTTGGTAGTTCTAACTCCATTCCTTCTAAATGTTTATCTAATATTATTTGGCATCCTGAAAATACAAAAGACAGGTTATAAATATCAGAATTTCAATGTGGTGGATTTTGATATCCGAGAGTTGTAAAAAAAACACATAGTTCTGTGTAATTCATTTCACACTTTATTTTACTCAAATATCAATTTTATTTTGTATATGGTTGCTTTCTCTTTACTTTTGGTGATTTGAAGAAGCATTGATAAAATGTTCTTATTTGGTTTGCATTTTAGTTATAAGAAAGGAATTGCTTGATATTTTCTGTGAGTGCTGCCATCGTGAAAGTTTCCATGGGAAACCATAATCAAATGGACTCTGTACTTTGTTTTTCAATCTAGGTGCATACACTCTGGAAAAGAACATAATTACTCATGACTCACCAAGTCTTGAATTGACTTTTAAAAATGCTGCCATGTCTAACATGTCTTCTTCCCTGAAAGAACACGTTTCAGGAATGCAATATTATAGTTAAGTACATGGAAGAACATTAGGCCTAGTAGTACATATACATGGAACTTTACATGTAACTCTGCATAATGATTTCATGAATGAACAAGTTGATAATTTATTCCACAACTCTAGGTCCACCTTGGGCTATTTCATATCAAGAGGTTGTTTGTTAAAGATATTGAACAAATATTTCACTCTATTGAGGTGAATACCTGTACATCTTTCACAAGTGATATTCCACGAAGCCCGAAGGGCAAGTGGAATATCACCTTGTGAAAGTGCTACAGGTATTCACCGAAAATAGAGTGAAATATTTGTTTTATTATATCACTGTCTAGCTAAACATCCCTAATATTATTAAGTCATTAAGTCTTCAGATATTTTTACGAATCTACTCGGTTCGTCTGCCATTTTGACTTACACTGAACTAAATTATTTACACTGAACGAAAACAAATTCTTTGAAAATTCCCGGGAGCGTGGGATATCGCTAGATATCTCACGGTTGTCTTATCTGATTGGCATTGCCATTGAATATCGCCAGATATCCCACGACATGTGACCCGGTTTTGACCAATCATACTGTCGCTAGCTAGATAGTGATATAATAATGTGAAATATCATAATGTAAAATTCATCATGTAAGTTAAATTTTGCATTATCACACTCTTATACTGTACAGCGCTTGCATTAGGTTAGAAAATTTGTGAGTCCCAAGGACGCAATATTTTTTAAAAAGTGTGTCCTTTGAAAAAAAAGTGTGTCCCCTATTTCTAGTTGTTTTGAGGTATAACTTTATCTTAAAAGCATTTTTTACCAAAACACCTTTCAGTTTTTGATTTCTTGCCGCGAATTTAAAACGGAAGTGAACGTTAAGTACGGACTGAATAAATGCATGTTCGTTCATTCGACAATGAATACATTTTATTTCATGAATAACCTAATATTTGTTTCTGAATAGGAAAAACTGTGGCGTGTCATGGTTTCAAATCTAAAAATAAACAAAGTCGAAAAAATTCGAGAGAATCATGATTATTTGTAAATATTCAACATGTTGAGCCTTATTTATGATTCAAATAAAGGTGAGAGATCATAATTATTTGTTTTTGTTAGGTATCCTTGTAAACACATTGTAGTATTGACCTAAAAAAAATTTGCGTCCAAAAAACGGAAATATTTTCAATTTTTGCGTCCTCCAAATTATTTTTGAGTCCTTAACATGTACGGGACGCCGTTAATGCAAGCCCTGCTGTACTAATGTTTATCCACCAAATCTGATAAATACATGTATATTAATAATATTGCCTTTTTGGAAAATTCTCACTATACATGTACAAATATCTTTATATACAGTAAAACCTGTCTTAGTGAACACCTCTCTCTAGTGAACACCTGTTTCTAGTAGACACCATTCCTCTACACATACTCTATCAACTTATTTATAAATATCCTCTCTGTAGTGAACACCTACAAACACTGAACATTTTTTCTCTCTGTTTCATGTTCAATATACACAGGTTTTACTGTAATATCAATGCTGAAAATGAAGATGTAGACCTACTTTTCATCTGGTTCTGGAAGTTTATCAAAGTTCTCTTCATCAACATAGACGTGGCATGTACTGCAAGCTAGTGATGCCTCACACGCACCTGGTATAGGAATATTAACATATAACAATTGTAGCAAAAGTGTAGCATTGTTGACATATTGTAATGATCATCATGTTGTATATATGCATGAAACAAAATATCGGTATTTTTTATATAAAAAATCTGCTTAAATTCACCAGTCATTTTAAAATAAACCAGTGTTGTCAATTCTTTTCAGAGGAACATGAGTAGATAGACAGTAATTATAAATGTGATGTACATTGAAAGGATGGGTATCAATATGGTGAACTTTTCGAACACACGTTTCCCTTGAACCAGTTAATAAAAAATTCAGAAAATTTTATACATTGTCAATTTAATGGTCATCTTTTGAATGGTAACAATATAATTTTAAATAAATATAAATACTTTTCTCTATATTGTTTTAGAAAACGCATCAGCCACTTCTTTGGTCTTGTGTTCGGAATGAAATGAAACATCTATCCGAACCTCATTGGAACAAAACGACATGAACACAACATGTTTAGGTCTCTCAATATTGTAATTGTAAAGGAAAGTTTGGTTGATTTTAAAAAAGTATCTTGTTTATGAAATAAAAGGTTTATCTTAATTTTTATCCAGTTTGGGGTTTGTTGTTTTAATTTTTTGAATACTTTTTGTTAAATCAACCAAAATATTCCTTTGTTCTCGTATAACTATAATATTGCGAGGTCTAAGAAAATGTTGTTTATACTATTTTGTTCCAACAAGCTTCAGAAAGATATCTTATTTCATTCTCAAGAATTGGTAAAAAGGAACAAAAAACAATTGCACTCAAAAACAAAATATGTTAACAAAAACAGTTATATGAAATATACATAAATAATATCCGCATTAAATTATTGTCAATCAGTCAAAATTATATATATAATTATGCATATCAACATAACATTCTACTAGTATACATTACATACCTTCTAATTCTATTCCATATCTATGGGCGAGATACATTACATTGTCTCCCACTTTACCCCGTATATTTTTCTTACTTCCATCTTTTTCAATATAGACTATATTTACCCTGAAAGAGAAGAACTAGTCATTATACAATTTTTTATTGAGGTCTTCATATATTTTATGGCGCAATTCTTCATAAAAATAGCCAATTTCAAGAAATTTGAACTATTATACTGAGCTTGTGTAACCATGGATTTTTAAGTTGAAAGCTCATGGTGTAACTTACACTTCATCTTCTGATTTTGGGTCCTGCCATTCATAATCCCCTGTACACAGTGGACCTGCAATTGAACAAGAATTCTGTTATATCATTTCAGAAAATATTCATGATTTGTGCTGAAAAGATTATCATGTTAAAATAAACTGCATATTGTACATGTAGTTTATATATGGTGTCACTCCGGTAAATACCACTTCCGGATGGGACAGTGTTTTTTAATACTTTAAAAACGAAGCCATGCCAACTTCAATGGTCTATACAGTAGGTTTAAGTGTATGCAATGTGGCCATTTGAGGTATGTATGTAAAGCTGAGGCTAAGTACTTTCTAAATGTGCCATTTTAAGAAAAAAATCGCAAGAATATAGTCCCGTAAACTGGAACTACTTTATTCGTTAATTTTCATCGGTGAAGCAGGGATTTTACCTGAAAATGAGTCCCTATGTTGGCGTAGTGATATATAAAAATCGAGACTCAAACCCTATGTTAAATATAGCGTCAAGATGAAGGTTATGTATAGGGGAACGCAGAAATATAGTCATTGTATGGGCTAGTTCGTTCGAAAATGGCGATATGTACCCAAGAACTTGAATTTTGTGATTTTTTTCAATATTTTTCAATGATTTACAGGAGTGACACCATATAGAATTTGGACCCCATATTATCTGCAATTTCCCATCTCTGAATGTAAACCCAATTTCTCTTACCTGCAATGAAATGATTATTTTTTGATACACTGTACATGTATTTCAATTAATTTCAGCAAATCAATTATAACCATTATTTGTTCGGTTTCTTAACATGAACATAGATCAGTGGTACGCTGGGGGCTTTTCCCACTTTTTTTGGGTCACCCCATGGAATGCAGGTTTTATAATTTCCCTGTGGTTCTTTGGAAAAACACATTATTATATCGACAATTGCTAATTTTTAGATCATTACGTTTCGGATAAATTGGATTTGGACGAAAAAGATTCAGACCATTGGGAATCAGGCATTTGGTTATCAAATATGGGGCGATTGGGATTGGGACAATTGAGTTTGCCAATGGGATTCGGACCATTTAGATATTCGGGCTATTGGGATTCGGACGATTGGGTTTCGGACCAATTCGGAAGACTGAGATTCGCACTGATATTCAGACCAATAGTGTGTCCTCATTTGACTCTGTTAGCCAGACAGGTGTCGACTTTTCGCTTGCAACTGAAGATACCTCAAGAAAAGCCAGAGATTGCCGAAGATATTCTTTGCAAAGGACGTCACTAATTGGTCAAAAAGAGAGACTCGTCATTCTCCGTCAGATTGAATCGGCAAAATTCGGTTGTATGGCTTACCTTCGGTTGTATGGCTTACCTTCGGCTGTATGGTCCAACCTCGATTGAATGGAAAAGATGCTGTCCCTCAGCCAGACTCGGAGTTGTTCAGTTCAGCTCAAAAATATCTTGAGCTAAAAAAGCTATTTTCGATATACTTACCACCTGATATGTATATTTGTCTTGTCAGTTGTAAGGGAACTATGTTACTACTCCTAATACACGAGGATTTGCCCCTATCTTTCACTATTTTTGTGTAAACTGAAGCTGTTTTACACAAATTTCGAAAAGATTTTAAAACAGCACTCATTATCGCCCAGGTAAAGCCAAAATTTATTCAATAATATTTTTCGTATTTTATATAACAATCGCACTGAACGAACCAAAACAGATCAATCCCGGGGCTATATAATAATGGAATTTTAATATAAAATGTTTATAGGGGACACTGGAGGGGATAATTTGTGTAGCTTAAATGATTTATATAGCTTCAGGAGAGTGAGTATTAATCATACCCCAATGTACTACATGTAAATGTATTTTTTATTGTAGCTAAGTTATTAGTCCTGAATTGCATAGTCATATGTAAACCAATTCCTCTTGTCCCAAGAATTCTACATTACATGTACCTTTAGATCTCCTGCTGACTAGATCGAGTTAAAAATTTATGGAACTGTAATGGAATGGAACGAGTCTAATATTGATAAAAGTCTTTTGAGACTAACATGAGCTACAGGAATCTGAGTCGCAGGTCTTTGGAGTCATTGAATTCTGAAACATTATTTTGACACTCACACCTTACATCTGAAGGCATTTTATTTGGATAGGCAATAAGTTGATGTTTTAATTATTGAGATCTGTTGAAAGCCCATGATTTCATAAATTCTGATTTTTATGGTCGCATAAAACATAAATGTTCCAACAAAATTGGTGTCTTAATAAATGGGTTCCTTTTTTGATAAATATGGATAATGAATCAATCTCCAATCACTGGAAAAGAAATGCAAAATGTTTATAAATAAGGACTGTGCCATGAATGCTTAAAATAACAAGTGGGTGAAAGCTCACCATGTGAGCTAATAAATATGACACATAACAAAACAGGAGAAAATTTTAAACTCATGTATAACTTACATTTTATTATTGAAATCAAAATTCGTAATACAGCACAATTTGAAATCCTAAAAAACTTTGAAATATTGAGGTGCAGATGAAATTCATAATGATAACAATAAACACACAAGATTACATCATTATTTTACTTCTGCTATTCAAGATGAGTGTCACTTTAATAAGGGAGTTGCTATATAGCTGAATACATAGATGTCAGCACTTGTTTTTGGTTGGGTCAGACTGCCGTATGCTTCAATTGTAAAAACATGCAATAGTCACTTAATTTCATGATTTATCAAAAAGTGTCGGTTGAATCTGTCTAAAACTCAAATGGCATACTATTGGATGACCCTGTTAATGCTGTACATATTGTGATGATCATGAAAATGTTAGTTGTTGAACGAATAAACCAATGATTTAAAGAATTTTAACATTGCATCAATGGAGATTTGGCCAACACTTTTTTTTAAGTAACATAACTGTATAAATAAAGTTATTATTGTGGAAAACTTTTCACTAACTCTATGCTATGGGCAATTATGTAAAAAATGACATTGATCCAGTTTTTAAGTCTGTCATTAAAAGCAACTCGGTGTATATTATTTGATCAGATATTATGTTTTAGGATATGTGCAATGATTTCACCCAAGGACATAGTAATTTGCATTGAAAATCATTGAAACAATAAAAGTTGCAATAAACTTGTAGGTAAACTTGATTTACTAAAATGAATCATGATACATATACAGTTCATCCAGATATAGCAAAAAATGAGTTCCAACTTATTTATTAGATTGAGAAGCTGTTTTTTCTAAGCTCTGAACACCCTTGTTGATCTTAAAAAATTTATATTTTAACTGGAACTTATCATTTTAAAGGTACTCAAAATAATGCTCATGAGTGATATAACTGAGAGTTCTCGTTACAAGAAAATCCAGTATGACACTTTCAGATCTAAACAAACATAATATAAGCTCTTATCTTCCCTCCATCTATTGCACATAATGATTCTAAAATAATGCTTCCAAATAGCGCTAAATATATACCATACTGTGGTATACATGTATCTTGTACATGTTATCAGTTCTCCTATAGTTAGCACTGCATTTGTTTTTAAACACTGAAAACATGTTTTACAAAGTCTATATTATTGAGCATTTGTGAATTGAACAATCATAATAATATACATTTTTAATTACCATTCACAAGGAGTCAGAAGGAATCTTCATTTCACTAAAATGTAATAACAGAACATTTTACTTGCTTGTTTTACAATATTTTCACAAATTAAATTGTTTACAAAATTAAGTGTCAGTAAAACCATGGGCTTTCAACAGAGTCTCTTGAAAGCCCATGGTAAAAAATAATGTACAAACAATTTTGATTATATCTTTTTAAGTTATGGCTTAACACACTAAAAAGAATGATGAACATAATTATTAAAGCACCTTGTGTGACAGTGTGAGATAAGATTTTCTCACTTGAGGAAGTCCTTTGAGTTGGTTTCTCATAAATACTCTGGGGTGGTTCATGAGAAATGTCTGTGTTTTGTTCATGGGTCACACCAGATTTTCACAATGTTTTCTTGAAATCCTGAGTTAAATCTACTCTCTTTCGCTTGTATTAAGCCTTATCTCACATATTTGAAGATGGGTTACTGTTAAAACAGTACACTGTGCATTCTTGTCATATGTTGTTTATATGGTTGCATATCTTATCACATATTGGTATAACTCCATATCATATCGTGTTTGTATGACTACATATCCTGTTACACAATGCAAAGAGTACACACCAATACAGGTGGCATATACTGTACTCCCAGTTAATTTCGCGAACTTTGATAAATTACAATTTTGCAGCTATTAAGTTAACTTTAAAAGTTACCTTATGTACAATAACTACACCTACCCAATGTTATATTTGGATAAGATTTACAATTACTAGGTCTTGGTGAATAACGGCACACTGCACCTCAATCTCTATTAGATCGTCATTTTACACTGGACAAACTGTTTACAAAAGCAAAAAGGATTGGAGTTGCAGGTAATAACAAATCCTTGGGGATTTAATTGGCAAAGTTTGCAATGATTATTTTTTGCGATTTTACCACAATCGCGAAAAGCATGAAACTAAATCGCATGCAAAAATACTGGGAGTACAGTAATCATCATAAATCGATACAGGTCACTTATATAGCCTAGTAAAACAAACCAATACAAGTAGCTTACATAGTCAAATGCATAATTAAAGTGGCTTAATTACACAACAATATACATGTAAAGTAATACATATTATTGTAATTACACACCAATACAAGCAGCTTAGTCATTACACACCAATACAGGTGGCATGTATCAGTACACATTATGAAGATAATTTAGTAGGCTTATGACAATCCACTTGAGCCTTACACTGGCTGTACCACTCCTTGGCTATTCAGGGTAGGCAGACATCCAGTGCATATTGTACCCCTCAGGCCAGGGTCATAGCACAATAGCCACATAGTGATGGGGGTCAACTATTGTCTTCAGCGACTGACCTGCAAGTACATTAATCAAGGAAATTTATAACACCATTAAGTAGGATCTTATGGTTGGACCCTCACCTTTGTACCTTAACGGTTTTGAAATAGCTGGCATTCATTTGATATTTACTCTACCAATGGGTCTTAAAGACGAGTTTTAAGATCATGAAATTCTTATCATAAAACAGTAAATTAGGATATTGGCTTCAGGGTATTACCTTTGAAGACTGGTTGATTTGTGAGCACATGGACAGATGTAGCATAGGGCTGGGGGATGTGCCATTGTTTCTGCATGGACACACATAAACTGTGACCAGGGTGCCATTCTTTCCTGGAAACATCATCACATTTTACAATACATGTTGTTTTTATTGGAACAATGCAACATATTGGTTGATTGGCAACATAAAATATGATCCTACAGAAACTAAAAGTAAGACTGGGTGTCTTACAAATATCAGTATATCAGGTGTCCCCAAAAAATAAGCCGCTTTTTGACAAGTATATATATTGTTTGCAACACTGAAACAAAACAATATAGTCAAAGTAAATAGCCTTATCATATATATATGCAATGTCTAACAGTACTTTGTTGAGCATATTTATCTGAACTCATTAAATCTAGTGAAGATTGCTCAAATACAATAAATGATCAAAATTGCCTATAATATCTCAGTACAGTTATGTCATAAAATATTGTACAAATACTGATGCTTACCTTAAAAATGCCCTTTGGTCATATTCTTGTAGATCCTCAATATCTACAGTCTCATAGGAACCTACAACAAAATGACACAAAGAAAACACTTATATAATCTATTCAATCTCATTGAGATACAAGAACACAAACGTGTACAATATGTCCCCACCAATGGGTGATCCTGTCAAATGGATATCCTGATAATGAGTAGTCAAGACTTTATCGTTACAATTTTTTGACGGAAAATGCAAAATGGCCACCTTAAAATTTACCCAGAATGCCAGAAAATTAGTCAGCTCTAGATTTTCATACTACGAACCAACCCTGAAAATTTGAAATTGATCCGTCAACAGTAAACAAAAAAATGCGTAAACAAGACTCTACAGACAAGATTTTAGGACGGAAAAATCCAAAATGGCTGCCTTGACATTTGCCCAGAATGCCAAAAAACTAATCAGTTCTAGATTTTCATACTAAGAATCATCCCTGAAAATTTGAAATTGATCTACCAAACGGTTCACCTGAAAACGCGTAGACAAGACTTTACAGACAAGATTTTAGGACAGAAAATCCAAAATGGCTGCCTTGACATTTATCCAGAATGCAAAAAAACTAATCAGTTCTAGATTTTAATACAAGGAATCATCCCTGAAAATTAGAAATTGATCTACCAAACAGTTCACCTGAAAACACATAGACAAGACTTTACAGGCAAGATTTTAGGACGGAAAATCCAAAATGGCTGCCTTGACATTTACCCAGAATGCCAAGAAACTAATCAGATCTAGATTGTCATACTAAGAATCATCCCTAAAAATTTGAAATTGATCCACCAAATGGTTCACCTGAAAACGCGTAGACAAGACTTTACAGACAAGATTTTAGGACGGAAAAATCCAAAATGGCTGCCTTGACATTTACCCAGAATGCCCAAAAACTAATCAGATCTAGATTTTCATACTAAGAAGCATCCCTGAAAATTTGAAATTGATCCACCAAATGGTTCACCTGGAAATGCGTAGACAAGACTTTACGACAAGATTTTTGGACGGAAAATCCAAAATGGCTGCCTTGACATTTACCAAGAATGCCCGAAAACTAATCAGATCTAGATTTTCATACTAAGAATCATCCCTGAAAATTAGAAATTGATCTACCAAACGGTTCACCTGTAAATGCGTAGATAAGACTTTACAGACAAGATTTTAGGACGGAAAAATCCAAAATGGCTGCCTTGACATTTTCCCAGAATGCCAAAAAACTAATCAGATCTAGATTTTCATACTAAGAATCATCCCTGAAAATTTGAAATTGATCTACCAAACGGTTCACCTGGAAATGCATAGACAAGACTTTACAGACAAGATTTTAGGACGGAAAATCCCAAATGGCTGCCTTGACATTACCCAGAATGCCCGAAAACTAATCAGATCTAGATTTTCATACTAAGAATCATCCCTGAAAATTTGAAATTGATCTACCAAACGGTTCACCTGGAAATGCGTAGACAAGACTTTACGACAAGATTTTTGGACGGAAAATCCAAAATGGCTGCCTTGACATTTACCAAGAATGCCCGAAAACTAATCAGATCTAGATTTTCATACTAAGAATCATCCCTGAAAATTAGAAATTGATCTACCAAACGGTTCACCTGTAAATGCGTAGATAAGACTTTACAGACAAGATTTTAGGACGGAAAAATCCAAAATGGCTGCCTTGACATTTACCCAGAATGCCCAAAAACTAATCAGATCTAGATTTTCATACTAAGAATCATCCCTGAAAATTAGAAATTGATCTACCAAACGGTTCACCTGGAAATGCGTAGACAAGACTTTACAGACAAGATTTTAGGACAGAAAAATCCAAAATGGCCGACAATAAAAAAGTGATGATGAGTTTTTGCTGATTTCTTCTTACAAAATTATCACATATAACTACTGTTAACAATAACATAGGCTATTACAACAAAGTACACCTGAAATTATTTATAAAGCTACTAAATAGTTAAAGTATGAAAACTGAAAAACACCATTCAATATGATACAAAGTATTATCGCGCGCTAACTTTTCTTAAAACATTCAAAATGGCTGACATGACTGAGCTAACAGGTCCAAAACCTAATCAGATGTAGAATGAAGTGAGCTGAACAAGATATTAAAGTTTTAAAAGCAACTGTGAAGCCGTTTTTCTTAAAGTTTGCAGACAAGGATTTTAGCATTTGACTTCAAAATGGCCGACAGGAAGTAGGTATCGAGTTAAATTTTTTTCATCCACATCTGTATGCACTCATAAGTTATCCCTGAAAATTTGAAGGTGATATCTGTAGCTGTTTTGGAGAAAACTGCCGGACGTACGGACAGACAGACGGACAGACAGACGGACAGACAGACGGACGCGCGAACTCCCGTGCAGTGATATATCACTGCGGCGGGCAGGTGTCTCACCGTAAGCATGGTAACATCGTAATAAACAACTGACGTGATTGGTTCTAGTCCCATGCTCAGGTCGCGTGATTGTAAAATTTAGACAATTTCATTGGTTGAATTGCGCGTATTAACTAATAGACAACACGTGCGGTAAACTTTTATCAACACAACTTTTACTCAGAATTCCTTCCGCGGGGATTTGCTCTTATATTTCATTGATTTGGGAATATTTTGACAAAATAATTATTGGTGAACATAAAAGAACATATATTTTATAAGTTGTGTGAAAAACAAGTACATCTGTGAGAAAAAGGGGGACTATCTTCCCCAAATTTTGGGGATTCCATAATCTGCCCGCCGCAGTGTCTATACCGAGACACTGCATTGGAGTTCGACGGACGCGCCTAGGCCGACAATATGGCCCCACACTATGTGGTGGGGACATAATAAAAGTGCAATGCTATCCCCAGGTTTTTAATGGAACCAGTTGCATTTTTGTACCCTATTCTGTAGAGAATCGAAACAACTGAAAATCCAAATTGTCAAGATTTTCAAAACCTCAAGTAGGTGCAAATAGATTTTCAATTTGATGCAAGGCAATTTTCAGGTTTGAAACGAGGTGCAGAACCTTGTTGCCTAAATGCTGTCGAGTTCATTGAATTGTGAATAAAGGAGTGGATGTAATATTTGCTCTCTGATCATCTATATTATATATAACATTGATACTAAATATGAAAAATAACACAGATGATTTTATTCAATATGCGAAAATATATTTACCAGTGCGCAAGTTCCATATAAGTTTAAAAGATGTCTGGTAAACTTTGGGAGGTGCTCTAGTGTGATGCTTGTAGTTGACATCTTTCTTAATGTGTGGTGACTTACAGCAGACCAGGGCCAAGACTATCACTACAACACTGTAGCTTTCAGGACAAACCTGTCAAAGAGTGGGTACATTAGTAAGGATGTGTATTTACAAGACAAACTTTTTTCTTTGTCTTGCTTCTTTCAAAGTTTCCTTTAAACGGTCTGTTTGTGTAAATCGCAGATGTTTTGCGACTCCTCTGGTCATAGGCTTTTTGAAAAAAAAGTAACCTAAAACTGAAATCATATTTTCAGAGGTTTTAAATTGTGTCACTATTGTTGGCAGACAGATGGAGATACGTACAAACGGACACATCAGTAATTGCAAAACCTCACCATGAGAGCTAAAAAAACACAATAATGGGAAATGAAATCATTCCACTTTCAAGAAGAACGCTCTGTACATGATTTTTAATATGACTGGATGCAAAATATATGAAATGAACTCAGTCTAATTCACTCCTTCAAAATTCCTGCCTTAGGTACTAAGAAACCTGATGGGCTGATTATTTCATTACATAACATGAGTGCTTATCCAACAACTTACTGTTAATATTTGCATGTCATAATCTGTGAATGAGATATATCTGTTCCCCCAGTCAGCATGCTGTCTCACAGCCTCTCCTATATAATGCTCTATGTCCATTGTCAGCTGTTTAACCACTAAGCCACCCTGCAGAAAAGACCAAAACAATTAGGTTTCAACTTATGATATTGCGGACAAGAAACAACACATATACATGTATTTGACAAGGGTTAACGTAATACCCAGTATGTGTCTCGTTTGCAATTTCTAATATTTTGTGTTCAGCTTTCTAACGTTTACTGTAAAGTGTAAACCAATAGAAAAAGGACATAATAAACCCTGGATGTTGTGGTTTCGTTTCGTTTGGTACAAATATTAACCCCAGTCTATTTTCATATAATAAAGGGAGGATGACTATATATTTGACAGGTTACTTCTTTTTTGTAACAGTCATAGTTATATCCAGGTTTCTTTAATCAATAGAAATCTATGGAGTCAATCATTGATACATGTGTGTTCAGTGATATAATAGCAAGTTTGTTTGGTAACCTTAGTAACCTACCTCTGGATTGTCCCATTCTGAGGTAGCAAGGCGCATGTGATTTGAGTTACCCATCAAGACCTCGAGAGGTAAAATACTGTTGTATGATAAACTTAGATCATCTGAAAAACACATGCGAGTTAAACAATCCATGTATGTTAACACCTGAATGGTTTTTAAGAAGCACATTTCGAAGTACAGTGTTCATTTACTCACTTAGGCAATTACAAGAGAATAATAATCAGTGACCATTTTGAATGTGGGACATTTTGCATTATTTGTTTATATCACTATTACAATGACTTATTCTTGACTAACTCTTTAGAAGGCATTCAATGACACTGGAGTCCACAGGCTCTAACTACAAAATACACAATGATTATTTTCAAAGACCTATTAAAACAGATACCAACCTTCAGGTTCAGTGTTGTCCAGGTGGCTGCTCTCTACATATCTACGTATTGAGTAAGTGAAACACTTAGAGTCATTCTGAAAGACTAGAGGGCTACTGACGCAGGAGCTACACGTCCCTTCACTTGGCTCAGCACCATTCTCCAATGATAAACACAGAGGAGATAGATATGTGTACTTGTTAAGATTATTCCTGTCTCCCAGTGGTAATGCTAGGTAGGGATTCTCACCTGCTGAACCTGGGCTACTGGGATTAAGTCTTTGTATTGAGTCTTTGTCTTTTATAGGTGGGGTAGGGGGCTGTAATATTGGAGACTCTGGGCTACTCATACTTTTAAGATTGTCATCCTCAACTGAACTCAAATCAAGATTCTTATCCTTTGAGCTGAGATTATTTTTCTGTTCTCTCATGTTAGTACAGTCTGAGAGTGGAGATAAAGGGGTGCTGAATACATTTTCTTTATCAGTTCCAGGAGACAGCAGTCTATTTGCTACATAGCTTCGTTGTGAGTCTTCTCTACTGGGTACAGAAGTATCAGATGAGCTTGGAAGAAAGAGGAATGGATCTTCCTTTAAGTTCAAGTCTCTTTGGCTCAATAACGAGCCTTCCAAATGGCATTTATTGCCAAGCTCTACACTTAATGCAATGAGTGAATCACCAGTGTTTAATACAGCAACACCATCTATACTTAGGCTAGTTCTGGCGGTGAAGAATGGAAATGGCGGAGCAAGTTCAAATTTTGTATGTACTGCAAAAGAATGCTGAAGGCACATTTTGTTGGGCCTTGTGTCATAGGCAGCAAATTCTACCCCTGGAAAAATATATTTCAAATGCAATAGCATACAATAATTATTTTTTCAAAGAATATTTATAGATAAATATAATACATTTATAAATTATTTTACAAATAAAAATGACTTCACTTTTTAATAGTAATGAGATACAACTATTCATGCATAATAAGAGTGTCATTTTGACAGTACTGTCCTTTTTATTTATTCTTCATACGAGGAATGAAAATTTGGTTAAAAAGCAGACACAATCCTCAACACCATTTTTAATATTTGTTTTACAGTCACTAAACTTTACTGACATCAGCTATCATCAGTACATATAAACTATGATAGCCCAGTGAGTAAGCTTTGACAAAAAATGCAAGAACATCTACCAGAAGGTGGGTCCTCCTTCCTATTGCTGAGTTTCTGACAATTACTGCAAACATCTAAGGGAGGTATGGCTGTTATTGTGACGTAACACTGACGCTTCTCTTCATAACCTGAAGATGGCCTGGAATACCAACAATCCCCATCAATTACAATTCTGCACATACTGTATAGGAACTAGAACAAGATTTCAATATTACCCAAAAATGTAAAAATATGTTCTACTTCAGAATCAGATTGACCCCCTTCCTACTCTCAAAATGTAATTGAACATTCATTGATTTTCTTCAAATTAAAAGTCATTAACTTTCTTTTGTTCAATTGAATGAACTTTTAATAAAAAATGCAATTACATGTACTGTATACTGTTGCTGTCTTGTTCTATACAAAGAAATGCAGCTTAATTGTTGATGGAAATATACTCACCCATATCCATATACTAACAACTGTGAGTTATCTGAAGGCCACTCACATATGGCTACATAAAGATCTTGTTGGATATCATCTTCAACAAACAATCGAATCTCTGATATCTGAAAGTACAAAATGGTTGAAATGTGTCAATTGTGTTACTTGTACCAGTTTATACCATATCAATGGTATATATGGGAATAATTGTAGCCACTAAAGTATAGTTCTGTTATTCAATATTAAGCCTTCAAATATCCAAAAATGCAAGAGTTGATGGACTCATTGATGGAAAAATTATAATATTGTTAAAATTGAATCCAAACCTATCACGCACGTAAATATGTACATGCATACATAAAAGGCATTTACATGCAAAATGTCACCACCTGCCATTTGTTACAGATGCTAACTGCTGACTGCCAAACACTTATCCCCAAACAGCATCCAACAAAAAGCTATAACAATATGTCATCACTTCTGGTGTGACATAAGAAAAGAACAGATATTTAATCAAATTAATAGTTATTAACAAACCTGTTTCAGTGGCCTATATGGCACAAACTGCCACCATTGCAGCCTGTATATGTACACTGGAGAAACTGTGTGATCCAAAGCCTCCATCTGTAGAGAATATGACATCACAAATCTACCATCTTTACTGAACCCAAGGAACACCAGTCTGAAAAATATTCATGAATTGGGAGATAATTCTTTTATGAAATCATATCATTTTCAATGCAAATGTAGCTAATTATCTCAAGGGTTGATTAAGAATATCTGCGTTAGGAGATAATTGCCTGTTACCTGAGCTACTAATTAAATCTTTGTATACAGGACCAAGGGGGTTTACTTTTTAAAGAATTCCAGGGGATGTTCACCTTTGACAATTTGGCCCAAAATGACCAAAATCACTCAGAATGGTGAAAACGATGCATTGTTACGATCAAAGTGCATGCTTTTGAAAGAATTTTTGGCCTGGGTGGGAATGGGGGCTCGGTCGAACCCCCATATTCTGAAATTGAATATTGTGCCCTATATACAGAAGTATAATATCCTCAATTGCTAAGTTTTGTCTCGCCTATTCAAATTTGCCTCTGCTAAATATGGATTTTGGCCATGCTGATTTTGTTATTTCTTTTATTGACTCCTTCTGTGAGGCTAACATTAACTCACCCTTGATGTAGTAACATCTCATCTACTAATGAATTAAGGCTGAAGCCTAGTCTGCCAGGAATGCGATTGAAAAGTTTCATGTTTCTACTGTGTTTGTGCCTTTGGAAGTTACCTCTTAACTGAAACATAAAATATGTGTATTCTTACTAGTAAATGCAATATCCATGATATATTATAAATTGTGTACAAGGGCAATATCCAGGGACAAACTTTATGATGTACATGTTTTGCATAAATACAAAATCCAGGAAAAATGCCATATCATATCAATAATCATATAATGTTTTATGTTTGCAAACAGTATTATATCAGAGAGAGTCAAACCTAATTTGCTAATGTTATTGCTATGGTTGTGCATAATTCACAAGAAATAATACACATTTATAAAATAATCAGTTCCAATGATTTGTTGCCAGAGTAACAGGAATTGTGTAAATTCTGAAATTCTGAATAGTATAAGAAATATATTCTTAACCTCTAGATAAACAACAGATACTATTAGTATGGTACATGTATATTCAAAACCTCTTGCTCTATATGTGTGTTTATGCCATATAATATAAATTATTTTCTAATTCAAATGTAATGATTTCAAAGGTATCATTTTTAATACATCAGTGCTGTGGAAATATCAGTGTTTAAGTACTTGTCCTTGTCAATATTACTAATTTAACTGCAATCTCTGTAAACATAATGACTGAACAAATATAATATTGATGAATGAATTGTTGTAAATGCAAATATAAGATCAAAAACAAATCGATCAAAGATAAACATTTTTAAATTGGATTAAAGGGATAACAAAGAATAGAGTACAGGTATTTTCTGTAAAAATAATGACTGAACAAATATAATATTGATGAATGAATTGTTGTAAATGCAAATATAAGATCAAAAACAAATCGATCAAAGATAAACATTTTGAAAATTGGATTAAAGGGATAACAAAGAATAGAGTACAGGTATTTTCTGTAAAAATAATGACTGAACAAATATAATATTGATGAATGAATTGTTGTAAATGCAAATTTAAAATCAAAAACAAATCGATAAAAGATATACATTTTGGAATTGGATTAAAGGGATAACAAAGAATAGAGACATAATGAGGGTAACCTTTTGACAAGTTTGCATTGTTTTTGCTTAAGGTTATCCCTTATCAATTCTTGCTAAAAACAAACAAATTATTTCACAATAATTCTGAAAATGAATTTCACCCTTCAAATTAGAATGGTAGGTAATTCAAATATTTGAAAAAAATAAAAACCCAAAATATATTTCAAAAATAATATGATCAACTTTTAAAACCTTCATGGGTCTTTAAGTTTTTTTGACAGTAGCAAAAACCAAATTTCACATTTTATGTGAGGGAGCAAAATGGCATATTTCCTGACTCATCCTTTTGCATGATAATTGACATACATGTACTTAAAATGTATAACGAAAAATATTTTGCTGCCACTTTAATATGTCAAACACAAATGCAAAATTTATGAAATTTCAGTGCATATGAAATAAAAATCAATATTATTTAACATTTTCACAATAAAAACCCCTTTTAAATGTATTTAATGCAGGTGAGATCAAAAGAAAATACATCTGCATTTACAATACAGTAGGATGTGATAATGAGACATATTAGACAATATGATAAATGGAGTTTAGTGTTAATGATTTGAATCCTATAAATATCTATGGTTAATGATGCAACATAAATGTACAATAAAGTGTAATATACCTCTGCAATCTCAATACTAGTTGTTAACCTACATTTGTAATTGAGTTGTTTTAAAAGCTGATACTCTCATATAAAAATGCATGTGCCTTAATGACAGTCACATGTACAGACTTTGTTTTTAAGGACACTTTGATAAGAGAAGGTGGTTAAAATAAGAATATGCTAAAAAAACAACCTGCCCAATAAAACTGAACAACAGCACAGATTATGCATAATTACATACAAAGAAAGCTGAGGACCATTTTTAGGGCTCTCTCATATTCATTTTGAATTGAGAAACTGCAGTATCAATATTTGAAGTCTTTTCAAGAACCAAAAGATCAAAAACTGACCAGTGAACAGCTTATTTGCAAGTGGTGCTGTAGAAATCCATTGTTATTTTGAAATTCTGCAAGCAAGATAGATAAAATTCTAGAAAAAATTGCAAAAAATACGGTGTGTCATTTCAATAAACAAAAATAATTACCTCTCTATTATACAGCTTAGACAGCATGCTTCTAGAGCTGCATTGAGGAGGAGCTTTGGTACTACAAAACCTTCCCATTCCTTTAGGACTTCTAGATCTAGTCCTAGAGGCTGCTGGGAGAAGTTTACCTCCTCTGTTTGAGCTTAGACTACATGTACCAGATGAGTCCATCATCACAATTCACTGTTACAGTAACAATCCTGCCATTCTAAAATCATATCATTATTATATTGCATTTTAATTTAGTTTTTTTAGTAAATACCATAACAAATGAATGTCAAGAATACGCTACGGGGGAGGGGGGGTGTGCACCTGAAACATATTGAAACTATAGTGCAATTAGGGGCAATCTGAGCATTTTCCCACAATCAAAATTAAAATATATTATGACTTCATGGAAAAGGCTTCTTTTTGAAACAAGTTTGAATTCTAACACTATAACAGGTATTTTATTGGATTTTTGAAAAAGATTATTTTTTGAAATAAATTATTATTGTAGGCTATTGCTCATTTCTGAGTATTCTGTCAAACTGGTTTTTGAAGCTGTTAACATCTTTGGCACTAATAGCAGATTCAGGTAGGTTGTTCCAGTTGATTGCAACATATTGGGTAAAGGGCATTCTTCAAGTTCTGTTCTATTGTATCTTATCTGCACTTTTTGACTATGGCCTCTGGTGTTCTTGAGTTTGGGTTTAGTAAATAGTTTGTCAGAGTTTAACCTGTCTTTACCTTCTCCTTCCAGTATTTTTAGGCCTGAATTAGATCACCTCATTTTTGTTTGTTTTTTTGTATTTTCGAGAGGGTAGTTACTCCACTTGATCATATTTGTTCTGTGTTAATCAGGTTTTCCTGTCTTGTGTTGTTACTTCCTTGATGCATTAAACTGCATTTATATCCAAGAATATGAAAAAGAACCAAAAAGGTTTTTGGAGCAACAGCAACAGAAAAAGTAAAAAGGCTTGATACTGCAGCACTAGGCCTTTAATATTTTGATCGCAATTTTTAAGGTTTTATTGGCGCACAACCCAATAATAATTGAAATGGATGTCTAGGACTAATCATCATCATCATCATTAGGACGTAGTGGGCTAAGCCAGTGATGTCGTCATCTCATTAACTTATGCCACCTGGCTTCTCAATTCATTGATTATTGATTATGCAAGACCAAAAAAAGAAACCTATTAGCATATAGTGCTCCCTCTTCCAGGGATTGTCCATCCTCTTCTTAAAGGTTTCTAGGGTTGGTGCACATACTGCTTTCTCTGGCAGGCTATTCCAGTCTGCTACTCTTTGGGAGAAGAAGTGCTTTCTGAGCTTAAGCCTGGATCTTTCCTGATATAAAATAAAGTCATACCCTCTTGTAGATCTCACTGTTGACTGATTAAAGAATGTCTCTGCATTTCGTACTCTGTCAATACCATGAACAATTTTGAAAACATGAATCATGTCTGCTCTTTTCCGTCTATATGTCATAGCTTTAACTGTTTAAGTCTTTCTGGGTAAGATTTTTCGTTCGATCCAGTGACAAGTTTTGTGACTCTGCGCTGGACTCTCTCAATTTTGTCAATATCTCCTTTACATCTGGGGTTCCAGACTGTGTTGTTGTATTCTAGATGGGGTCTTACTAAGGTCTTGTACAGCTTTATGAATATGTCACTATCCCTGTATGTATCTGTAAGATCTGATTGGCTAAAATATTAACATACGTGGTGGATACCTGTTTATAGAAGCTCAGTTCGTTGTCTATTATGACTCCAAGGTATTTTTCCTCTTTAACATTCTCAATTTTAGTGGCATTCATGTAAGCTTAGTAGTCTTTGTTTATATTCTTGTTTCCCAGATGCATGGCTTTGCATTTATTTTCGTTGAATTTGAGCAGCCACCTGGCCGACCATTCCATGAGATTGTCAACATCTTTCTGTAACTTTCTTGGCATCTTCATTGCAGTAACGAAGGTATACACTTTGGTATCATCTGCAAACATCTTGATTGTCTGTGTTGTAACTTGTATACTGTCTCTGATATCATTTCTAAGAGAGCGTAATAAGTGTCAAGAACAATTTCGACCTTTCTTATATACCTATACAGGTTGATTCCGATTTGAGTCCTTTGAATTCAACTGATCAGAATCCAGGATCTCTCTAGGACAATCAGTCAGTCTGACTCTGAGTCTTTGAATTTCAATGGCTTTGATTTTGAGCTAACTTTTACTGATAATTATAAGTGTTCAAAGTGAAAGCAATTACATAAAATATCAAAAATATCCGAGAAAGTAACTTTAAAATAATAAAAATCAAACCAACTCATCATAAAATAGATTTATCGTGGATGAAATTGGAGTTTAGTAAAGAGTGTCAAATATTATTTCTTACCAATTCTTTTGCTCTCGCCGTTAGATGGCGGTTCTGCGAGAATTCAGATTGTCCAACGAGAGTTCTAACTTTTTCGTAACTCGTGAATATTTCTTCATATTTTTAGTGATTTATGAATATAACGGCAGAGATAGTAATTAAAAGAGATGTTTAGTGTAGGCAGTGTACCCCCACAGGTAGGTAGAATGATATAGACAATATTACATGAGCTAAAATCCATGAAACAGTTGCTTTCTTTTTATAAAATAATATTTCAGTCATTTTTTCACTGTTCAAACTGAAACTTCGATTTCGTCATGATAGATCATCCTAAAGCCTATACATCACACTAGAGGACGTGAGCGGAAGTCAACCTTATGTCACGGTACACTGAAGTTCGCAATAATGAGGTCATATATGTACATATGTAGGCCATGTATAGTCTAGTGGGAAGTTATACAATTATAAGCTGATTTAGGCTTTATATAACAGGTTATGAAACTAAAATTCTCATTCCAATTCTTCATGGCTATTGTGCATGGGTCTTGCAATCTGCTTGGTTAAATCACTTGAATGACGCCTACAATCAAATTTTTTATTCTGTCAATCAGTTCATATGGTTAGAATAAGGAAAGAATGTGATGTAACCACGTGTCTACTTACTAGCTTGTTCTATGTCATCCATCGGACTAGGTTACATCGTGGAACGCAGCCAAACACGAGAATGAAGCCAGTATTCTGAGGTTATAAAATCTAAATCTAAATAATTTCCCATTTGCAGCCCCTTGGAGATTTCCGGAATTGAACCAAGTATCGAACGTTGCGATCTTTCAACTTTAGTTCGTTGTTTTTTCACCACCTTATGTGTACTGTTTTCATTTAGGAGGCGGTCTTATTTGAATGCATCATTACAGGTCTTTATGAATCAATAGATCAATAAACAGCTCTAAAAATACAATTTAGCAGTTTCTTTCATTGCGTACTGCGCATGTTAGGCACGAAAACAATTTAGCAGTTTCGTTCGTTGCGTAATTGGGCCTTCTATAATCAAAAGCAAATACTCGGAAAACATTTTCCAAAATATTTACTTCCGATTTCCTTGAAGACATGATTGGGTGACACGTCATTGACACGTGATTAAGTCACATGATCGATACAGTAACTAGTCACGTGATCAGACATGTGTCACGTGTCAGTCACGTGAGCTTGCAAAATGGACGATCTAAATTTCCAAAAATTCGGCTAAGATCAAGATAGATATGCTGTTGCCTTCAGCGTCCTGTTCGACTGCGTTCCACGATGTAACCTAGTCCGATGGATGACATAGAACAAGCCGGTAAGTAGACACGTGGTTACATCACATTCTTTCCTTATTCTAACCATATGAACTGATTGACAGAATAAAAAATTTGATTGTAGCGTATTCATGTAAAAAGTTTACTCCCATCCCTCAAAGAACCTTCTTACTCACGTGGTACTAACTCTCCGGGGCATATCGAAACCAAAATGCCCCGCAAAACCGTTAATTTGAATTTCAAGTCTACCCTGTCTTGGAAAATCAATGATTGTGAGGCTCACACTATACCGTTTTTCTTCAAACTTGTTCTATTAAAACCTTCACAGAAATACCTTTCAGTCGAGACATTGCCTTTGTTTACAAAGTCCCTCGTTTTAGCGGCGTTTTGGTCCCCAGATGTGAGAAGATGCAAATCTTCAGAGATTTCAACTAAACGCCTCGATATATCGCCAGTTCTTTTATTATTCTCCCCTATATTTTGCTCAAGGACTCCCATTACAACCCTCCATCGCTGCATCAACATATTTATAACATTATACGCAGCAATATAAAAAAGTCCTACGCAACTGTTCGATATTGACCAAAACGCCCCATTGTCTTCCAAAACGCCCCGCAGAGTCTATGACTACAGACGTGTATAGAGAAGGTATATAGATCCAACGGGGCGTTTTGGAAGAGAACGGGGCATTTTGATCAATTTCGAATAGATCCGTAGGAAATTGAGTGAGTTAGTACCGCGTGTTACTCAGACCGTCTCAAAGTCCTAGACATGACAACACTGGCCTTCGGAAGACTCAGAGGTGACATGATAGAGACTTACCAATACATAAACAACCTTTATAATATAGACTCCAATTCACTTTTCCCTGGTTTACAACCACAGGACATACACCATACAAGAAGGTGCAATACACAATATCTCCGAAAGTCACATTGCAGTACAACCTTAAGACAGCAAACGTTTAGTCAGAGAGTTATAAAACAGTGGAACTAATACCAGAATGGGTAGTAAATGCACCAAGTGTAAATCAGTTCAAAAACAGATTAGACTCTCACTGGTACAATAACCCAATGAAATATGACCATACAGTGGACTACCACTTTATACACTGTTACTAACTAAATATGAACAAATTCAAAAGTATTGATCGGTTAAACAGGCAATTTATGCCTACTTAGGGGCGGGGTCAAAATATCAATGTTCATATGGAGACGAAAGTAATTTCGTTTGGACAACAACCCCCCCACCCCCCCTCTAGACGAAAGCTTAGGTCACTTCAAAAAAACATTGATTTATGAGAGGCATAATCGTATCCTATTTGCCGGGTTATTATTAGGGTGAATTAACACACGTTCGCAATTTAATTGCATTGAACTCTTCAAAAGGAGGAGGTAAAAGTACGGAATTTATTTGAAAAATGATCGAATTATCGTCTTTATCTACCGATATTTTGGACCTATCACACAAAAAAGCTCACAAACTATTGAAAACAAGCCTTTTTATCAGAACATAGCGCCAGAAAAAGTCCAAGTATTTTTTGTATATCAGATCCGAATTATCGATGTTTTTTTGGTCAACGAAAGTGCCCAAAAACCCCCTCCCCCCTCGCGAAAGTACTTTCGTCTCCATATGAACATCGATATTTTGACCCCGCCCCTTACCGTACTAACTTATAACTTATATAAAGATGGAATGATTGAAAGCAGTTTTCCTCTGTAGGGGGAAATGGTCATGATTATCGCACGGTCCTAATTATCGCACAATTTTCCCAAATAGCCAAATCATGCACCCACCTCTTATAAACCAGTGTGTTTTAGGAGTAATTTATCTAAATCAGGTAATAATAAAAGGTGCATCAAGATCTATATGCAGCAGTGGTGAAATATGGTTGGAAGGATCAATACATGAAATATCAATGGGAGAAACTTCCGTATTTAAATTTTTCATCTTTGATTTCAGCAACTTTTGCTGCCTGCTTCACAACTTGTCTCAATCCTAAACACTGTGAGGAACTTGTCAGTACCAAAGAAACAACACAAGAAAGATACAACCAGAACACTAGAAAATGAGGAGATAAGCAATGAGGTATGACATCTTCCTTTCATTTTAAAGGTCACCTTTTAAAATGCAAAGGGAGTGTACTTTTTCTTTCAACTTTAGTTTTTTCAATATTCATTTTGCGAAAGTTATAGTTCGAAACATTGATCAATATTTTCAAGAAGGTACAGTGTAGTTTTATATGCCATGAATGCAAGTTAGAATCAATATACGTTCATGTAATCACACATTTTTTTATTCTTGTTTTAGAGAATTCACAAAGCTCTTGGACTGGAGGGACTGCCACGAGACCTAAAGCTTGAAGACTACTGTCCCATCAGAGCCATCATACACAGTGTTGCACCAAACACCTCACCAAATAGGAGCCATTCTCATGTCTCTGCTAATACTTTCTTTGAAAACACAAATGGTAAGATGTGGAACAATTTATGAATAAATAAAACAGATGTACATGTACATTGATTCAGAATCTAAGATTTATAGACCCAAGAAAACACAACTTGTCTCTGTTATGAGCTTTCCTTAGTGTTTTATATTAGGCAGTATTAAATTCCATTTGATTGAACCTATCTTATACATGTATATTGTATATGGTATATGATTGTGTATTTGTGCTATGCATATCCCTAACAACTATTGAGCAAAAGTTTAATGCATGAAATGATCATTGCATTGAAGCCTTTGAGACTATAGATAAAACATCCAAAGTTTTCTTGTGCCAGTGATATATATCTGCCTATTTGATATTTTGTGCAATGTATGTTATGCCTATTCTTTGTTGTACCATATTTTAGGTTTCCCTGTAGAAGATCTGTATGTTAATCCAGTAGCTCCGTCTTGGCTGACATCTCAACTTCTTCAAAGGCATACACCACCTGCTGGTAGGCTTCTAGAACTTATATTTATCACAAAATCTTTAATGATATTCAAAACTTGTGAGATTTCATTGAAACGAAATGTGTTAACCATCAGGGTTTTTTATTGTCCTTTCAGATTAGGAATCTAACATTAATCATTTATAGTACTGTGCAACATCATAACTAGTTGGTTAAAAGTATAGAATATCTGTATCCATGATGATTAAATCGCCATGTTAACTTTTAATTCCAGTTCTAGTCCAGAAACGTCATTTCCAGCAGAGAAAAAAGCGTGGAATGGGTCAAGAAGAAGAAGACAACTCATTCTCATTCAAACTCGGATCTGTAAGTTGATGATTTGAAAATTGAAAAATTGTGTGCACCATTAACGTGCAATGTATGCACAATGTTTTTTTTAAATTTTATTATTTATATGTCAAACCATCAGTTTTTGTTAAAAACATGGTGAACTGGGATTTTAAATCACAAACCCAGCATTCCTGCGTCAATTCTTGCATGTACTCAATTTAAATAAACATTCAATGTAATGAATCTGTCACCAACAGGTATTTGACAAATTGAATGACAATAGAAACAAAAAACAAAACTTCAAGACGATGTTGTCTCAGTATCAAGACAAGCCAGACATCCAAGGGAAGCTAGAACAGGCATTTGGTAAAGGTTACGCTGCAGCTGAGAGTGAGCTAGGGGGCAAGGGTGTCACTACTGCCAAACAAGGGTCAGCATTTGCAGGTACAGTGAGAAAGTTCCTCTGGTATGCTTTGGCCCTATGGCTCATCTACAATGCCCTGCAGTTGTTCAGCATGGCAGGAACAAGTAAGTAGGATTTGAAAAATACTCATTTACTTTAAAGCATGTTCATTTCAGTCAAACTGTACACACAATGTTAAATTGCTACTGGTTTGTGATTTACATGATTGATCAGCATTTTATTGTTTGAATTAATGATGAATGAAAATTTGTTAATATAATATATAGTTTTACATGATAAATGCAATATTTTCTCATTAGTATGGTCTTGTTGAACTTTGCAAGCATTGCTTGAATGAATTTTTTAACTATATATAGTGAGCTAATTCCAGTCCATTTGACTCCAGTAATTGAAATGATCTGATTTTCTTCTTTCAGATATGAGGGGACTGAACATCCTACAACAGGAGAAGTATGAGATCAACCCTGAAGAAATCAATGTCTCCTTCAATGATGTGAAAGGGGTAAGTCATAAACATTGATGTCAAAGGGAAGATAAACTATGATATTGAACTGAATCACTTGAATTAAAGGAACATTGAACCATATAGATGTTAAAATGGATAAAAATCTTTTTCTCGCATGATTTAAAACCTTCTATGATGATTCTGTTTTGGAAATATGTATCAAGTTGCATTTAAAGTCGGTTGTTGCCATGTTTAGACCAAGGATTGAAAGTGTCCACAAGAAACCACATAAGATCTGGAGGCCCTGTTGCATATTTTTTCCTTTAATTTACAGGTAGATGAAGCCAAATCAGAGCTACAAGACATAGTTGAATATCTGAAAGACCCAGAGAGATTTAAAACATTAGGAGCTAAACTACCCAAAGGTAAACATTTCATAACATCTATTCTTATACTTATAGACAGGTTATTTTTTATTTTTGGTATTTTTGAAGTAATGGAACAAAGGACAAGAGCCCTTCCCCTCTTCACTTGAGCTGATGAACATTAAAATGTCATGTGACTCACATTAATATCAATTTTTACATGAAGTATGGATTTCCTTCTGACATTTAATTTGCAATAAGTATGTTGATGTCTTGATTCATAATTTAACATTTTACTGAAAAATAACAGAACACAGTTTAAATCAAGTAAAGTAAAGTTAAATTGTCAAGTTTTGTTGTATTTGTAGGTGTTTTGTTGGTAGGGCAGCCAGGTATTGGAAAAACTCTCCTTGCAAGAGCTGTAGCAGGTAAAAAATTAGTTTTAATGGCCCTTCAATCGTTTTTTTTTAATATGTGAAAACACGAAGGTATCAGGATAAACCATGATAAAAATGTATACTGCCTGTCACAATGACATCTATTCAAATTATGCAAATAAAACCTCCAGCAGTTTAGTTGTCCCAAGCTATGTCACTATATTCAACAAGTTTAATTAATTGACAGAATATAGGGCAAACACTTGTTACTATTCCTTTTTTATATTTTATGGTGTAACTATTATACACTCCCTTGGGTGTCCAGATCTTATATAGATATTATATGGTTTTAATTAAAAAATAAATAAATAATAACAAAACCAAATATTATTAAAAATATAATAATGACTATAAGTAAAAAAAATTATTTTGCTATGATCACCCATATTTTGCAATTGGCAGTGGTTTAAATGGTCAAAATTCCTTCCGTAGGTGTCATTGGGAATTTTTCTACAGCAAATGTCAGTGATATTCCAAATCAAAATTTTATTATTGTATCATACAGTTTATTCTGTAAAATTCAAGATTTTTCTCCTATAGGTCAAGCAGGGGTGCCCTATTTCCAGGTGTCAGGGTCTCAGTTTGACGAGATGTATGTAGGCGTTGGTGCCAAAAGGATTCGAGAATTGTTTGGTATGTCCTAATTTAAGCCACTGCCCTATTTGCCTGCCATACATTTGGATGACACTTTTCAAATATTGCCATGAGAAATATGGCATGATTTGAAAAATGGCATACCAACTACCTGTTTGAAACCATGCCTAATGGGTACGTTTTTGAAATCTGGCATGGTTTCATTCAAGTGAAGTTTAATTTAGTAAAGCACCTAAAATGCTATAAAAATACCTGACTTTAAACAGGGGAAGCTGGGGTTCCATTTTTCCAATGCTCTGGCTCAGAGTTTGATGAAATGTTTGTCGGCACTGGAGCAAAAAGAGTCAGACAACTGTTTGGTGAGTATTCTATGTAATTTGAGTCCAGTAATCTGGGCAAATAAAATGTGTGAACAAAAATTTTAACAATAGCATCATGTCTAGCGAGCAACCTTAACAGAAAATTGTCACAATTTTAAAATACTTTTGGGTCATATCATTCTTTCAACAATCATCTCTATTTTTCTAAAAAATTCCCATATAATGCATACTATTATGTGTTCATTTCTCTATAAATGTGTTCACCACATTTATCAATTAACTTAATAGACATTTGTGGCAAATTGAGCACTTTGAATCTTGAATAACTTTACCTATTTATAACATACCACAGATCTTTTGGGATTTGAGATGATAAAGAATACATTGGTAGGTCAATTGAACATGTTGGTTGCACTTTTGTCACTCCCCTCTGATTCTGCCTTTAAACAGTTACTTCCTAACTAAAGTAGATACAGTAATCATTATGAAATTGCCTAGTTTAATCAGCATAATCAGCTTTTTCCAAGTTACCCCATTTCTTGTAAAATGTATCTTTTGCATATGACAGTGATATTCCATACTTGAAGTTATTGCAGCGAGTCAAGAATTTACCTTGCACTCAGCTGAAAATGTTTTAACCTTTTTCTCGCTTGATAAATGCATTATTCAAAATCAATACTATGCATGATGTAATCATGAAAATGTTAATATATATATAACATGTGTATGAATGTTATAGGTTCAGCTAAATTGCGAGCTCCTTGTGTGATATTCATAGATGAGATCGACACTCTGGGTGCTAAACGTACAAGCTCACAGATCCATCCCTATGCAAATCAAACCATTAACCAGCTGCTTGCAGAGATGGATGGGTAAGCTACTCTCTCTCATTCCAGTCTACACTTAATGCCCTCTTGGCTTACAGCAAGGGTTACACCAAGTGCTTTTTAGGCTTACGGCAAATGTGCTTGAGGCTTATACTAAAAGCTTGCCAAGGTTGCACCAAATCCTCTAGGGCTACACCAAATCCTTTCTAGGGTTGCACCAAATGCTCTCAAGGGTTACACCAAATGCTTTCTAGGCTTACAGCAAATGCACTTGAGGGTTACACCAAATGCTTTCCAAGGATATATCAAATCCTCTCTCGGGTTACATCAAATGCTCTTCAAGGTTATAGAGAGAATCTTCATCCAAAACATTAAAATGGACTGGTCCAAGTTATCACTCACCTCAAAAAGAATGAATGTACTTGCATGTATACTGATCTCTTATTATAAGACTTATATAACCTAGTGTAATATTGTGACATCTTTTTGTGCCTATTTTCATAAATCATAATAAAGTTATTGATATTGATAGACACTATTTTTATCCATGAATATATACAATGTTAAATACATTTACACACTCCCCTCCAGGTTCCAGCAGAATGAAGGTGTCATAGTGCTGGGTGCTACAAATAGAAGGGACAATCTAGACAAGTAAGGCTATAAATATTAGGGCTTTGACAATGCATTGAAATTGCAGTGTTAGTTCTTAGACCGCGGTCAGTTCAGTTCGAAATCTATTCGATTCAGTCTTTTACAGAACATTAATTCACATTAATTAATATCTATTCAGGAATGTTTAGTGAGCAAAAAGACCATTCACTGTCACATAAAATGATAATACCGTTGTAGCAAGTGAAGATTTTGGCCTTATTGATGCTCTTTTAAAAGTCTTAAAGCCCATTTTGGGGCTATTTTACTACCCCAATGATATTCTTCATTGCCTGATACTAAAATTGATATTCATTTTTATTGAGACTAGATCCAAGAAATTTTTGAATCTGGAAATAGTATTATTCCTTACAAATAATTCACATGTCCATGTATTTTAGAGCTCTTTTGAGACCAGGAAGGTTTGATGTAGAGGTGAGGATATTCTCCCCTGACTTGAAGGGCAGAAAAGACATAATAGAACTCTATCTCAAGAAGGTCACGGCAGATTCAAGTAAGTATGCACATCTCAGATTGACTCAAAGTGATATGTAGTGGCTGACACAAGTAACTGATGTTCCCATACATCACTTATTACAAGCCAGATAAACCATAAGGATTTTTTCAAGCTTGTTACTGAACTGCCTTGTAAATCAGGTACCTTGAGCACTCTTATAAAGCACTACATAGTCTGACTTACTGTATAACTGAAGCTTGTCATAGGCTGACAACTTTATTTATAAAATTATATTTGCTCTTGTCTGACAATGTAAGATTACATCTTCTAATTGGCATGGCTTTAATTATTTATACACACCAGTGATGGTTGATATTGGATAAAGTAGATAAAAATGGAGGCAAGTAGACATTGAGATGCGATCACTGAAATTGTATTCTTTATTTTCGCCAGCTTGCGATTGTGAGAGGTTGGCACGGGGCACTACTGGCTTCACAGGGGCAGACATAGAGAACATGGTGAATCAGGCAGCCCTGAAGGCAGCTAAAGATGGCAGTCTGGCTGTGTCTATGGCAGACTTGGAGTGGGCAAGGGACAAGGTACTAATGGGTAAGTAAATTCAAGGAGAGTTCAGTAAAATATGTATTAAGTAAACAGTTAAAAGTTTAAGTATAAGGGATTAATAGAGATTCTGTATAACATAATTATAATTGATGAGAATGCACAAAAGGCAGTAAGAGAGGCAACACATAGTTTTAGTTTTATTTCACTGTCATTGTTGTAGGGCCTGCAAAGAAGAACAGAATTCCTGATGAGGAGACTAACTGGATGACAGCATACCATGAAGCTGGTCATGTCCTTGTAGCCCACTACACCAAGAATTCAACACCCCTACATAAAGTCACCATCATACCCAGAGGAATGTCACTCGGCCATGTGAGTATATCATTATTTCATAGATCTAGATTTAGTATAGTTTATATGTTGAATTGGGTGCTTCAAATATTACCTCTTGCACTGACACCCCCTTCCTATTTTGGCTGAACTCCAATATTGCATCCAAGGATGTACGTTGACACATGATTAACAAGCTTGAGATACTGTAAATGTAGAGAGAATATATGAGCTATGCTATGTAGTAATACTTATTGATTTTTGGGTTCATGTTTTATGTTGTTTCAGACTGCCTACATCCCTGAAAAAGAACAATACAACCATAGCAGGACACAGCTGATGGCCCAGATGGACACTGCTATGGGAGGTAGAGTGGCTGAAGAACTCATATATGGAGCTGATAAAGTCACAACAGGTATTGCTTTGAGAGTAAATCCATATTTTTAGTTCTGTAAGGCTATGTGTGGTTCTATTTTCCTCAGACTGCTTTGAAATGATGTAATCCATGTTCTGTATAATACTCATTTTGTTCAACTTTTGTTAACTTAAGCTTTTATAAATGGAAATTTGTTAGGGAAGGGACGATGCTTTGCATGTATTAAATAATACTAATCCCTTCATATTTTGTATTGTCACTCATTTTTCTGTACATGTACATGCATAATGTATTCATATATGTAATGTTCTGCAGGAGCATCCAGTGATTTCCAGAGTGCCACGGGTATAGCCACCGCCATGGTGAGACGGTTTGGCATGTCAGATAAGGTACTTCATTCCTTTGCTCAAAATAAAATGCTCAAAGGCAATTCCTTTGCTCAAAAATAAACTGCTCAATTAAGGAATAAAACTGGTCAAATTTGATTTGATGATAAATATTTTGTCATTACATATCATTGTTTTTGTTTCATCTCTGTACAATTTAAACAGACTATGCTATGCTATGTAGAATGTCAATACTGTCAATTAACGTTTGAAGTAAATACTGTAGAATAAAATACTTAAGTAAAGGGATATGAAAAATATTATTAAACAATATTGTGATGAGAAAACAAATGCATGTACTTAGAAAATATTTCTTTTTAGGTTGGTGTTCGGGTGTTCAGTGATGATGATGGTGCAGATGGGGGATTGACCATGGTGAAAGTGAATGATGTCAGCCCTGCAACTCAAGAACTTATAGATAGTGAAATAAAAAGACTGCTTCAGGTAAGGGACAATTTAGAGTCAAATTCAAATATGGGATACAATAAACTGGTAAAATCCAAAAGCCACTGGGATCAGCCTCGTGTTTGGAATAGCATTTAAAGGTTCATTAATAAGAAAGTCAGTGGAAGATTTGAGAGGTTTTCAGATTACAGAGGCATTGAGATATACAGGTTTTACATTTAGGTCATGTTAACATAAAATAGATTAAATTAATATGAAATTAACATTACAACTGGTTCATTACACAAATCGAACTGTATGATGCACTTTGCATGCTTGTTTGATGTAAAAAATGTAAGGATCTTGCTTAGATCTTTTCATTTAATTTAAGACATTTAGAAATAAACAGCATACTGTATTTTAACATTATTGTGTGTTTTTCAGGAGTCATACGAGAGGGCAAAAGCAATATTAAAAGCACACTCTGTGGAACATAAACTCTTAGCTCAAGCTCTAATGAAATATGAGACACTAGATGTTGATGAAGTTAAAACTATAGTAGAGGGAAGAAAATTGATCAAGCAACCCTTGTGAGGATCACCTGGGTCTAACTAATTCAACAAATTGAGAATATATCTTGCAGTGGAGAGACAATGTTAAGACCATGGGGGAACTGAGATGTCTCGGGGTCTCGGGGACAAAAACTCAAATCAGGACTTTTGCTTTAAGTCAAATTAATCAAAAGTAGTATAAAGAGTGAAATGAAAAATATCATGTTATTCTGATGTGATTTAATTGAAAACTCATGTACATAACTTTAGATTTAGCATCTAAATTATTTATTTTAAGTTGCAGAAAACAGCAAGAGTTCTGTTGATTTTAGTGCTATAGGTCATCATGAATGGTGTTCTGTTTTTCACATCATCTGCTTCTATAAAGAGGACTACTCAAATTGGAATCATTGTAAATTTACATACTGACAAGAATGCAAGATTTTTAAGTGTTACTGCATTTTAATTTTTGCATATTAAATATTCAAGGTAGAGTTATGTTGATTGTGATATAAGGGAGAGGGGAAAGGAAATTGGTTTATGACCAGTAGATCTGAAATGCTTTAAAGGAGACACCCCGTGAAGAATGATTAATGTTATAGAAAAAATTCAAAAGAGAACAGTGATAATGATAAATATATATTCTGCATGAGTCTCAGTGGAACATATTCAAAATATAGTGAATAAAAAAGAATGTTTATTTTATACATCGTTATATCAACTGGGAAATGACTGCCATATTAGAAAAGGTAATATGTTTTCTCTTAGCAATTTGGAAATAATAAAATTAAATATCATACGAGAGAATGTTTATGTTCATTTATTTTTTATTATATACAATGCTATGAGCTGGTTGATGTATAAAGAAATATGTGGAGGATGGACTTGCGTGATTTATATGGGGAATGCCAATGTCTCGCTAAATAAACTTACAAACAGCAAAATGGTTTCCACTCTTAGACAAGTTGGTGAAAATTGCAGGCCGTATTATTCTTTTTATAGAAAATTTGGTTTATTTTACAGATGGCAATTTTAATCTATCCTTTCTAAAAGTTTCTGGGAGTTCCCTTTGTAAATGACAAATAGTAACAACTTTCATTCATTAAAAAAATTAGGATAATATTCCCCATTGAATTACAATATAATATGATGATCTTTAATCCAGCCAACTAACAACTGCGGAATTGTACTGGCTTTGCAGGGTATGTAATCGTTGACCCGACATAACAAACAACATTGGTTCATTTCTTTCAAAGAAATTTATTCACTTCACCATAAGTATGAGAAACAAGAAATGTGTTGCAGTGAAATATACCTCATTGAATTTCACTGTCCCTACAAACCCTAATTTACCAGCAGAAACAACATATTATATCCCATAATAGTCAAGTTTCTACTAGCAACAAGGTTAAAGCAGGCCATGTTTTTTACAACTCAATAAATGACAAGTTGTCCAAGAAGATGATACATTACAAACAGTACATACCATTCAACTAGATTCAAATTAATTGTAATATTATGTCTGTTGTTACTTCATATTATACTTAACATATGGGCCAATCTTGATTATAATTTTCAAACTAATAAACAAAATAGACTTTTCTTGAGAAAATATAATGAGACAAGAGTGTGTAATAATCTGTCTGAATTGGATATAACAAGACAAACAAAGTGTCCAAAAAGTAATGAGATCATATGTTTCTCAATACTTTTAGAACACCCTGTAAATAGAACAGAGATGTGCAATTCTGGCTAAAATATATTATCTACCATACCATTTTATAAATTTACATATGAATTGAATTGTACATTCATGAATCTGAACTGTTTTCAAATATTCTAATATTTCAACATGACTGCAATTCATCTTTCAATAATGCTTTGTTCAAATGTTTCTGGGTCACCCTGTGATCCAGGTGTACGCAGGTTAACATGCAACCTGTCCTAATACATACGACCTATCTGGGCATATCATGACATCAATATGCAGAGTGAATTAACCACCTGGCTATTTCACTCAGCCTACCAAATGACTCGGCAATGCACATAGGTGATGTTATGTTCTAACCATTATACAATATTTCATTAGATGCTGTAGAATAAATATTGGAATAAATTCACAACCATTTATTGTGTCATCTGAATAGGTTAACAATACATTTTTCTGAGTAAACTTTAGATAATGCTATTCTAATATAAGAAGAAGTTTCCACTATGTCTGAAGAAAATTTTCAACTCACTTTATGTACACAAGCATAAATAAGATAATGGTATAAAAACGGACGGTTATAAAGTACTACTCTATACAAGTATGGCTGCATATACCATATATATATATAAAATACATTATAATGTACCATGTAAGATATTGGTTTTTTCATTTACATTTTATGGATACATTATATAATGCAAGTAAAACATCCTATATTACCCTTACTGGAATCCGTTGTTAAAACTGATAAACATAAAAATTAATTTATTGTCTATACATATTAACAATTTTCTAGCTTATGGATTTCAACTGATGTACATAATAATGTTGATTTAAAAATTATTAAATAACTGTGTAGAAAATACCAAAACCCAAAAGTAATTAAAATGTAATTATGTGAAAATGCTAACAGGTGCTATGAATGGATTAAAATAATAATATTAATTATTATTCTATACTCAAAACTCATGACTTAAATTCACACATGTAACAAGAAATCACAATTGATAACGTCCTTATATAAACTTCTTGCGGCGTTTTACTTACTTTTATTATGTATACTGTACATTGTTTGGTAAGGTTTAACTCAGGTAAATTAAGGGCACTGATTATGATCAACAATCTAGATTTACAAATGTCCTTTTATTAAGAGGATCACATCACTACAATCGATCTAGCATCGTTCCAAACATATACAGAATATATTCGATTAAATAGAAGTGAAAACATCTTACACAAGATAAGCTGGTCATTCGTCCAACCTTTTTTATTTTTCATTTATACTAAGGAACCTATTCGCCAATACTAGATAATAATAATAATATACACAATTTCTTTGAGATCTCTATTGTACGAGTCCAGCATACAATAGCATAAGATTTACATTACATTCATTGATCTTAAACCTCTACCTACATGCACATAGAGTTAGGTTTAAACAGGGGTTCCCAGCCTGTTTACAGTCGTATTACATGTATAGCTCTTTACATGTAAGGTAGTTTTTTTCTTGATCTGTAATAAAAGATTCCTTCAGTATATGAGTCCGGCGAATGTTGAAATGTACTATAGGAGACATGTTTAAATGTATTGTAGGAAACATGTAGTAATGTAGTGTAGGAGACCTGTTGAAGTGTTTTGTAGGAGACGTTTCATGTTGAAATGTATTCTTGGAGACATGCTTATGTTGAAATGTATTGTAGGAGACATGTGTCATATTGAAATGTACTGTAGGAGACATGTTTATATCGAAATGTACTGTAGGAGACATGCTTCATGTTGAAATGTTCTGTAGGAGACATGTTTATATCAAAATGTACTGTAGGAGACATGTTTATATCAAAATGTACTATAGGAGACATGTTTCATGCTGAAATGTATTGTTGGAGACATGTTCACAGTAAAATTTACACTACAAAACATAACATGTTTCAAGCTGATGCTTACATATTGAGGCGTTTTTATCTTTAAAATGCAATGTTAACTGTTAAGCGAGGAGTCCTTAAATGTGCTTTATGAACATACATGTTTACTTATTAATTTTAAGAGACACACTTTAGATGAACTATGACAGATATAATCATGTACTTGTGTAATTTTGCAATACATTTCTTGGATATTAAGTTGAAGACATAATGGAGGCCGTCAATTATAAGTTTAATGTTAAAATCGATTAAATCGAATGGAATTGAAGTTACAAAAGAAAGACATGTAACTACAAACTAGTAACTTCACTCAGTATAAGATATGCAGTTGAATATTTTAAAAACAGGAATTTGGAGGAAATCTCTTTCTTCAGTGATACATTGTACATCTGCAAAAAATTTTAAAAGTATAAAGGTATAATGATATTTACATTACATTATAACATTATAAAAGCCATGTTGTTCTTCCACCATTATGAAATTCATTATTCTACTGATAACCAAAACTTTCTAACTGAAACATATTTTAAACATTTTTGGAAAATTATCCCATATTGTGATTTGTCTAAAGGTTATGATCTTAAGTATAAGGCAGTACAGTGCACTGTAGCTTATGAATCTCTTTAACTGGCATTATGCTGTTGAGCCTACAAGCTGGGACCATATTTTAGTCTACATCCTTTTCTTTGTTTCTAGCTATGTTCATGATGAGTTGTTCACCTTGAAAGGTTCCATTGATTCTAAGATGGAATTCCTTTAATCATGGGTTCCACTTTGAAAAGCTCCATTAATCATGAGATGGATTTCCTTCAACTGTGGGTTCCAGAGTAAAAAGACCAATTAAGGGAATTCCTTAAATCTCAGGCTCCGTTATTTAGATTGGATCGGTGAATGTTGAATATTGTATTATGCTTCAGGCCCCTTTTAACTGGTACTGTACATTAACAAGTGACTAGTATATGTAGTGTTTCTCATATGTAGATGGAAATAATGAGACTATATTACAATGCGCCATGTCTATCTGAAACCAAAGTACACATTCCATTAATCACTTTAATGAAAAAAATGTATTAATACACACATCTCAGAAGGCAATTGCAAATCTATGTACAGATTATGTACATTTTTTAACCTGTGATACCAGACATATATGCAGTGATAGCTATACATTTATGAAAATATTAAGTTGTTTTTTCTTTGAAATTAATCATACATACATTTATAGATCTACTTTTTCATGAATGGAAAAACAATGTTTGTTACCTTCTACCTCTGTCAATGTCTGAAGAAGTTGAATAATGAGTTCTTTTTGTTTGATGGCAGGGCCATTACCATTGGTACCTTGTTTTTATGTGTGATGGAAATCTAAAAACACAAAAATCGTAACTTATACAATACATGGGATTAACATATTTAAAGTTAGTATCAGATCTAGCGAACAACCTTAGAACTGTTTCATTTCTATGTTTGGCTCATATCATGCCTTGTCATGTCTATTTTCTAAAAATTCCAAAAGTGTGAACTTTATTTATATGTATGGGGAAATTTTAAACATTAATCCCCCCATTTTTGCACTTTGAATCTCTCTCTCTCTCTCTTTGCACCAATCTATAAAATATTGTGGATCTTTTGGGAGATATTATATTTGAGATCATAGGGAATACATTAAGATCAATTGAATATGTTGATTGCAATTTAGCGTGGGATTCAGAGTGAAAATTACGACACTGTTAGGATACTAATGTTATTCAATGATTCAAGTGAAATACAGACTTTCTCAGGCAGAATATTTTCTATATTTCACTTGAATCAGGACTTTTGCTAGATATCTCACGGTTGTCTTATCTGATTAGCATTGCCATTGAATATCGCCAGATATCCCACGACATGTGACCCGGTTTTGACCAATCATACTGTCGCTAGCTAGATAGTGATATAATAATGAACAAATATTTCACTCTATTGAGGTGAATACCTGTACATCTTTCACAAGTGATATTCCACGAAGCCCGAAGGGCAAGTGGAATATCACCTTGTGAAAGTGCTACAGGTATTCACCGAAAATAGAGTGAAATATTTGTTTTATTATATCACCGTCTAGCTAAACATCCCTAATATTATTAAGTCATAGGTTAACATTGAAATACATTGAATCTACTCGGTTCGTCTGCCATTTTGACTTACACTGAACGAAAACAAATTCTTTGAAAATTCCCGGGAGCGTGGGATATCGCTAGATATCTCACGGTTGTCTTATCTGATTAGCATTGCCATTGAATATCGCCAGATATCCCACGACATGTGACCCGGTTTTGACCAATCATACTGTCGCTAGCTAGATAGTGATATAATAACTTAAATTATTCTAAGTTCAATATAAATATCACACCAACACTTCATGTCACACCCTGTATACTTACAGTACATGGAGGCTGCATCCATGGTTCCCCATCTATTTGCATGGGCAATCTTTTTCTGGTCCTGAAATGTTACAAAGTACTCCATGTATATGATTCAGAAAATCCTTTTTTGTTTCACTATAAGACACAATATGAATCGTGATTCATGAAAATGAATTTATTTCAAGGTTAGAATATTCATATTAACCGCATTGTAAAACTATGCAATGACATGATTTATCAAAAGACTTCTTAAAAAACTACCACCAAACAAGATTGCTGAATGAATGAACTGCACAACATCTTTATCCTCATGTGTAGCACATGTGTGAATTAAAGAAAATAGATAAATGGTTTTTCGAGAATCGTGACGACAAAAAATTAGGATTTCAATAAAAATAAAGCCACCTATTTTCAAAGATAAACCTTTTTAGAAAGGCCCTGCCCACTTATATTGAGAATGATGTTTGTTTACCTGATTACAACTTGTGAACATTGTGCAAGCCTCTTCCCTGAGCTTCTCATTCCTGTCTTCACTTGGGCTGCATGCATTGCACTCTCCAGCCCCACAACCTCTATCAACTGGTCACCAATATCTAAAAGAAAACAATCAATTGATCATCAATATCTAAAACAAGCCAATCAACTGGTCACCAATATCTAAAAGAAAACAAAGCAATCAATTGATCATCGGTATCTAAAACAAGCCAATCAACTGGTCACCAATATCTAAAAGAAAACAAAGCAATCAAGTGATCATCAGTATCTAAAACAAGCCAATCAACTCGTCATCAATAGCTAAAACAAATCTATCAACTGGTCATCAATATCTAAAACAAACAAATCAACAGGTCATCAACATCTTAAACAAATCAATCAACTGGTTAATATATAAAACAAACATATCAACTGGCCATCAATATCTAAAACAAACCAATCAACTGGTCAATGCATAAAACAAACCAACATGTATCAGATCTTTGTTTTATTTAGTGCAATAACTCAGATGCGAGTGGGTGGTTACCAGTTTCACCACCAGATGGCTCGTTGGGTCACATTCATTGTTGGTGTAGTAGTAAGTTCCCCCTAACTTAAATATTCATCTGTTAGTGGTTCAATTTTCAAATCACCCTTATGTATCTAATAGTTATGCAAATCAAAATATGTCCAGTAATAGAAAATGTTATCTGTCCAATTCAAGAAAATATATTTCACCTTTAGTGATTTTATAACATGGGGTCTATGAGGAATCTCCCCAAACTAGAAGTCAGATTTTCAAATAAATTAAATTTTCAAAGTTGATAAACAATTTTCGAAACCATATTTCAAGATGTATATTACTTTTACATGTACTCAAATATGTCATCACTGTGACTGGATTTTGAATATTTAATGACATAAATCAAAATTATTGCTACTCGCAGTTAGTCTATTATCAATCATAAAATAAATAACAAAAAATATTTTCAAACTTGGAAAAATACATAATGTAATGAGGCCACTTTATTATATCAATCTGTAAGTAAAAACCTTTTTGTCCCTCTCAGTAAATAACCTACTTATTTCAAATACATACCTTGTACTGCCATACTGAGATCAACTGATGACATGCTACTTGTGGAATATTCACGATCCTTGTCCTTTTTGGGTGATTTCTTATTCCTTTTTTTCTGGCTTGGGTTATCTCCCCAGAGATCTGTCCCACCATATATGCTAGGTATGTTTAGCAAGGCTATACCCTCTAATGTTGGACCATTGGCTAGATCTAGTGAATAGCCATCACACTGAAAAACAGAACACATAAAGAGTTTCCAAGTACTGAATGTGTATGATACTCTAATGACTGGATATGTACTTGATCTTGGGGTATTAAGGTAGGAGTAGCATGTCTAGCATCCTTGAACATCTTACACATAGCAGGGCCTGGGGGGGGGGCAAAATCTCTGCAAAATCTCTCAAAATCATGCAGTTTTTCACCATTCTGAGCACTTTTCAAGTGGTTTTGGGCCAAAGTTGTCAAATAGTAAACCCCCCTGGAATTCTTTGAAAAGTGAACCCCTTGGTAAAAAGCTAGCTGCAGGCCTGCATACCAGCTTCCATACTTATGCTGACAAAATGGTTCAAAATCATCTCACTAGACCCACCTTAAGAATGTTAAGGAAGCAAGCCGTAGATTTAGTATTGTTCCTCTAATAATCTGTCAGGTCATTACGGTAATGCACCCCACATCAATTATTTCATTGTTTTAATTAAAAGGGTAACAAATTTAAGAAAGGAAATAAGAGTAACTTTCTAAAAATAAATTACAAAATCAAGTTTAATTTCTAGAAAGTCCAGATTTTTTTAATTTCAATGATAATCCTTTGATCTGGCAATACTTTTGATTCCCATTATTTTCCATTTTTTCATTTTGAATTACTGTACAATGAACTACTTCCTTATATGCATATGCTAAATACGTTTGGGAATATGCACTTACCATGATATCAATAGACTCGTGGATCTTTTTACAGGTTGCAGAAAATGTCTCTGAAGTTCCAAACTCAAAGTACCATAACTTATTCTTCATTCTGGAAGTATATAGGATCATACATTCTACAATGTATGTAACATTGTACAATTATGCACTCAGCCATTCTTCATTATGCACTCATACATTCTTTAATATGCACTCGGACATTCTTCATTATGCACTCATACATTCTTTAACATGCACTCGTACATTCTGAAATGTATCATCATACATTCTACAATATGTTGCCATATTTTTACAGTATGCACTCATAGTTATCAGCTATTTGAAGCGCATTTCCTCCCACTGAAAGACAGCATATGCTATGATGGGAAAATATGATGGTTTACACACTTCAGTTCATCTTACAAAGACATATTAATATAAAATCACTTTTTGGATAATATTAATATCTATTGTTCAACTAATTTTCATCATCTTCACATAGCAAGTGACACATAACATACCAAATAACTATTTTTCAAATTGCTGATAAACTATGTCTCCTTATTCAGTTAAAAGAATGCAGGAAAATAAAATAGAGCCTGAACAACAAAGAAAATCCAGTTGTTTCTAAATTGCAGATTTTCTTGTCATTATTGTTTTAAAAATAATTTTATGTGATGATATTCCCCCATGGCATCATTCATTGGTGATTCCCCTTTCTGTTCATTGCTAAAAATACTACATTTTTCTGTATAGTGTTATATTTAACTCATTTATCATTGATGCATGTAGAAATATCATTGAGGACCACAGTAATAGTAGTACAATATTATATATGGGAGATTTAGTAGGCAATTAATTCTTAGTGACACATGACATGTAATACCATTGTCAACAAGTAGTATTCATGACAATTTGATGTGTTGTTCAGACTCTATATATTAAAATATACGCCAACGCACTTACACATAAAGATTTCACTGGATATTATAGACGAATAGTACAGGAGATCAACTTGATTCCCTCCATTATTACAGAATGAGGTTCACCGTAAATATATTCATTTTTTTAGTAAAGACTGTTATATTTATAGCAGTTATTCTTCAGGTGATGCCACTTAGACCTTTATCACTCCACAGGTATATAGTAATCCTGAGATCTTTATGTGAGTGTTGGTATAAACAATTTATTTTAATCCACAAGTAAATAGATAGAATGCGCAGAAAGAGACTTCGCTGTCACAAACATGGCACGTCGCAGCGCCAGCAGGCTAGTTGGTTAATGAAATGTTTGGAGGTTAATGATGCTTTTCAGTTTTGAGATATCATTACAAGAGCAATGTTGGGCCCAAAACAACAACTCAATTTATTATGCACAATGGGATCATAATACCTTGTCATGGAAAGCTTTGGGTGGACAGGATGTTTATACATATAATAATAGGGTAGGGATCATGCTAGTGCTACATGCTATTTCCATCACCAAAATATATAGGTGCAATAAAATTGTGCATGTAGAAATAACTAAATACTAGGTGGAATTAATAAATATTGTGCATTGTACAATGTCAGTGTGGGACAAATAATCTAGTGCCATATCAGTAAGAAAAATTAGTATTAAGGAAAACCATAAAATCTGGCACAGTCATGTGAGTAAAATTCAAATATCTAAACCTAATATCTAACTGGTGACTTGTGTGCAGTTATAACACCTACAGTATGCTGTGTAGGATTTATGTTTTTGTAGTTTTAGTAATATCCAGTACCAAAATAAAGAGAATACATAAGTACATTTGGGGGAAATAAGTAACAGGTACAAAATCAGAAGCTATGGTTGGTTGACTATAACAACAAGCAGAAGATACCAATCATGCAATCACATAACATGTCAACAAATATTGGCACAATTACAAAATTTCACAAAAAAAACGTCACATCAATGAACATCTTTAAAACAATAAAAGCAAACACAGAGGATTAATCCCATTTGACATGTGATTAAAGTAGCGTGAAACTGGGGTACATCCTCTATGTACAATTTACAACTTGAAACATAGCTTTAAGGAAGGCAGGGCAGAATGACCAATTTACCTAATGAGATGTACTAATGTCATATGTGCAGGTCAAAATCATTTCACACTGCCCACCTTAATCTTCCCAAAATTAACCCAAAACACAACACAGTCAACCAACCATCGTGTCCATTGTCCTCCCAAGCTTTTACAATGACAAGGTTTTACAAGAACCCCCTACTCTACCTGCTATTGAATTTCTCGGGATGTTTTTCCCGCATCATATGAAACCTATGTGCGATGGACGCGTCCTGCAGAATAGAACACAATATCATAAATACAAAGAAATAAAAAACCCAGGGTGGACAGGCATTTTGTAAACATTTACATTGTAACACTGGATGGGAATAAGCATAGGTTTGCCACCTTAGAGAGGAATTTACAAAAGCAATTCTGTAACAGTTCTGCAAAGGTAGGATTTGAATGCACCGTGGAGCTGTTATTGCAAGGATAGCCTACAAAAAGAGCATGCACACAATTTTAAAGCTTTTTACAGGGCAAAATACAGGGTGTTTTAAAAATATAATATGCATGTTTGATCTCATATTTTTAGAACGCTGCAAATTGGTAAAGGGTACGCATGCAAAGAGAAATTCTCCAATCTTAGTTGGAGAAATTCACATGTAAAAGAAGAAACACAAATATTCCATCACCGACCATGATTGTAAAACATGTTGTCATCATAGCTTTGCTTTTAAGCCAAGTAATGATTATGTCTGCTATTTAAGACATTTACCAAAACAAGTATATTTTGATTTCAGTTACAATTTTCCAAACACAATTTTTACCCTTCCAAATGTAATTCTTAAAAAACATATTGATGTCAAACTGAAAGGTTATTGAACATTTAAAATGGAGAAATCTGTGAATTACTAATCACCATCATGATGATTATCTGGAGAAGATTGTTTATTCTCATGGGGTTCCTGAAGCCCACATTTATTCTTAGCAGTTAGGCCAATATACAGAGTGGGCCAATAAAAATTGGAATGTGGATCCAATGAGGATAAAAAAGTTATGACCTGTGATTTTATTGTATATGTAATTTCTCAATACATGTTTATTTACGAATGAAATTCATTCTCCAAAGTCTTTGTAATGTTCTCTGCTCCATATAATGTACAAGTAACACTCTCCTGGGGTGGAGATAAGAAAGCTGCACATGCATACAAGACACCAGCAACATAACGTCTCAGCATTCGAGAGCAACTAAGACAAAACATAGAATAAGGGGTGGAATGAAAGCTTGACATAAATACTGGAGACCAAAATGCCTGTTCCTGGGTAAACACAAACCTGCTGTCAAATTTATGTGGATATTTTTCTCGCATCAAATGAAATTTGTGGGCTATTGACGCATCCTGGAATAGACTTTGTATATTAGTAGAAATTAAGGTTAAAAACATGATGAATTTCTAATCCAACAAACTTTAACAATGATTATATAACTGTTAATGATTTGGACTACATACTGTATTGTGAACATCCTCTCCATGTATCTTGACCCAACCCAAAAATAAACATATTGTGAAAAAATGAACACCCTTTTCAAAAACATTTGGGAAATATTCACATTCAACTGAACTAAAATGAAAGTAACAGCTTACCACCCCAATAGAGAAATAATTATTGATAATGTTACAAGGAACTGGATCCCCTTGTTCTACAGTATCTGGCGTACTAAACTCTATCTGCCAGCGATCCAGCTGGACTTGGTTACCACTCTTTATTCTGTGTAAATATTTGTTCAGATTTTCTCCCTCATAACCTGGAAAAACACAATTGTTTTCAAAAAAGACATTTACATACTTAATTTTTCTTTTTTACTCACATTTTACTTGATTACATATAGTGCATGTGGTATATCGCATATTAAATATTTTCAAAGGATGCAATGTTTGAAGGATACTTGAACAACATTTTTTAAATTGCCCTCTATTATGTAAATGTACAAATTGCATGCTGGCTTTGACTGTTAACAGTATATCAATAACTATTGTTTAAAATGACACATGCTATACATCAAAGAAAAGTGAGCACTGTTTAAAATCTAGATGCACATGTGGCAAATGTTTGAGCCGGATAAAATCCCCATGTTCAATAAAATGTCACACTTACAATACAATACAATAAATGGTGAAATGAATGTTATGTGGCTGTAAATATTTACCTCCTCCCCAGTTGAGACATCGTGCCAGGTCATTACCCGTCCCAAGAGGTAGAACTGCCACTGGCGGACGATTTACAAAGGTCACCTTATCTACAACATAATATAAATACTATTTATTCATGTTCATTGAAGAGCATGAAAATGAATCCCTCCATTCTTGACAGAAACAGAATAGGTAATAATGATATAGAGCTGATAATAGAAATGTATACTATTATTACTTATGCACTGCATTGTTCTTTATACTATTGATTCCTTTCAAAGCATGTTTCACTGGCTTTTGGTTTGATCATATTCAACTGCGTAGTTTCTTGTGTTAAACAATATCAAGAAGCAGCAGGGGATATCTAACTGCATGCCTATTAATCCCCCGCCTACTTAAATTACCCCCTTTCTACTCACCCATGGCTTCAAGTAACCACCCGACTGTTCCATCTCCTCCGCAAACAAGAATTCGGAAATTTGGCACGTCTTTGAAAAACTGCAACCTAAAAATGTTACACTGTGGATGCAGTTTGTGTTATATTTTCATATTTTCAATGTAATATAAAGCATGAGTCTGCATAGCTTATAACTTCATACAATAAGTTATACAATGTAGTAATACTTGTAAATTCAGTAATGACTGTCTATAAAGTGCACACCTCCCTATAAAGTGCAAACCTCCAGACAGACCTGCTCATGTTAAAAACTGACCCCTATAACATTAGTGCCAATAAATTCTGAACAAAGTGTTCTCACTTCAAGAAATTCAATTTAAAAGAACCAGGATATTGTGATTTTTGAGATATGCTTTTGTCCATGTGTGAGTATCAATATCTATGCATACACAGTTGAGTTCATAAATTTACAGTGTACATACACTTGGAACAATGTTTTTAATGTTGGCAGTCAATGTACTGTATATTTAAATGTGTTAATTCGGAATAAAGAAAGGAGAAAATGAAGGTTAAACATACGCTGGTTGAGGTCCTCCATTTTTGATCAGATCATAAACCTGCCTTGGGTTGAGTAAATACTGAAACTTTCTTAATATCCTGAAATAAAATGCAATCAAACTTGAACACAATACGAATGTGTATTTTGTAACATAGTTGCTGCATAAAAAGTGGGCAAAAAGGTAGGTAGATGATCATTTGACATTTTCAAGACATACAAGTTAACCATTTACATACAGCAAAAACTAACCATTATTAGCATATAATTTATTCACAATTGACTATTTTAATTGTGGGAAACTCGAAAGTGAGGGATAACGTACCTGGCACCTTGTTTCCCTCCACTCTTTGGGTTGATAAAGACGAGAAGAGGTGAGGTATCATTCATCGGGGTGATCTGAAATGAACTCTGGCCCTGTCAGGTGACGCAGAGGGAAGAAAGACAAAGAATAGCGGGTTAGTTACAAAGCAGTAAAGCACAGTCAGGTCAAAGGGCAAATCAAGGGTAAGAGGGGGGATACCCCAGAATCCATAGATGACCCTCTTTCCATATAAAGATGAACTTTTAGGGGTTCATATACTAATTCTGAGGTATTCCCACCTCTTAATAAGGGTAATCTTATGTATGTCATTTTCAAATATTAGAAAATCAACACAATCATTCAATGTACTTTTGTTATAAATAACAAAAAAAGTTGACTTTTAATATAAAAAATTTCATCCATTAAGATATGGTTACTTTTTACAAAAGGCAGAATTTCATGACAGAGATTCGTCACTTAATTATGATGTCAAAGACAGACCACTATTGTAACAGATTATATTATATTCTGATACTACTCTAGCATTGGTTAAATATTTGAGATCAAATTGTCATGTAGACCAATCATTGGATGTTAGAAGTGCTTTGATTAACCTGTCACGTGAAACAAACATGAAGATTCACGATAGAAACACTAAAAACCATACTCCGAGGAGTGCATTAAAACATTAGACAAAATTGATCAGAAAACATTTTAATAGGGAGAACATGTATATGTTGGTCTCCATGACAATTATGCTTCTACATACTGGTCTTATAATAGTTATATATTAATATGTCTATCCCAACAACTTTACATTAGCACAGATAAGCTTATTAATCTGACTGTATGAAATCCTGAAATTCAGTGCTTTGGAAAAACACTATCACAAATCGTATTTAAATGCGCATCTAAACTTATCTGTATTAACCATTGTCTCCACCAAACTTATAACTATGAAAGCTAAAGTATCTATTTGTATTCCCATGTATTTCTTGTTATAATGTGAAATAGGCAGAATTGTGTATTAATTTTTTATTATTTCAAATAGGCATTGAGAAATTTATTTGGTGTTAGAAATCGAAAAGACAGAAAATGTGTATAGCTTCTTATTATCTCAATTTGACACTGACAAATTTCAAGGAAAGAATTTGAAATCTCAGTGTAAAAAACTAAACAGTTAATCAAAAGTGCTTGAAATATTATCATCCCATAACCTAGGAAAAGCTCTTTAATAACACAGAATCAAAGGATTGTCTCTCACAAGCTTCTGTTAAATATAAGAACAAGAAACATTTAAATTTGAGTTAACAAATTCTTGAAAAGTTGAAAATGCCAAGAATACATTTTAACATGAAAAGCATATAGGTAAAGGTAAAATTGCTAGAACTTGCAAATATGCATCCTTATGGGAAACTGTAACTTTTGAAACCTTATATAAGTAAGAAAAATAGCCTGCACCTCATGCCCAAAGAAAGCACTAGATGCATATGCAATATTTAAAAATCTTATGTAATGTATGTGTCATGTAACTGATAGCTTTGTTTTTTTACAAATTTTAGAAAACCATTCATATGTAGAGCTGTAAAATTAATAACTAAAAATAAATAAATGTGACACAAAATCCCAAGATTTAATTACCTGCAGGCCGCCACTTCCAGAATTTTCACCCTCGTTACTTTTTTTACTAGAATTCATTGTGCTCTTACGTTCCTAAAAATAAAAATGAGGAATGATTTAAAAAATAGTCTGCACAACAATTGTATGAATATTAAAATTGTAAATGTAATATTTCTTGCGGTGAAACTTCTATTTGAACATGACTGTATTCACGCCTTCTATAAACTGTAAACAAAGTCAACATTTCACCCAGGGTATATTCGGGAACAAAACCCCTGGTAATACTTGTAATGAGTGACGTTATAATGGAGGGCCATAGTAATGGCGGACCATAATGAATATCCGAAAAATGTTGGTGAGTTGTCATGTTCGAATCATAATATAGACCTCAGAGCAGGTGTAATATCGTCGAATACACCCCTTGGGCTAGGCACAAAAGTTTTTGAACCCCTCACTCCCTTCGGTCGTTTGGGGTACAGAAAACGTTTGTGCCTAGCTGCGGGGTGTATTCGACAATATTACCCCTGCTCTTTGGTCTATATTTCTTAATTCATCTACTTGGTGCTTATGATCCATATGAGCTTATGTTTGTGTCTTTCCTGAAGTTGACTATACCTGAGAGTGAAAAGACACTTGTTGATACAAATAACTATTATGTATTATTGTGGTACAGATTTCCGATATTTCCCCAACTATTGGTAAGAGTATTTTATAGATCCTACTGCCACCAGTAGAATCAGTTGACCTTATTGTGAAAAACTAGGGGGAGGGAGTATACTTACTAGGACAGCTGGACATATCGCATTGGGGGGAAGGATGTGATCTCTAAATTCACCAAAGTCACATTCAGGTTTTACTTGTGATGCACATTTATTGTGGAGCTGAAAAAAAGAAGTCAATAGAACACAATTATATACATGTACATTGTCATTGTATACAAATCTGACTAGTATATGCCTTTTATTATCCCATGACATCAGTATTACAGAAAATAGAAATAGAAGCAGTGTTTTCAATTTTACTGGTTTTAAGGCGCTCACATAAATAATACCAGACTTCTCCTGTGTAGTACACAAACTTACATTTAGATGGCACCAGCGGCAATGAAGACCAGTCACGCCATTGTAGGTTTTTATTGATTTTCTACATTTGTCACACTTGCCAGGGCTGTTCCCCTCAACCCAGTGATGCTGCATGTTCTGTAAGAAAACATTATGTATAAATTCATGAATTTAAGAAATGTTAAAACATGCCAAATGGAAACCTTTTCACTTTTTAATATTCTTTATTTATGACTTCTTCAATATCTTTACAATAAAGCAGACATAATCATGGTCTCATGGTTATGCTTTAAATTCTGTTTGAGGACATTTTACATTTTTTCTTGTTGATCAGATGTATCATTACATAGACATAGTATTCAATGGTAAGATTTGGAGTGTTTTTCTAACTATATGGTATAACACTATATAGTATAATAAAATATATAACATTATAATAATATAATATAGTATAGTATAGTACAAGAAATAATGTTCCTTAATAAAGGACTTACATTTAAACCTTTCTTTGACTTTACATATGTGGTTATACAACAAGCAGGGGCTCTGTGGACACACCTCTCGTGTACTGTATATTTGCAAACTGAAAATAACACAATTTAGTAAACATACATACAGACGGATGGATGGATGCGCCTATGCCGACAATAAGGCCCCACACTATGTGGTGGGGACATAACAAAAGGAGTAAGGCGTCTCTGATAAATCAGCATGATCTTCTCATCTATATGAATATTTTCAAGATCGACAAAACCTCAGAAGAACTTATTTGTTTGACTTACATATGCAACTAAGGCCTTGTTTTCCTAGTCCCACTAGCATGTTAAGGCAGAGATTGCAGTAGGCAGGTTTGTTATAGTGTTTGAGACGCCAAGAGTGGGTCCCGTCATCTTTCACATTCTGAAGTATAGTGATTACTTAATAGTCTGGTTTATTATACTTATAGGTTAGAAGTTTAAGATATTGAAGTGTTTTACTTTAATTACAAAGAATATATATATAAGAAATGCTTCAAATAAAACAAATGAGTAAAATACACAATCTATCTTAATTTTATCAAATTTAACTTCATCACCTGGTAAGTTATTGTGAATGGTTACAAAAGTGTAACAATGTATTACAAACACCAAAAGCCAAATGTTATTTACTGCCATTCATTATGAGACTGGTGGCTAAAACAAGGTCATTTCTTGGGTAAGGACAAATAGCTGCCCATGCCTATTGATAGTACATGTATAAGTTACATATTAAAATATTTTAGAATTATTCAGGATGGGAATTACAGATGTTAAAGTTGTACATACTGTGTCTAGACCCAGTAGAACCAGGAGAGGTATTGTTGTAAGACCTCCACGCTTCCATTCCTCCAGGGAAACAGTTCCATCTTCATCATAATCTATCTCACGCATCATGTCTTGTAATATCTGTAATAAGCTTATATGTTTCAATAATGCCTTACACAATATTAGACAGCATTACATTCTTAGCAAAGCAATTATACTGGAGTCAGTCAAATTGATTCACATAATCCAACTAATAAACCGACACTAGGCCAAACTTAAGGTTTGTTTACTCACAGGTTTAAGCTCGGAGACATCCCAACCAAGGTACTCTGCGACAGTCATCATTTGCTGCACAATACAATCCAGCTCCTAAACCATAATGCAACGCTCCTAATTAATATGGCATGACAAATAACATGCTATGACAATGATTATTACAGAGATAATCAATTAAAATCCAAGACTGAAGTGGTATAAACCTCTTCATTATTATATAAAGAATCGAGAGGATGTTTATCTAAGAAACACCTATTTTACGCATTTGAAACCTCTGAAATGTCCAAATTGATGACAGGCATCAAAAACTGCATTATACAAGTATAAACTGGTTCTTAACATTAAAATTACAGTAGACTACAAATCAGGGAAGGCATCAAAAGACCAATGTCTGATAGGAAAATAAATAAATCTAGTTTTGAGTTGGACCCCCCTCCCCAGCAAAACTAAATACAATGAAAGTTGATCGCGGACTTTTCACATGTTAAACGACTCAATTTGGACTTTAATTGGGGCAGTACTATAACTTATTTATAATTCTTAAAACATGTGCCAACAACAACAGGCACAATATTCCATTGTTGCATGCATCTTGGTGAAGAAGGCATCTGGTAAAGTCTTTATTTTTAAACCATTCCAAGGAATTTCCAGTCGAAATTGCAAAAAATTTAAATGTTGAAATTTGTCGGATAGCAAACTGAAATAGCTTTGAACCCCTCCCCTCAAACTAGATTTATTTAGTTTTCTATCAGACATTGATCTTTTGATGCCTCCCCTTATAAAGGTACTTCTAATGGTACTTCTAGAAATATACAGAAATTATTCAAAAATAGAAATTCAACAAAAATAAAAACATTTTTCTTCACAACTATTCAAGTATATTGAGCCCATATACCTTTCAAAGAGAACTATACCAATTCCAGAATGCTTTATCTACATCAATAATCTGCAAAAGGCTAATAAGCCCATTTAAAGCAGATATATTACATTTGAGAATCAGATATTAAGCATGATGGGATTGGTTTGGGACCATTGCTACTTACACTACCCTCAAGTAGTAGATTGTCATCTGTATCATACAATCTAAACATGACTGAAAAACACATCAAAGAGAGGACAGTAAAATAAAGAGACAACCCAAAGGACAACATAAAATGAAAAATAAAATGAAGAAGAAACAAGTTGAATACAAGAAAACAATACTTTGCAGCCCTCTCCACCCCACCAACTGAGTGACCAATCCAATACAGTGCATGTGCTGGACATGTACAGTAGAACCTGTATATCCGAACACCTTTCTAATCCAAACATCTCTCAACGTGAACACTTTATCTCATCTCCCATTGACTTACATATTGAGACACTTTGATATGTGAACACCTGCAAATGTGAACTTTTTTGGCCAGTCACAATGGTGTTCGGATTAGACAGGTTTTACTGTAATCACTGTAATAATTGGTGATTTAAACAGGTGTCATCAGTGGATGTACATGTATTAGATACTTGTGCTGTTGAATTTAAAGGACTGCATTGCATCATGGGTACTACTGCACTATGGGATGGTTCTATCCTCCATTGAAAGGTGTGTTGCCTACTCTACAGAGAAAATAGTACGTAGGTTATAGTCATAAGCAAGTATCCATAACACAATACAAAGCCCCTTAGCAATTTCCTCGAATCAAGAAATAACTAAAACAAGATCTAGCAAGACTCATTGTGACAGGAAATACGAATCATCAAAAGTAAAATTGAACATTTCGGACAAAATTGATTTTGGAAAGATTTATGGAGTCAAAGTGTGTGCTATGAATCACTAAAAATGGCTATAACCTTACATCTTCAGTCTCTTATTATACATCTATTGTCAGTTTTATCACAATTTCTGAGGTTGTTTAATCATACAAATGACACACCATCAGAAACACATAAAATGTTTCAATAAGAAAACTAAGATAAGTGACTAAATGCATGCAATATATAGAGTTCTGGATCTCACATAACTACATACTATGGAGAAGTACTACAAAATAAAATGTATCTACCCACGCCATGCAATACTGAAAATGCTAGATACAAGTTATCTCAATTAACAATAAGGTTGTTCCATTCATTTTGCTGTATTTAAAATGCATGGCTAGAGTATTTTAGTGAAAGGGGCAATATAATCATTGCCCTACCCTAACAAATACATGGAGATGGTACAAGGTCAGAGCAAGGAAAACGTTCCTGATATATCGAAATTAACCACTATTATTCAGAAAGACAGTGTTTCACTCAGTGTTTTTACTTGGGTAAAATTTTAGAGCTGTGGTTGTGAAAATGGATATGTTTATATACAAAATAGAATCTGTATTTAAACTTTATTTATGAGGGTAGTAACAAAAGCAACACCTACAAAAGACAACATCTAGGTATCTTTATTTGCATATTCATTGTTTATTTGGTTATCGATGCATTGCATTTAATGACTAATATACAAATAGAGAACAGTCAGAATGAAACTAGTTGTCACAATGTTACCATAGTGATAGCATTTGTCACCATGGTTACTTACATCTGTATCTAGAATACCGTTGCCATCGGCATCATATAATCTGAACATGACTACAATAGAAATGGAATACACAAAAGTTTTAACTCTCTTCAAATGCGTAAATAGTAAATCAAATGTTATATTGACTAAAATCTTATGACTTTAATTGGTCAGTAATTCACACACACTTGTAAGCTGCACCTAGACTAAAATACATATACTCGTACATCCCAAACAATAATGATTTGGGGTCCCGGCATGTTGTAACGCTATAATTGATGATTCGAGTCCTTTCAATAATCTTCTATTGCATCCATGTTATCCTGGAATTGATAAGTTTGGGTCCAAAATGACCTGAAGTTGAAGACCTGCATATTGGTAATGAAAGCCCTTTCAGGAAAATGAGGAATGCATACATGTAAAGCATACAAAGTAATATAAATATGGTAACGAGAGTATAAAAAATCTTATCAAAACTATTCCAAATCTATGCACAAACATTGAATCAGTGATCTCCCCAACATTAACTTGAGAATTTTGAAAATAGGCTTGCACCCACTTGAAAACAAAAACATTTTCCCTTTTGCAAATGAGAAAATCATAAAAAATCTGTATACTTTGACCAATTTAGTATTAAACTGTATGAGAATTTTACACTGATAAAACCCGTTGAGCACACTCCATCTAGGTTTTATATCAATTCAGACTTAATTCACATTTGACCACAAAAGATTAAATGTACTTTTACTTCTTAATATTCCTATATACAACATCCATTACTACTTACATTCTAATTTATCCTCTGGTCTCCCAGCCTCCAATAACGAGAGGTAACATACTAAATCCTTTAGATAGATACTGCCATTTTTTATGTCTAAGCTATTCCGACGTTTTATATCATTGGTATTCAGTAGAGAAGACTTGGACTGGCGGATCCACGGATCACTGCTATCTATAACACAGAAAATAAAATGAGTAAAAAACAAATCGATTTTACATGAGATGAAATTTTATTATCGATCAGTCAATATCAATGAAACATATACATGAGTTAGCAATAACAACATGACATATGAATAAAGTTATATATTTGATAAATGTTTATTTAAAAAATAACAATTTTTCACAATTATTTCTGCCAAAACATATAATTTACAAATGTCCAACACAGACAATACAAAAACAGAAGCATATAATACATCATATCATACCAGCATACAACACGCTACACTTGCACCATACAGAACAAATTTGATTCCAAATTGGAAATATTACGCATGTACCAGTACTGATAAATATATGTGCAGTAAAACGTGGATTAGTTAAAGGGCTTATAGCTGTTATTTTAATCCTAAATAACCCAAAAATATTTTTAATTCATAATGATGTGTAACTTACACAATCGATAGACTTGGGATTAAACTAATTCTTCTTTGTAATTACTGAAGCTTGAAAAAAATCATTCATGTAGAAAGTGAATTAATTGTTCTTAATAACTTTAAAGGTGCAAGCAGTCCAATGTAGAAAGTGAATTAATTGTTCTTAATAACTTAAAAGGTGCGAGCAGTCCAATGTAGGAAGTGGATTAATTGTTCTTAACTTAAGGTGCAAGCAGTCCAATCTTGATCTAGTCATACTGGTGACTTGGTGAGGATTTTTCTCAAGCCTTGATATTTTCAAAAACTTTATGTTCAAGTCTATTGATTCTACAAGTATAAGTTACATATAATTCTGAATTCGAAATATTTCACAGTTATACCATGGTCACATTTGCTCTGGTACTGGCACCCGACCGATGAGTATTTTGTTCAAAATTACATTCAGTTTTGAACAAAATACTCATCGACCTGGCTCCAGTGTTGAAGATAGGGGCAAATGTGACCACAGCATTATTTAGGCTGAAAGTTACATCTCTTATAGCCATTTAATAGCTGTTTGCAATTGCAGTTTCTATGAGATTGTTTCCCTGGGTATGAACCAGTCAATCTCACGGTCCTACCTACAATTTTCACTTGGATCATATGTGTATGTGTTGAATACACGTTTTACTGCAATATATGACAGCCCCATGTGGCAGTACATTATATGTATTCTGAAATTCCTCATTTATAAGTATAAGCAATATGCAACTACAGTACATTAGTCATATACTACTCACAAAACAACATTTCCATAGAATACATGTATAACAAAAAATATAAAAAAATATGTAGATATGTTTTATTTCCAATAGTTTTGTAATAGGTTAAATTTATTTCTTGACAAGAAACATGATATTTGATAAATAAATTACCTAAAAATTGAAAAGATATTTAAACAGATTCATAAGAAAGACCCTTCTAAAAGCAAGTGCATTGTTCTTATAGCTCAATTAAAAACTCCCCAGAATAGCATTTAAGAAATCTATAACTCTTGTTATACAGAGTGAGCTTCAGAGGTGATTTCTTGATATCATAGTCCAAAATGCCAAAAATGAAAGATACCATATGGCCTTTTTTTAAGTACTCAAAAAACAACCTGAAGTGATGACACTGAAGAAATACACAATAAGGGTTATCTACATGGTACAATTATAGCATCAACAGCCACACATTCGGCACATACATCTGCACATCATAAAGTAAAGCATCTTGGATCTAAAATGCCTCCTCTGGTGCCACCTTTCAATACAGAGGAGGTTCTATCCTACAAATCTCTGATAGACCAACTGATCATATCAACCAATCATAATAGAGGCTAAATGTCTTTAACTGATGCACAAATATTTGATCTCTATATATCATGACCAAATCTAATAGAAAGCAACAAAACATTAAATTGTCATACAAAAAAATAGAAGTACGATTTCAATTTTTGGGTTACATGCCCAGACTGAAAAGTTTGAATAGACATTTAGCCTCTGTATGATATAAATGTTAGACATTGCATGGACAACAATGTTGGACAAGATGTCCACTTACTAAGCTTAGTCTTTGTTAGCCCTAACTCTGACACATCCACTAAAATATGAATAATATGTACACACTATAAAACCCATACAATTAGAATATAACAATAAAAATAGCACAAAAATGAAAATTAATTAAGAACATGTATTTAATGTTGCTTATAGAGGCATCAAGTCAAATATATCATAAAAGTAAAAACCAGGAATTATTTTTCACAATTTTCTTCATGTACAGCTATTAACTCCTTTTCATAGAAATAAATCCAAAAATTTTGCTGCTGTAGTTGCCTTCAAGCTGCATTCCTTTATGACAATAATCAATTTTTATTAAAATATATAACAAGCAATATTGTGTTGTTGATTACCATAACATACTCTAAGTTAATCTTTACATGGAGACTTCTTATCATATCAAAAGATGTTCCACAGAGTAAAATAAAATATCAAAATATCAATTAATGTTATACATTTACCTCTGTTCCTACTACACAGGCGCCATCTTTCAATTCTTTTTATTATTTTTCCTGACTCAATCATTTACGATAAGGCTATTTCATTGAACATAATTTTTTTTATCTAAAGAAGCCAATGAGAAGAAACAAGGCACCTTTGGTGGTGACATAATGAGTAAAAAATGAAAAGGGAGTAGATAGATTTCAACTTGCATTGAAACTCAGGGTTAAGTGAAATAGCCCTTTTAAAGTAAAACCTGTATATATTGAAAAAAATTCCCAAGAAAAAAATGTTCAGTGTTGGTAGGTGTACAGTACAGAGAGATATATACAGAAGTCAGTTGAGTATGTGTGGAGGAAGGGTCTCCACTAGAACCAGGTGTTCACTAAGACAGGTTTTACTGTAATAGAAATTTAAAGCAGGTAGAATAAGCAAAATCTGAGAAAGCAATGAATAAGATATGGACATGTAGTTGAAAAACTGTAATCTAACAAGTAAAAATAAAATAGAAAAACTTAAAATGATCAAGAAGTATAATATTCAAATAGTTCACTATGCAACAGTCTTACCTCAAGACTGCCATCAAAAATGCATACATCTCCGTGCACTGTATTAAAAACATTAAGAACATTACCAATGTTCAGAGTTGCCGCCAAAGCATTATAGAATTAGTCAATATTTGAAAGATCAAATTTATAAAGTACTAACCTGGTCAACTGCTTGTGGAAATAGAAGAGATGAATGTGAACAAAGTAGACAAGATATAACATAAAAATGATGCAGTGATCTCCCCAGCATTAAAGCAAGTGGGTGCAGCACCCATCTGAAATTTGAAAACAGGCTTGCACCCACCTGAAAATCCATTTGCACCCACTTGAAAATGAGAAAAATCCTTAAAATTGGCATATTTTGACCAATTTTGATCTGAGTCGTGAAAATGAGAATTTTGCACCCACTTGAGAAAAAATTCTGTGAAGAACACTGAGATGATATCGCAAACACCACAAGTATCTGATTGGTGAAAAATATGCCTTAAAACATATTTCAATTTGAAAAATGTGCCACATACTGACAATTCATGAAAATTGTGTCATGACACTTTCTCAATTTGAAATATGGTGTCGAGTCAAATACTGTCCATAAAATTGGAATTTTGATATCATGTATACATGTACAATATATAAGGAGTGTACTTTAGAGGCAGAATTATGCAAAGCCAGCAAACCACTGAATATGGGAGAACAAATACAGATCCAAAACAGAGATATCATACTTCTTCCTTATATGGATGGAAATGAGACTATATTCAATGCACTTAATTGACCATGATCAAGTCCTATGTATTTGTATCCCAAATTGAGTCAATTGAATGATTGGAAATATTAAAACCATTTGATAGCCAATACTCAATTGAGTCATTGAACTAAAGTATTAAGAATATCAAAGATCTGAAGAAGTATATCAAAAAAGACAATTTCAGTTTCAAATGAAAGGTATGAGGAGAAAATGGAGAAAAAACATGCCATGATTGGTTTGATGAAAAAATGCTTTAACCTGCAAGATAACAAGAATGAAACCCATATGTTCAATATCAATGAGGAGCAAGGTTTGAAAGCAGCAGACAAGGCACAAAAGCTTCAAACAACCAATCTTGGAAAATAATCAAAAGAAAGAACAGCATATAGTTATTGATCATCACCTATTACATGTAGTTATAAAACCTGAAATATTTACAATTTTAACTGCACATAAAAGTCAATCATGCATGTGTTTTATAACAATAAAAACCAAACCATGCATGTGCCCCGTAACAAAGACCCAACCATGCAGGTGTCCTGTAATAAAAAAAATGCATGCAAAACCATGCACATGTAGGACAATGAGCTGCACCAAGAGGAAGAGACAGTACAATGAGCAGTACAATGAGCGATACCAACGTGTGACAAGGAAACATATATAGCACACAAGCATGTGACTGACTGGGGTGTATGAAGAAGAAGCTTACCATTGTGAATGCTATGGACCGAGTGTTGGGATTTTTTAGATGATGAACGGCTGTGGTTGGAGGGATCCACAATGGGGGTACCATCAGGCAAGGTGCCCCCTGTTGAAGCCACTGCAACTGAAGGTGGAAGTGTGTAAAGCAGAAGTAGAGCTTTGTAGCTTGTATAGAGGAAAGCAGGTGCTGTTAGAAAATGTCACACGCCAGATTATACATATAATACAGGGCAACTCTCATCTCAATAAACCAATCGAGACGTTTATACACAAGGCATGAACATGCAAAATGTCACCACCTACCATTTGTTACAATCACCGAACTTTGAACACCGACCACTAATTGCTAAACACCAACTGCTGAACACCGCTCACAAAAAAGGTGGAGACCATAACAATATGTCAACACTTGTGGTGGTGACATAATAATGTGTATCATCCCCAATTTGCATATCTTAACAGTAAGCGATATAATAGTCTATGATGATTTCTCCCTACGTCCCTAAGTTAATGTAATAAATCTAATTCAATTTCATCATTTTGATTAATAGTAGGTGTAAAGTGAGGATGGTATATGAGATGAGAATATTCCTCAATAGAGCGCAACAATACAATCTACATCATGTCCTGCATAAGATAGTTCAAGTCCAACACAGCCCTCAGTATAAACCTCAAGATTCTCAAAATAACCCAGGTGTATATATATTGTTCCAACACATTCTGGGGGATCCTAAAGAGTCGTGCATTCCTTCCATTAACTTCTTTCTGCTTTCAAACCGCAGGAATATAATAGAACTACAAAAATGTCTAAATAACATAGATCTGTCCAAAAATACTGCTTTTCACCAAAATGCTTTTGGATAAATTTCAGGATTTGGAGACAAAGGATTAGGACATTATAATTTCTTCAAATATAAAAGTACATCCTTATGTTAAATAAAAAAGCTCTAACAAAGATTGATAATGTATAATGTACAAGTAGGAATCAACGAACTTGCACATGATTTTATTTTGTGCATTACTCAATCAAAAATAGAATCAATGTCACAAACCATATTATCAAAATGAAACTTTCTCTTAAAATATAAAATCAAACAAATTGAATCTGGACTTTTTCTTAGATTTTATTTTAAATATGAGAATCTTGAGTTACATACTGTAAACAGGCAGCTATGAAAGGATCGTCTACACATTGAGAAGTGCTGAGTAAAGATTTGAGGCCTATTACATTACAAAATGCTGGTCTCAATCAAAGTAACTAAAATGCATCCTGCTAAATCATGCATATATAGCTTTCTTTCAATTTTGAATGAACTGCATAATTTCTTATGTGATGATGCTTATTAAAAATTGTATTTTAGTGATAAAATCTAAAGTATAGGTCTCGGGATATATGTCATAAATATTCAGTTTTTACCTAAAAACTGCTCGTACTTATCTGTCACCAGGCCAACATTTCCCGGAAAGGGTTAAGTCATTTTCATCAGCAGATTGCTTTATGTTGTGTTTAACATGGTTTAAAATAATGTAATTTAGCATTGATTGAGTCCAGCATCAAGTGTTACTTAATAAAATGAGCAAAGATATGTCTACATTTGTATAGATTGTTCCAGTCTTGCATCACCCCCTTACCCCTCTCAATTCACAAATAGGAGCAGCCAATTTTGAAAGCATATTTTTCATTCTGTGGTTGAACAGTACTTTGATCCTCATAGATGTCATTTTTATTTGATGATTAAAGTTTTTATTTGATGATTAAAGGTTTTGTTGAAATAGAGTTTTGGAATTTTATGTCAATATCTAATAAAAGAAATCTGTGTTCAAATCTTTAATTCAAGTTTTCAAATATGCATTTTATTGTCTGGAACATAAACACAGATGTGACCTCTAGCCCTTTTATGAATCTAAATTCATGAAATATTTACATGTTTTCTACATGATTTCCTCAAATAGATACCCTCTATTATGAGTCTTCATGAATTGAATTTTAAAAAATGTAAGAGAGAGCTTAAAAGAAGACTAAATCTAAAACTAACTATTTTAAGTTCTTACTGAAGTGAACATGTAGGACTCTCATGAAACTTAATTTTTGATCATCTACTCAACTGCAGAACCTCAAAACTCAAGTTCTTTCCTTCTTCTTAAGGAAAGCAAACCAAGGAGCACTGCATTTGGTTGATGTATTTAAATTCATATTCAGTGTAACAACTGTATTAAAGGTAAACTGGTCATTGCACCCTTAACTTGCAATTCAATCCACAATAATTGATTGTTTTAGCTGTGTTGCAATTTTAGGATGCAATGATCCGTTTAACAGGCATATCTATTATAGATTAGTTAAGGTTATTAGTGTTAATTTAAATGCCTTATATGGTCTTATTATCAGGTTCACCTCAGTGGTTTTAAGTCCCTTACCTGCACGGCCGCGTTTAGCAGCCTCTCCACCACTACTATCATGGCGAGCATGACCGGCACGGCCAAGCTTCTCTGTCAATCCTTGAATTTTTTCTACAAGGCGTGGTTTACTTTCCTGCTTGTCAGAGATCTCCTGTAGCTGAGCCTGTATAATAGGAGCACTAACAGTTTGTGAGGCCATAGCGGCCACATCACGCACATTATAACTGCCTTCCTTACCCAGAGTCAAAGATTTCTGAGGGGGGCCAGATGGTCGTTTCAGGAAAGATAAAAATAGATGTTCGCAGAGTTCTTTTGGGATGTCATCCACCTCAAGGTATGTTTCCATGAACTGTTTGAAGCCTTCATAGTCAATAGGCTGCAATAGAGAGAGTATTGGTTAGCTCATTGCAAGGGTAGTCTATTATATAACTGTTGTCTCATCATATACAAGTGCATAGAAATCATATTGTCCTGTGATTCTTTAAAAGGGTGTATAACATTCATATTTGAGCACTTGTATTTAATACTGACATCAGACAGATACAAAGTTAGTGAAATCATATGAAAATGTCTACTATTTTCGCTTTAACTCAGACATGAGGTTTAGTATAATTTGCATGCAAGAAGGTCAAAGAAACAATAAAATACTAAGTTGGATTACATCAATGAGTTCAATTGAATTGAATATTTAAATAATGAACTGTCTAGTAACAAATAAGAATGAAATTAAAAATACTAATGATTCTATGCAAGCATATTATGGATATTAGCCAAGCATGGACAAATTCAAGTTATTACACTTCATAAAATAAAATAATGCACTACTTCAAAGAAAAATAATTTTTGCAATTATATGTAACACAACTTAATAACCAAATGTTGCATCTACAAAGTTCAATCTATGCAAAATATGTATCTTTATTTGTCATGGTGTAATGCAGATGGGGAGCCAAATGACAAATGTTTTTCGTAATTGCAATCGAAAAAAGTGTAAAAATGTGTCGAAACAGTTGTTGGAAAACCAAGTGAGACAAATGTTATATGAAAACAATGTATAAATTTTTTTTTTATTAAATTATATGAAAGCTTCTTCCTTGTATGGGTCAATTGTGGCTATAGTACTACGGCCAAGGCGATTTGTGTCCAAAACACCTAGATTCAATTTGACTTTAGATTCTTGTAGGGGACCCCAAGGCATGTAAAAAAATGTTTGTGAACCCTTGCAAAGCAGGCTCAAAAGTGCTGAGTCAGCAAATTTTATCATTTTCGAGTCAGAATTTGACCATATGCTTGAAACTATTTAATATCTCATTTGAGGATGATGCAATTGTAATGAAACATTGTTAATATATCAATAAGGCATGTATGAAGAATTCCTGAAAGTTTGGGTCTTATTCAACAAAATTTGGTAGAGATATGGGATAATTTGTCCCTAAAAGTACATAATTTCTCCTCAAAATGTCTTAATCAGTCGATAGTTAATCAGTCATTTAAAAAACAGTAAGGGCCTATGGTGTATAAAACCTGATTAAAAACTTCACTGATGATGTGAGCAAATATTTCTTGAATAAGTTTCAATAAAAAGTGCATGCATCTATTTTTTCTGATTTTTCTCTTTACCTTCCCCTAAAAATTCAAGAAAGGGGGCGTGGCACCTTACACTTCAGTTGTTGAACTTTTTGCTAGGGTCAAATAGAAAATATGTATCATTATAGCAAAAAGTGTTATTCTAAATAAATCTTAACACTATATGTGACATCATAATATGCTAAACATATTCATTATCTATCATTTTATTGAAACTTATTCAAGAAATATTTGCTAACATCATCAGTGAAGTTTTAAATCAGGTTTTATACACCATATGCCCTTACTGTTTTTTAAACGACCGATTAACTATCGACTGATTAAGAAATTTTGAAGAGAAATTATGTACTTTTAGGGACAAATTATCCCATATCTCGACCATATTTTGTTGGTTAAGACCCAAACTTTCAGGAATTCTTCACACATGCCTTATTGATATAGTGACAATGTTTCATTATAATTGCAACATCCTGAAATGAGGTATTAAATAGTTTCAAGCATATAGTCAAATTCCGACTCAAAAATAATAAAATTTGCTGACTCAGCACTTTTGAGCCTGCTTTGCAAGGGTTCACAAACTTTTTTTACATGCCTTGGGGTCCCCTACAAGAATCTAAAGTCAAATTGAATCTAGGTGTTTTGGACACAAATCGCCTTGGCCGTAGTACTACTATGCATCAAACTGATATTGAAATTCAAAGATGAGGAATGAAGGATTCTAGAAAAAATAAGTCTCATATTGACATGTTTCAACCCATAAGAATCAAAATGAAACCGTGCAACCATCTCTTTTAATTTTCATTTGATGGTATATAAAGATTTTAATAAGCAAAACAATATAAGTTGTGAGTCTTGTGAGAATGCCATCTCTGTGTTAAGTATTTATAATAGTGATATCCATGTGGTGTTTTGTTAAGTGACCATGTGGTGCGAGTGGTGCAATTCTAAAAGCAACACACAGGGTGAGGGTGGGCCAGAAAAAATAGAGTAAAAATAAACCCTATCACATTCAAATATTATACGAAAAATATATGTTTATTTTCTCATAGATTTTTAGTAATCATGATATTTATAAAACAGAAAGGAATTAAAATGAGATTGGATGGAGATAAGTACTGCAATTAGGGATGCCTATTATAGTGCTATCTGAACTGATTAAAGCATGTTTAAGTTCTCAAAACCTCAATACTCTACAAGCAGAGTGCCAGAATATTAAAAAAAGTTGATAGCTTTCCGCCAACCTGTCTTAAGGTAGGCCAAGGAGGATGCATTTTGAACTGATTGTGAATAAAGTCAGTATATAAGCCTATGAGGCCAAACATACCAAGCATTCTACTTGGTCTACCTTACATAAATGTGGTTATGTATAAGCCAGCTAGGATTGTGATGATGAGCTATATTTACGCCTTAACCAGTTCAGATAATCTGCACTAAATGACATTTGTTAAATGTTGACAATTACATTTTTGAAGTAAGTTCAAGTAAATTACACAGGAATTTATATTTGAATGTGGCAGGTATGTTATATTGTGAGAATTGCCACCACAGTGGGTCTTACTCTCTCCAAGACCTCCAAATCCTGAGACTGGAAAGGGAATAGGCCTCAGGATTAATTCATGCAAGACATAGGGATGTATAATGCACAATACATACAGACAATGGTTGGTTACTCATTTCATGAGATCATTGTTACCATAGAAACAGCAACAAGATGTCATGACTTTACAAGCTTCAATAAAATTAACATGGTTTCATTAGAAAGTATGACATTGTAAAGATATAGCATAATGATTCCCCAGTATTGTGTCTCACATGAGTGTAAAACTTTAATTTTACCAATTTTAATCAACAAATACATGAAGTTTCAGGTACAGAGGTCAGAGGTACAGGTTGATTTAATATTGTAGAAATCCCTCTATTGGTTACAGTATTGGTAAATTCCCAATTGCCCAATGCGAATGGTCGATAGTCATGAAAATGGTAGATAGTGATATAAATGGTAGAAAGTCATATAAATAGTAGAGTCATACAAATGGTAGATAGTCATATAAATGGTAGATATAAATAATGGTAGAGAGTCATGTAAATGGTTAATAGTTATGTGAATGGTAGATGGTCAATTGGTCATGTAAATGGTGAATAATCATATAAATGTAGATGCATGTAGTCATGTTATTGGTAGATCACAGTCATGTAAATGGAAGATAGTCATGTAAAAAGTAGATAGTCATGTTAATGATAGATTAAGTCATGTTAATGGTAGATAGTCATGTAAATGGAAGATAGTCATGTAAATGGTGGATGATAATTTGAAAATACAAATTTACTCAATTTAATCAATTTCCTGAGAATGTGGCAGTTCAGAATTGAGAATGAAAATAAGTGAAGATACATGTATACTCAAATTAATACTGATATGACAGATTCATTCACAAATAAAGAATTCTATAATAAAATTTTGATGTTTTCAATGTTACTTCACATAATCATTTAATCTTTCATAATTTGAACTTTCCATTTGAACATGAATATTAATTAATATTAATTATTAATTGACTACATGGATTTTTCATACATGTAGTTAAGGCTAAGCCCAAAACATCATCATGTCCCCCTCAGGCCCCTTAAATAAGGGGAAAACCTAAACTACTCAAAGTAAAAACAAAGCCAAAAAGAAATGAAAAGAAACCAAACAGAAGTAATAAAGCAAAATCTCAAAGTTCAGAACATAATTTAAAACAATTGAATGTCTCTAAAATGTAGCACTGAGGAAGAATTTGATTCAAGCAGAAAATTAATTTTGTAATAATACTCCTAACATTGTCACTGCGTAATACTTATAGGAATATCTTTTATTCATTGACTAATTTCTACCATCTTGATCCATCTTGGTATTTCATATAAACTGAGAACCAATGAGGGTGATGACGATTAAAAAGACCCATTCAGTAAACAGACAGTTGCCCAAGTTCAGATATTTCAAGAGAGTTAGTGTCAAGACTGCATTGATGATAATAATATTCACTGTATAGTGGCATATTGCATACATTTCCATGCATTGACTATTGTCATGTTAATCAAACCCAATAATTACATAAAATATGGTTTTATCGATTTCATTAATTTAACAATTAGCTAACAATGAAAGTACATGTATAGTATACTGATGAAATTAAAAACGGACCTTACTAATACATGATTTAACATACTGCATATGCACGATATGTATTTAACGATAAGCTAAGATGCTTTTAGAATTTAGACCTAAAGAAAATATCCTGTTATAATGTTAACAGAGCCATGCCCAATTTCATAAACAACAGGTATGATAGATATACAGTAAAACCTGTGTACACCTATGAAGCTAAAAAAATGTGTTCACTGTAGGTAGGTGTTCACTACAGAGATTGTAATTTATACAGAAGTCAGTTGAGTATATGGTCAGGAAGGGTGTCTTTTAGAGACAGGTGTTCACTTAAGACAGGTTCTACTGTAGTACTATAATCCTGCACCGAGAAAAACAAGCAACTTGCAAATTAATTGTTCTATTAGCCTATATAACATGTTGACCTTGGACATAAATTGACCTATCATACTGAACTTAAATCAGCCTATCACAAGCTAACCTTACATATGAACTGACCTATTACATGTTGACAATATACAATATAATTTGATCTATCGCAAGCTGACCTTAAACATAAAAAACATAAAATCTCAAGCTGACCTCGCATATAAATTGACCTACCAAATGTTAACATTGCAAATAAATTAACCAATAATATGTTGACCTTGAACATAAATTAACCTATCATATGTTGACCTTGAACATAAATGAACCTATCATATGTTGACCTTGAACATGAATTAACTCATAATATGTTGACCTTGAATATGAATTAACCCATCATATGTTGACCTTGAACATAAATTGGCCTATGGCATGTTGACAATGTACATAAACTTATCTATCACAAGTTAAAATTTCACATAAATTTAAAAAATGTCTAGTTTAAATGTTGACCAGTTAACATGTCAGCACTCACCTCCTCTGGATTGTATTTGGACAACACATCTTTCAACTTCTTATTGGAATCTGAAAATATAAAACATTTCTCTATAAAACGGAATAAACATTGGCAGAAGGGGCGAACTGAACGGTCAATACTCAGGAGGAAGTGGGCTTGATATGCAGTAATACTTGCATGTAAAAAATGATATTTTTGAATAACTGACCACTGACTGAGTATGCACACTGATTCAAATATTGTTCTCCACTTTCATGAAATGACAGCTTCTTCACTTTCCTATAGGTCTTTGGATTTCAATAATATTTAATTGCTAAAGATGCAGCCTTCAGTATTTTGATACTATTAATTGTGCACTTTTTACTTTTATTACAAATTATTGTAAGCACCCTACACTGCCTATTTGTCTCTTTAACAAGCTTTATAAGACATCGATCTGGTATTTATATTAGAGGCATCATTTAATTAAATCAGTGAAAAATTTCTATCAAATATCATTTGTGTTATTGCATTCATACCCAAACTGTCATGAAACCATTTTCATCAAAATATGCCTGAAGATGTATTCTGCAATTCTGGAAACAATTGTATAACTGAAGGCTGTATCTCTAGCAAACATATTATTGAATGATTGAAATGATGTGGCAAAATGAACTAAACAAGGCATGAACATGACAAAAAACACCATCAGTTATTGGAAGTTATAAGAATGCTGAACCCCAAACACTGACTGCCGAACACCATCCACAAAAAGTTGAACCTATATGGGGACATATTGAGCCTTCCCTCTCGATATTGCCAACTCAAAGGTCATTGACTTTGAGGCTATTGAGATGTACCAGACTCTCTTAGTTGGAAAGAGCATCTTCTTCTAGAAATATGAATACCACAATGCCACAGGACAAGAGGTGATATAACCTTTTAATATATTAGGTAGATCATATAAAATAACATTGGAGGTATTATGATATAAGTGGCACAAAAATTAACCCTAAAACTCTCATTTCCTCGTCAATTAGGAGGAACAGGCATATCACAAAGGAGCATTTAGAACTAACAACGGACAACCACTTTAACAGGCAATAAGCAAAAAAAGGCGTTTAAAGTGTGGGTGGAGATATTGATCATTTCAATATTCTTCAGTGGCCTTGTTCAGCCGCGATCAATACATCAATAGTAGTTAATTGCATCAATGCGCTGTGTTCCTCCCACCCTCCTCTGACCCACTCAAATGCAAGATAAGCAAAATATCTAATAGGACGTGAGTAGAGATCTGATGTAAGATAATATCAATAGGAGCTAGAGCAAGGAAAGGAAGGGGGAGTGGCAGTGATGTCAGATGACCTTTCCAATATAAAGGATGACTGATTGCAACCAAAACTAATCACCCTCTGGTATACAGAAAGTGATGGATCACTAAATATTCAATTTCATGCCCATTATTAGAGATCTTATATCTTCACACTAACATACAATTTCCCAATTTTCGACAGATGACTATTTGTTTCACTGTCAAAATTGTATCAATCGTTGTAATGAAAAATCCACACATGCAAAACAAAGCATTTCATGGAAAATATTAATTTGAGATGCAAACAATTATGGTTTAGATTTCACAGAAATGATGGATGTTTAAGTTCAAGCTGCTCGTATCTCAAACAAATTTTTCTCTTTTTATTAATATTTTACTGCAAAGGCCTATCCCTGTATGATCTCATATTTTAAGAATGTGAATATGACAAATATTAATGATGATGGTATTTGCCTATTGATAAAACACCAGAAGAGCGATAATATACAAAAAAATTTCAGGAATCAAGGGAATCTAAATTCTTCCTAGATTGAATTGAGTAGAATCACCGTGGCTCAATAAAGCTGTCCATAGTCACATCCGAGGAAATCATTGCAGCCTAAGCAACCAAACAATATTCATTGACCTTCAGTTAATTCTGGTTGGATCAAATATTCTGAAATACATCATGCTTTTAGAGCTGTATTGATTTATAAACCAATTCAGCAAATATTATATTTTGTTTTTTAGAATTTCCCTGGGAATATATTTGATTTTTCCTAAGGATGTTGAAACAAGGTATGTGCAATTCAGGAAATGCATCTTTTTGAGGCTATCTTTCTTTTCAAGATATATAGGCTATCACAAGGTTATTTCGCATTTGCTTTTACTAAAATAACTATGTAAGTAATCCATGGGATGGACTGTGATGCAATTTTGTCAAAATCTTCATACAAACCAATTTCTGTATATTTTGGATATGTGCAATAAAGCTGGGACATTTTGTACCTTGGAGCTTCAGCCTCTTTGAGAAGTTGTGCTTCAAAATCAAAATGGCATTGGAGCATCAACATATATGATGCCATATATACCTTAGCTAAACTATACAAAATTCAAGAAATATACAATTTGCTCTCTGAATGGTTGGTGTTTGTATTTTTCTATTCAGTATACCACTATAGCCATTGGACAATTGATCACATATTTTACAAAAAACAAATCCAAAATAATGTGATTTCACTTGCCATTTAATTCTAATTAACAATCTCCCAATTTTTTCTTTGGAATATGAACTACTTACAAATTCTAAATTTCTCAACAAATAAACACAGCTGGTAGTTTCAATACATTGATTTTCTAATTTTTGCATATAAGTATTAAGAACACATCTGGTTTCAAAATTTGATGGCCTACTGTGGTCTATGTCCTTGAATCCAGGTCTACTATGCAGTCGAAATGTTGAGGCATGCGCAGACCTCTATTTAGTGATATTTTCATTTCAAATATGGCGGCCAATCCGATGTCTGACGACCCTTACAAAGAATCTAGGCAGTTTGCATTTTTACCTCCTGTGAAATAACAAGTGGAATTTAGTAGTTGTTTTGTGTTTTATTATCATTCTGCATCGTAATTCTATGTGATGTGGTGTTGAAATGTCAGCAGAAATACATATCCATACGATAATCGAGTGAATCAGATAACAGATTTTTCGAAAACCCGTCTCGTGCTAAGAGTGTAAAAACTTGTATTAACATGCTCAAAAGTGCCAATGTGCACATCAATGTCAAGCTAAATCAATGTTGTGTCTAAAACAGGTACCCGATCTACTCAAAACAGCTTGTCATTCACGTATACACGCTTAGCAAACACGGCGAAATGACCCGAATCTTGGAATTTCGTTCAAGAGCTAGTAATGTTTGCTCCGGTCTTCGTCATAAGTGTTCATCAGACTTCACGCATGCGCAGGGGAAAAACCATCAACCAATAAGGTTTATAAATCAATTTTGCGCATGCGCCTTACAACGGTAAACAAATTCGTATTTATAAACGAACCAGTTTGAGATAACCCGATATCAGTCGGAGAAATCTGACGATCTACGAAACTCACTTCAAAAAATCAAATGCGGACTGACGGCGTATTCTACTATGTTTGGATCTAAGATTTTCAGTTTAGATAAAGTCTTTTATGATCTTTCGAATGAGGTAATTCTCTAGTTCGAAAGACAATCGTATCAACTTGAACAAAAGTTGAGTTTTGACGAAAAATTTTAACATGCGCAGAAGTCCCATTTTCGTTGTACCATATTGACTGTATGGTCCATATTCTTGAATCCAGGTCTACTCTGGTGTATGTCCTTGAATTCTGGTATACAATGGCCATGTCTTTAGGTCCCTGGTCCATATGCAGGTCTATCCTTGTCTGTCCTTTAGTCAAGGTCTACCCTGGTTCATATCACTGAGGTCAACTCTGAGTCCAGGTTTATCCTTACATATGTCCTTCACCTTAGGTCTGCCCTGGTCCATATCAATAATCAGAAGAATCTCTATGGAAAAATCTAATGCAAGAATTGTTGTGACAATGACATTGTTCAGCCAGCTGTAACTTTGCAACTAATGGCAGGATTCTTAATAATAGAAATCAAGGTCATGCTTGGAGTAAGAAATATAATTCAGAAATGTTGAAATTCCTTTCAAATGGACAAGACTCCATTCATAAAGCCTCAGGGATTACTTGCAATAACCACAGCATGTCAGATAATAAACCTAGTTTCCATCATAAAGTACCCCTGGGACTACCCGAGAAAATATGATGGAATGAAGGAATGAAGGAATTGAGAGCAAAATAGTGGAATCCTCAAAGAACAAAGTAAACAGACATGTTATGAAGACCCTGGATGTATAAAAATACCAGAATACAAGGCAATTCATTGAATTTTAAAGATAAATGATACAGATATTGCAGGACTCAACAATTTTTTAGTCGTGGATCTATAATGTCAAATAAATGTTTTGGGGAGATACGGGATAAAATCGAACAATATATGACTTTTACGAGTATTAATCATATCAAATGACAATCTCATTTTTTGGAAAAGTTTTTTTTATTTTTAAATCAATGCAAGTTGGTATGAAAAAGAAACATATCTGATGAATGATTGCAGAAATAATATAATAAAATGTTTCCTCGTTAACTCAACCATGAAGTTAGTCATCATATTAGAGTTTCACTTTTGCTTCCAAGCAGTGATAAAAATCCTCTGGGGAATTGCCATCCAGGAAAAAGAAGAAAAATGAAAAGACGCGAAATCAAAATTGCAAATTCATTCCTAAGCACATTGAACTGTCATTTGACACACCAAACAAAGGATCGTGCGTGTATTATTGAAGCTATTATAAGCTCCCGGAAGATCTCCATGACAGCGAAGTCTCATAAGTCGCCCCTAGATTCCAATACATTTATGACGCATGTTACATGGTCAACCTTTTAAAATGAAACATAAACCATAGACAATGATGGTTATCAGTCTTATTATAGTACCAGAGACAGAAATAAAAATACATAGGCTATTTATACACTATTTCCAAGTGGATGGTAGTTTATTTAGCATTATAATGATAAGGCTGGAGTATGTGGCTTGTAATACTGCACTACAATGCATCATATATCAACTCCCATTGAGATTAATACAGCTTGAGATTGTAGCTATGCTTGACACAAAGTAATAATTAACAATACAACTGCTTGCACATTTCTCTAAAAGACGTATCTTCTCTTTT